ATGGTACAGTACAGTGTGAACGTGTCGGTAACAATGTATGGTGCGCGATATTGTTGTGCTATGAGCTATATACTATATATATGCTATTATATTATAGCGTAGTCTGAAAGCAGCTTAATTTCTTATTGACCTTGATGTCTATGGGCTATGGTAAGCACTTAATACCAGGTTGGCCGAGAGCTCGTACATCCGTCTGACCAATAAAATAAAGATCTGATCCCAATTTTGGCGACGAGGGCACGGTCCTAGGCACTTAACTGAAATTTGTATGCAGTTGGAACAGCGCCCCTAGCGGCAAACGTAGTTAAACGTTCCAACTCCATACAGATTCGAGTTAACTTTTACGCTATCGATAACGTTAAAAAACGCGGAGTAAGCATTGATCTTAACTTGGGATGAACATTTTGTGTGTGCAGTGTTCATCTAGCAGCCTCAGTGATGGTACTCCGGCGTCAGCTCCTCTCATGGGACACGGCTCAGATGTACATATCGAAGCCATTAACCCCAGTAATTAGCTACGTCAGCCGACTATTTACCAGCAAAACCGCATATTTTTTACAACGAAATTAGCTTCCAACCAAATATAGCGGATGATGCTGAATAAAAATCTAAAATGATGTCTTGTGAGTCCGCCCGGATAGGTACCACCGCCCTGTCTATTTCTGCCGTGAAGCAGTTTCGGTTTGAATGGGGGGCAACCGTTGTACTGTTAAAACTGAGACCTTACAACACATGTCTCAAGGTGGGTAGCGGAATTTACATTATAGATGTCTATGGGCTCAGGTAACCACTTAACACCAGATGGGCCGTGAGCTTGTCCACCCATCAAAGCAATAGAAAAAAACGTGTGGCACTCGGGGATTGCCGCGGTAAAGCTATTGCATTGCATTTTTTATTAACTTATGCAATAGTAATTAGACAAGAATAATTTAATATTAAAACAATAATAAATAAATAAAATAAGAGCACACTATATTTATAAACATTAACAAAAGCAAAAGCTTAACTGTCCCCTTCACACTCATAAGCTAGACCGCACGAGAGAGAGATGGGCAGACTTTTCATGATGCGCATGCAGTGCGACGTCACGCCGCGCGCTTATTCACAAACACTACACAAGCGCAACGTGTGAATGTGTTGAACGCGAGCTACATGGTAGGCGTAGTGGGGAGTGTTAGGTTTTATTTTCGTTACGGATTTTCTTGATTCGGTCGCCGTGCTCAAAGCCCGCGATAAAAGCTATGTAATAGCTTAAAAAATGAAAATCACATACAAAATAACTTCAATAAACTTTTTATTTTATAAAACACGAAAAATAAAACACTTAACAATTATCTTTATTTATAAACGTATACATAATATATTTTATAATACATAGAAACTGATAACATATTTTTAATTACAAAATACTGCGCTCAATTCGTAAACGCCACAATTCATTATTTACCTACAGGGCAAATGTTAAGGATTCTCGACATGATAACATAAAATCTTAAACTTTGTTATATAACCTCATATTTTATTAAAACGAAAACAAAAAAAAACATTTATACAACTAGAAAGCATATCTTTAAAACCATCTGACGTGCGGAGTCAACAAAGGTACCGGGAACATATTTTCCTACCTAACCTACCTTCTAATTTAAAATTTCAATTAAAATTGTTTTTCGGTTAAGAACTTTATTTATTACCTCGCGCCCTGTACGCGGCGGTCAATTCTGAAATTCACTAACAGTAAAATAATATCGTCTCAAGTGTAAAGAAAATACGGTTTTAATTTCTATAAAATTGTCTTTCGGTTAAGAGCTTTATTTGTTACCTCGCGTCCTGTACGCGGCGGTCAATTCTGATATTCACTAACAGTAAGATAATATCGTCTCAAGTGTGAAGAAAATACGGTTTTAATTTCTATAAAATTATTTTTCAATTAAGAGCTTTATTTGTTAATGTGTTTGACACACACAGACTGATCCTCTTTTGTGTATTGTTAGGGTCTGCGGTCAAATTGAGAATAGAATATATAATAGAATAATATAATGAATAGAATATGAATAGAATAGAATATATTGTTTATCTTGAATATTATTTATCTATAGTGTAGTCTTGGCGAACTGTGATTATATTAGAAGTATGATAGTCCTCGATAATAGAATCATAATAATGTTGAAACTTAAAATTTCAATCAATTATAGTCGAATCTCGACTACTGGGGGGCCATTAGTATTGATAAATAGACACATAAATATTATATGTAAGTTTTAATTAAATCCTACAACAATACCTGATAAATAGGGCATCTATATTTTAGTCTGTGAGCTAAATGTAATCAGTCAATGCGCTCTGCGTTTCTTTGGGCAGACTATGAGCAATTCCGGTCCTAACCTCTCATACAATAAAGGCATATTATTGCTTAACAAATTTTCATATCACAATAGGTAATTCGTTCGACTAAGATTATAAAAAAGCGACGATTGTTTTACGAATTGTTTATTTATTTTTTGACAAACTGAACACGTCGACTGCGTTATGAGACTTAACCCTTTGACTGCCGTGTAGGTCACCGATTCCCCTACGTGGCGCATTGAAGTAATTATAGCAATACCTGTTACTAAGAGCCTGAATTGCCTAACTTTTTCTTCTTTGTTGTTAATATATATTGTAGTCTTATAGATATCTTAGAAATAGTTTCTTTCTGAATATCTTCGGATTCGTCTTTCCCAGAGTCTACTAGATAGTATAAGTAACAGTAGCTAGCGCCTTAGTAACAGAAAACGACACAATTACCTACGTGGGTCACGTAAGGCACCGGTGACCTACACGACAGTCAAAGGGTTAAGAGCCCCACGCTCGACTCTGCCCTGATGCCGCAGTCAAAACTTTTCGCTTGGTGCGTTAAGACGACAAGTCCACGTTTCTATAAGTATGGGTACATTCGAAAACATTTTTTGAGGCCTATCATGTCTCATACGGTAAATAAGTCCAATCTTGCCTTGGAAAGACCTCATACGTAGTGGCTAAAAATCCCTAGTCTCGCAGTCAACGTGTTAAGTTTTCTTTTATGATTTTAATTTACCGAATTAATAAATAAGGTATTTCTCGATTCGGGCGCGCGTTCTCTATACTCTATTCTGTACAGATAATACGTGAATTTATACACGACTAGTTTTAAGGCACATATTTAAGCTACACAATGGAAGTGTTATCGTTTTTTCTTCTACCTATTAGCTAGTAGATCTAAGGGGATATTCCACCTTCTCACGGATCAGTAGGTGGCAGAGCTCACGGGCTCAACCTGAGAAAATTTGCTAACAATAGCCCTAGCATGAGCAGTGCTTCGCAGAATCTACCACCGGATCGGAAACGCGACCCACTGAGAAGATCCGGCGAGAAACTCAGCGAGGGTTTATTATCTATACGACACGTCTTTAAGGTAACTAACGAATTGACTTAAAACACATTAACTGTAGTATTGTTTTCGGGTCGCACGAGCCGTGGTTATAATTAAAACTGCTTTTAAGATTCATTCTCGCTTATATGCAGTCCTTCGTAACCACAAAAACCGTAAAGTATTCTTTACGTAAACCAAAAATGGTGCGAGTGCAGCTTGGTACACGTGAAAGAAGTGAAACTTCTTTTGCGGTGTGCCGTATTGTGGTTTTCTTAATTTTTCATCCTTAAATCAACTTTTGTAATAGGGAATCCTGTGTATAAGAGAAACGACCTCACTCATTTTGTCTTTTCTCTCCCTTCACAGTCGACTGGTTCGCGAGACGCTCTGTCTATTTTCTCACTCTCGCTCTTCCTAAATCGTATATTTTCTCTCTAGCCGTAACGAATCTGTTGCGAGTTAAATTTTATTCTCAACGTGCCTAAAGAAGTTTCACTTCAAAAATAATATAATGACGATTAAAAACGCGATTTTTAAACCGTAAAAGTATTTTTAATTCAAGACAAGTTTAATTTATTGGGAAAATATGAAATAAATGATTTTCAATGAATAGAGGGTATTTTGAAAAATAATAATAATATCTATTTTGCTTTCGTATCAAAAAGTTTTACAATACTTTTTTACTTCAGTAAAACTACTCAAATATAAATGAGAAAAATTCAAATTAACCAGTAAAACCACAAGTGAGCGAACAGAGGAGAAACATACAAACAAACATTCATTTTTATCAATAAAAATTTTCAATCTAATCTATAAGATATGATTATAGCCGGAATGTTTGGGAATGTAAACATCCGTATGTACATATATTATTGTTTTAAAAAAAAGAGAGGATTGGCATCAATTAGGGTCATCATTATTTAATATCAAAATAAAAAATACATTACTTTGAAATATTAAACATGATTTAATTATTTATAGTTTGATATATATTTAGAATGATTTAACAATCACATCTGAAAATATGAACTTATTTACGGAACAAGCTAAACAATAATGCGTCAAATGTGGGTAGTCACGTGATCTATGGTTACATGGCCCAAGTGACGTCACACGTAGGGCAGTTTGCGCGGCAATTTTGATGGATAGATTCCTCGCTGTTATAAGAGTAATGTGTAGTGAACGGGTGTTCGTTTGTGTGTCCGGCCAGCGCACCCACTATCGGGGGACATTTCGCTTTATACGCGATATTTATCTTTGTAACTAAAGGTGAGTTTTATTTGGTATTACCATCAAGAAAATAATAAATACAGTTCGTACTGTTACGACGGTATGAGTAACGCCATCTGTCATCATATAGCAGAAACGAATATCAAAAGAGCTAGCAATATCGAGAGCGCTCGAGAAGTGTGGCGCCATCTATTATCAAATATCGAAACGACTCGTCCTATCGGGAATGTTCTTGATAGTTGTGGACTTGTCGTGTCGACTATAAAAGCGTTGCAGAGATGACATGAAGGCAGTTAGTAATCGGATCTACTCGAAGCGAAACAGACAACGGATCACCTGAAGCGAAGCTGAAGAAGTGAATTGCGAATTGTAAAGTGTTTTAAGTGTTAAATAGTGTTTTAATTTGTATTTAGTTGGAATTTTTCTTTATCCCGAGCCCCAGCGCGTAACAGTACGAGCACAACAATATTAATATGATGCAACATACTGTTTTCAGATATAAAATACTCGATTGATTTAATAATAATTATTATAATAATGGAATTCGAATCCGGATTTGATTTCATAAATCAATTAGTAGTTCTCTTTTGCCAATTGGAAAGGCAACGGTATCATTCCATACAGCCTAATCTTTCGTGTATTCTTTTTTTTAATGAAAAACGATATGGAGCGAAATTAAGTTGATTAATATGAAACATTAATCAATCGACATGAAATTAAGTGTAATGAGATGATGTGAGATGAAATATAATATCAGTAAAATGGTAGTTATTTACTGAGACTTTTTTGAAGATCTCGAGAAGCTACGTCCAGCGATTATATATAATTTTCCCACATTCTGTCTTTTCAATATAAGAATATTTTTACAAAAACGTCAAAAATGGCAGCTGTCAAATTAGAATAACAAGTCAAAGTAAAAATCTGATTTCGCATACCACCACACCGGGATGTAATTGGAAATCCCGGTAAAGTGAGATTAAAGTTCATTATCATTCTCGCTGGCAATAAAAAAAAATTAAGATTATAATTAAGTCGAATTACATTCAGTCACTAACGGTCCTATTGTTCCAACTAAATTCAGTTCTAACTATTCGTCTCTCTCGCTCTTGTTCGAGATACGGTAAGCGAGAAAGCGACAAATTATATATATCATTAAAACCGAATCAATTTTAATATTTCATTATTTGTTGACGTTAATGGAAGATCTTTGAGGAATTAACGAAATTATCGTTTTTAAATAATCGGCGGCGGCATTTTATTTAGATATTCGTTAAAACTGATAATAAAAATATTCGCTGTCAAACGAAGAATCGATAAATTACTTTAGCAAATATATATCTATCGTCACCCTGTCACATAAATCACAAGTTCTATACAATCGGCTTGATTCGGACAAACCTACGAGAGGGTTGCCGGAATTCGAACCGAAAGTACCTATTAATATTTATATTTAAAATAGTATATTAAATTTTCGATTATTGGTGATTCTCTTGTGACGCACTTTCTTCTATGAGAGGCGTCGTGTCTGATGAATTCAGAAGTCTTCTGATTAGTACGACTACACCTACTAATATGAGGACCACGCCGATTACCTGAAAAATATAATTTGTTATAAATGCGTTTCGCCACCTTGCCTGAGATATACAGTGGAAGAGGCACAGAAGCAGTCATGCACTCCGGTTTGAAGGGCCCATGCCTCAGCGTTGCTAAGCCAAGCAAGGTTCTAAAATGCTGTAAGTCCTTAACAGAGCGAAGCGGTACTCCATGCCTGGACAAAGTCAAGCTTGGCATCGCGTTCCACCTCTAAGTCGAGGCTTCCAAATACCAGTAACTTCCGTTTGACTCCATACAGAAGAAGGCCGTTTGGGTTGACGATAACTACATTCACGTTTGGAACCTCTGGGTCTACGGAGAAACTCCAGTTTTATGTGTAGTATCGTATGATCCACGGGGAGTGTTCTGAGGAATTATTTGAGATGATCCCATCATAACCATTTACCATAGCACCGCCCGTAATTGAAGCCATCATCCACACCGCCTAGAGCCACGTCCATCTTCAAAGCGTCAATCAGAGTATTTTCTACCACGTACCATCCAGCATTGGATCTCCTCTCCACGGTTTTTCCCGAGCACTATGACATGTCCTTCTTCAAAGGAAATTTTAAGAGAGTCCTCAACGGCAGGCAGCGGTTTGACTGTGCGCCTAGCATTTCTGATGTCCATGAGCAACCGTGATTGCTTACCATCCGGTGGGTCTTACGATAGATTATTTAGAATGGCGATAGAAACAAAGTGGGTGTCTTGCATCCCCTCGATCGACTCACGGTGAGGGCATAGAGCGCGTATGGAGTGTAGTATCGCAGCGCCAGGGCTACTCTGGCCATGTGCGCGTAATCCGGCGTCACCTGCAGCTCCTGCCGGAACCAGAACATCGGCACCATCGTGTCTGGGTCCGGCAACACGTTGTTGATACTGGGGACGGGACGACGCCATGAGTCATCTATTAGTATCTATAGACGATGACCGAGCTTTCCTTTTTTTTTTTTTTTTGATAACGCCATCTTGTTGTGTCTTTAAAGCGGTTAGTTGCCCTCAATTAAGAAAAATAGTATTATTAATCGCCAATAGATGTCGGGAAGAGTTGATTATTGAAAACACGAATAAAACAACATTTTCTGAAAATAAATCGTAGCTAGATCGATTTATCGCCCCCGAAATCCCCTGTATACTAAATTTTATGAAAATCGTTGGAGCCGTTTCCGAGATTCTGATTATATTTGCTCGTTTAAAGGTATAAGATAGGGGGATTATAGCGGCCTTATCTACACGACACGCTTCTTAGAACTGACTAACTGATCGGATAGCAAAATTTACTGGTTTTACGGCTCACGCGACCTCCATACTTATACTTATTTAGCAACAGAATTTGTTAAACAGGAAATTAATCTTGATCGAATAGAAACAATGTCCAAACAATAAAAAAAACATAACTTTGATAAAATAAAACAACCTAATTTATTTTCATATTTGTTGAACTTTATGGTTTATTGCTCTGTGTGTGCTATTTTCTCCAATCTAAAGATGTTTAGATGTCTGGAAGAGTCTCGGACATCGCGACATCTCACTGTTTTGATAATTCGCGGTGTTGCTTTTTTTTTAAATTGTTTACATGGGTAGACGAGCTCACAGCCCACCTGGTGATAAGTGGTTACTGGAGGACATAGACATTTACAACGTAAATGCGCCACCCACCTTGAGATATAAGCTTTAAGGTCTCAGTATAGTTACAACGGCTGCCCCACCCTTCAAACCGAAACGCATTACTGCTTCACGGCAGAAATAGGCGGGGTGGTGGTACCTACTCACTCTAACTGGCGTCATCTAGGCGGGCTCCGGATAGCCTGCCGACCGTGAGAGCTGTGGTCGTGGCGCTGACGACCGCCGGTCCGGCGTCCCGAGGGGGAGGGTGACGGGAGAGATGTGCTCCGCGCTTTACTTTCCTCCCTTTGCCTTTTCATGAGTTCTGTCTGATGCGAGGCTTAGACACAAGACAGATTTGTCACAAGACGTCCTACCGCCAGTAAAAGTATAAATATGTTAAAGATTCTCGTGTCACTTAATCACGGAAACAGAGCATTTCCATTCAGGAAACCACAATACCTTATCCCCCAGACATCTCTGATGAGCAGGTTGATCTGCAGCTGCGCGGACACGGCCAGCGGCATCCCGGTGAACATCTCCAGCGCCAGGCTGAACCTGTGCTCCCTGGAACACGCGACCAGCTGTAGTGCGCCGTACGGTGCCAGCGAGACGGTAGCTTGTATTCAAAGTTTACACGTACCGTTCTCGGCACGCTTTACACAATTTGGGGCGCTATAGTAGAATTATTTTGTCGGTGCAGTTTGGGTCATAAAACATATACCGGCTAGGGCGGTGAGCATGTGGCGCGGGCGCAACGTCATTATCGATAAAAACAAATGAGTCATCGAAGGCAGGTACACGGCGGCGGGGTGGTATACGACGGGTGGTGAGACATTGTTATGTTATGAGTCATTTGTTGTACTTACCTGGAGATTATAATACATAATGTGTCGAGGAGAATAATAATGTGTTTTTATGCATTCGCTCTCTAAATTTCTTTAGTGACACAATGGCTATTCCTTTGTTTTGTACCCAAAACGGTAAAATTTATTAAAAATAATATTTGCACGTGTTGTTATCAACAATGTGTTAAAAAATTTCACTGAAATGAAAATAGATCCCGAAAAGTTGCAAAGTGTTAATTTCTGCCGTTCTAGTTAACTTGCTGCGGCGATGTGTGGTGTAAGTGTTCGATTAGTGATTTTTACATTCATTTTTATCATTAACCCACAAAATGACAAAACTAAATACACTATCGATAACGCTTATCGAAAACAATAATGCGCATCACTATGCCCGTCCATAAGGCTCGTGAGTGGAAGAGAGAGCGAAATACTCGCTTCACCGCTCCGATTATTTATGACCCAAACTGCACGGACAAAATAATTCTACTATAGTGTTGTCGTAGGAGATGTATGGAAATGGTAGTGCAAGATAGAGGGGGAAGAGGTCGACCGAAGAAGACATGGATGGAGGGTGTGAATGACGATATGAGACAGAGAGGAGTGAGTGTTGAGATGACGGCTGATAAAAGAGAATGGAAGAGAAAAATTAGCTGTGCCGACCCCACCTAGTGGAATAAGGTGGAGAAAAAGAAGAGTGTTGTCGTGAGAAACAGATTTTTTTTCAATGGCTTGCGAATTGCCACAGACAAAGGTCAGGAAACGGAATAGTAAAGGAAAAGAATTTGACATCGGACGAAATTTACATCGAATAAAAGGATAGGATCAGCAGGTTATAAAACTATCTCTAAATGTGAAAAACAGATAGTCTCGACATTACGAACTAGGGATGTGACATTAGAGACGTGGAATATTCCACAATTATAACAGATAACAACAAAACAAATTGGTACCACTTTCTTCGCTGCCTGTCAAATCACTGATGTCACTCAGTCAAACTATTGATGAGTTTTAATGCTATCAATGTTAACAAAAAACAAAAGAGAACCATGACGTATAAAACAAATCTGAACCTTGGGGTGTCGGTCATTAAGGTCGAATTTCGTTTGACGGTCGAACACTAGTCAATTTAACACTAAACATACTGTAACAGGTCAAATTACCCATTTTGAGCTTTTGCATCGAAAATGCACGTATCATCTTATTGCTTTTGTACATTTAACTTCATGAATTTTTCTTACAAATTAATCTACAGTTACTATAATTTTTTATTTGTTTTGTTTTGTTTTGTTTTGTTTATTTTGAGTAATACTTGTCGTATACCGTTACCTACCCGCTATGGTAGAAATAGGTACCAGTAAGTGTTGGTATGATTAGTGTTAATATCGCGAGAATGTATGACGATTCGGAGATATCGTCTTCTCGCATTAAAGCTGTATAATTTCAAAACTTACTAATTTTACAGATGAGTGTTTTAAAGGTTTAACATGTGATATTTTTAATATTAATCATCTTTGGAACATTTATTTTTTATTTTTTACCAGTTACATTATCTGTCTTTTAAAGTAAGATAACATTATGTATTAATTTTGTTAATAGTAGTCAAAACATAGCTAAATAAAAATAAAAAATAAAAACTAAACTACACTCTTTTGACAGTATTTATGAGAAAAATACTGGTGATACCAAATGATTCCGCATATTAGATCAATTTAGAATTAATTTGAATATTTTTGGAAATTGTACATTTAATGCGAAAATACGATATTAGTTCCGAATCTCATTGAGATAGGCATCGTCGATGAGCCGCATGCTCATCTGCTTATTGGACGATGAAGCTTAATCATAGAGTCATCTAACGGAGACACTAGAGTGAGGGGCAGCGAGACTACTCACTCCTGCGGGTCCAGACCCTGGATCTTGCTGGGGTAGTACGGGTCCGCGTCCAGGAAGTGCGGCTGGGACACGAAGGCCGGGGCTCCCAGGCGGCACAGGGACACGTTGAGGGCGCCGGGGGGCACGCAGTCCCGGTCCCTAACCTCGTCGCAGTAGCACGCCTGCCGACAACCATCAAGCTTTATCATAACCTACCCGCTGATACTAATACAGCGATATTCGAAGCTGTTCAGCCAATATTCATTGTTAACAGAGTAAATCGACAATCTAATATATAAAATTCTTGTGTCCCGGTGTGCGTGATTGAACTCCTCCGAAACGGCTCGACCGATTTTCGTGAATCTTAGCGTGCATATCGGCCAGGGTGGAGAATCGAACAACATCCATTTTTCATCCCCATAAATGTTAAGGGTGGATTTATTTATTTTTTAGACACCTTTTTTTTATGATACAGCATACAAAAAAACATACAACACTAATTTTTCACCCCTCTACGATCAACCCTTATTTTTTATTTGTTAATATTTAATTTAATTTTTATTTAATTAATTAATTTTAATTAAATTTATTTAATATTTATTTTTATTGCCTAGATGGGTGGACGAGCTCACAGCCCACCTGGTGTTAAGTGGTTACCGGAGCCCATAGACATCTACAACGTAAATGCGTCACCCACCTTGAGATATAAGTTCTAAGATCAAAGTATAGTTACAACGGCTGCCCCACCCTTGAAACCGAAACGCATTACTGCTTCACGGCAGAAATAGGCAGGGTGGTGGTACCCACCTGCGCGGACTCACAAGAGGTCCTACCACCAGTAAAAAGCATCAGGCGATTCTACGCTCAGTAGAATACGAAGTCGAGGAGTTTCCAGGCTATAAGCAGTCCTACAGTCGACAGAACAGTCGGGTAGCGCCATATTGGCATCGAACGCTTTCTTTACACTACCGACTCACCATTGCGGGATAGTTGTGTCCGTTGTCGAACAGCGAGTCATTGGCCGCGTACCGAACGCCCTCTATGTTTTCTATCAGCACGTCTTCCTTCTTGTGCAGTGTCAGGTATCTGTCAGATCGAAAACTAACATTTCAACAAGAGAAACGTCAAACGCCGGGACAAAGGAGTCGAGCCCAGAGGGTCTCACGTCCTGTCCATCTAAGTTTTTGAAGTGAAACTTCTTTAGGCGCTTTGAGAGTAAAATTTAACTCGCGACAGATTCGTTACGGCTAGAGAGAAAAGATACAATTTAGGAAGAGCGAGATTGAGAAGATGAGATATAAGAGAACTTATATTTGATTTTTAATGAAGGATTTAAAAAAAAAAATTAATTTCGTATACTCTAAGGAAAGAAGACCTAGGAAGTGGACGTGGCCTGCTGACGTGATACAGCAGTGACTTCACACTGGTCGGAGTTGAGGGCGCCACTAACATATGGCCTGGTTCACGGCCTCTTTCTGACCAGGCACCAGGGATAGACGGACGTTGTACATTCGCGTGTCAACTTAGTTACCCACATTTTGTTCTTAGTATTTAAAATCATTAATTGTCGAAAATTGTATTTTGTATCATTCTAATTATATTTTTTTAATATTTTGAGTCGCGATTTCTAATTGTATATATATAGATTCCTAAGAAGATAGATTAGCTCTGCTCACGTGCATATGTCGGACGCGAAGACGAACAACTCGGGTTGCCCCAGCTCTGGGGCCCATAGCTCCCCAGTGGACCCCTTCACGTCTCCACAGTGGTCCCTGAACACGGTCCTGGGGGAGTACTTCCACAGCTCAATGTTGCCGAGCCGCGAGAAGTCCGCCGCTCCCGTGTTCATTATGAACGAACCGTCAAATTCCCTCGAGCCATTGCGCTGAAAATTGAAAAGGTTGTATTGATTTACATACCTATGTATATTTGAAGCCGTCAGCGCAGAAGTGGCCTAAGCTTACCATAGTTATTATGGAGCAATGAGGTTTAAGTTTTCGTGAATTTGAATTTGAGTAGGCAAAAAACAATATGCGAAAAAACAATGTTTACAAAGCCATGTTATCTGTGGGTGAAACTATGGATAGGCCGGTTTTGCATCAAAATTTATTATATTTTAAATAAATTGCAATATACATATGTTATTATAAGCATGATTATGAGAAATCGTGGGTTAGGCCGCTTTTGCACTCACGGCCTCATTTATATAGTCTGTTTTTTTTATTGCTTAAATACGTGGACGAGCTTATGGCCGACCAAGCGTTAAGTGGTTATCGGAGGACATAAACATCAACAACGTAAATGCAGACACCCACTTTTAATACGTGAGTTTTAAGTCTCAGTTTTATTGTCTGTTTCCCTACAGACTCTGAAACGGCTGGAGCGATTTCGATGCAATTTTTAGGTAATCTTCAGATTGGTCTAGTGGGTGATCCTGTGTAGTTTGGTCGCGGTCAGTATTAAGCGGTAGGCAGCGGCTTGGCTCTGCCTCTGGCATAGCTGACGTCCACGAGCGGTGGTAACCACTCACCATCAGGTGGACCGTATGCTCGTCTGCCCAAACGGGCAACAAAACAAAGAAAAATTTATCGTAAGTCCAATCAAAGATCTGCCAGCAGAGCGGCTCAGGGTTGGCTAGTGAATGAATGCTCTTCTAAGCACTTTTGCGATGCGCCGAGGGTCGTGGGTTCGATTTCCACATCATACAAACGTTTTGTGATAGACAGGTTTGTTTGTTCTTCGTCTGGACGTTTATTATCTATATATGTATGTAAAGATAAACCTTTATCATTTAAAACCTTTAAAACTCTTTAGTTTTAAAAAAAGGATTTTTCCTATATGGAGTCACTCATCTCTCTGCCATTCAGTGATTCAAATTAATATCACAGAGCTGTGGTTTCACGTTGCGTTATCAAAGACTCCGGCAACCGAACACCGACGAACCAGCGCTAACAAAATAATCTTAACGTTTTTATTCAACAACGGCAAGGAAGCGTTAGAAGTGAGTCATTGCGTCAACGCAACAAGTACGTTCATGACTGGACGTCGGAATGTAAGACTTTCACTCTTGTATAATGATTACTTTGTTGGTTCACAGTCTACAGCTGCTCGACGTGTGCTCAGCTTAAACATAACCATCGAGGGGAGTCTTTTGGTGGGTAGGGCCCTAGAACAACCTTGGGCCCGTGATCTGCTCCCAAAATCTGGAGATCGTCAAGCCCCACATAACCCGCGCGCCCCCTAACCACAGAGACCTCGTAGGAGGAACGGGACCACGCCCGAAAAAAAAAAAAAAAAACAAGGCCCTGGCTCCTGAAAACTACTGATCTATAGCACTCCTGAATACTGCTAATCAATATTGTACACCGGTTTTGAACACCGGTCCACTTGCTTCGATCGATACAAATGCAGCGTCTTATCTTTTAGACTATGNAAAAAAAAAAAAAAAAACAAGGCCCTGGCTCCTGAAAACTACTGATCTATAGCACTCCTGAATACTGCTAATCAATATTGTACACCGGTTTTGAACACCGGTCCACTTGCTTCGATCGATACAAATGCAGCGTCTTATCTTTTAGACTATGAGTATGCCTTTAGGAAAGCACAGATAACATACCATAATAATATGCGTATCTCGATAACCAGCGAGCCTGAAAAACCTGCCACTATTGAATTATCTACATATTAATACCTGAAGCAAAAACTTTGTAGCTCTTTTTACGAAAACTGGGCGTACGGAGGAATATGAAATTTCCCAAATTTATAGAAAATATAGAGAAGGAGCGCAGAATGTTAATCTTTTTTTTAAATCTTGCATAAAAAAATACATTAAATCAATAAAAAAAAAAATTACACACACTACTATGTATTTGGCACAACACATATTAATTACACACATTTGTTTTTTGTCAAACTTTTGTTATTGTATAAAGTGGTCAAATTGAGAATAGATTAATATTGTTTGTCTTTAATATTATTTGTCTATATCTACGCCTTCGCTGGGATTATAGAAGTATAATCACAGATATAGAAGTATAATAAAAATAATATATAATTTCTATTAATAAGATTCGAATTAAGGAAATATTAAAGACTAGCTGACCCGGCAGACTTCGTAGTGCCTCAATCGATAAATAAAAGACCTAAACTTTTGTATAAAATAAACTTAAAGCAAACAAAAGGAATCCGTCCGACGGGGGACACATCAAAGGAAAAACAAAATTGTTATTATTTTTATTTAATTCCGAACATTTTCATATTTTAAACCATCTCCGAACTTGCACAAATAATTCAAGACCAAAATTAGCCAAATCAGTCCAGCCTTTTCGAGTTTTAGCAAGACTAACGAACAGCAATTCATTTTTATATAATAATAATAATATAATTTTATAATTTTAACTTATAATTTTACTTATAATTTTAATTAATTATAGTCGAATTCGACTAATGGGGGACCACTAGTCAAAACTAAACTTCTAAAAGAACATGTGTCATATCAAATTCAAATTATTTTCCAATACAAATTACCGCCGATTCCAAAGAGAGCCACTATCTCCTCAGAACAAGCGAAAAGGCATCTTTTTCATAGCCAAATTTATGCATTTATTCTTTTTAAAGACACATTAAGCAATTTTACAAACGCGTATACAAAACAGATTTAAATACTTTAAAAAAATGTATGAATCTTTACAAAAGCCAAAGAGCATTATTAGGCCAAAGAGAGATAATTATGATAATGATAAATCATATTTTGTATTAGTCATGCGATGATATCAGTTACAAACAATTTTTTACAAATTAAACAAAAGTTGATTTTGGCACAGAATTAATAATAATGTTAATAATAATCAGAAATGGGAACCAATCACGCACGGACATACTGACCTCAATTTAGAATTCGCTCTGTTATAAGTACTAGAGACTGGCATACATACTTATTTAAGGTAAAATATATACATATATAGATAATATGCACCCAGACAAAGAGCAAACAAACCTGTTAATCACACGAATGTTTACCCGATATGGAAATCGAACTCACGATCCCCGAGAGAGAGCCACTAACCACAGCACCACTGAGTCAGTCATTAATATTAACAGCCCACTGAGTTTCTCGACGGATCTTCTCAGTGGGTCGCGTTTCCGATCCGGTGATAGATTCTGCGAAGCACTGCTCTTGCTAGGGCCAGTGTTAGCACCACTCTGGTTTGAGCCCCGTGAGCTCACTTACACGTTAGGGCGAAGTTGATATAGCCTCTCAAAGGTATCAGCATAGGTAGGTAAAATAATAATTGACAATGGTGATTAGGCTCCGTGAGCTTAGCTACCCATCCAGGCAAAGATTTAATAGCTTCTTAGACTACCAGCGAATAGGTAGGGAAAAAAGGTGATAGGGCTCCATCGTAAGCTGGCCTATTTTTGCTGGTTTTAATGCGTATTGTCAGACAGCACGGACGGTTACCGCCGTCTAGCCTAAATCTGCCACGAAGCAAACCGGAGACGGATGAGGATATTCATGTTGAGATACTTATAGGACCTGATAAACCCAACGAAATAGAGAAACGGAAATCGAAAATCTACATACCTCATAGAACCATCCGAATTTGTCGTACGGTATATTCAAGGGTAGATCGGGAAACTTTTGGGCCATCTCCAAAACCGGGTCTTCGATGCCTTCGAACAGCCAGGACGAGACGTTCGCCTTCAGGAAGAGGTCGTCGTGGAACATTCGCAGGAAAACGTCAACGGACACCTTGACGACCCTGGGCTGGTGTCTGACAATGTACGCCACAGTCTGAGAACAGAATAACCCATTAATTAATACGTGAAGCAAAAACTTTGTATCCCTTTTTACGAAAATTACGCGGACAGAGGAGTATGAAACTTTCCACACTTATAGAGAATATAGAGAAGAAGTGCACAATGCTAACTTTTTTTTTTAATTATTTAAAAATATACATTAAATCAATAAAGAAAACATTACACACATTACCATGTATTTGACACAACACATTTAAATAAATATATACTCTTTGTTTATTGTCAATTGTCAAACTTTTGTTAGTGTTTAAAGCTTGTGGTCAAATTGAGAATAGATGAATATTGTTTGTCTTTATTATTTATGTATAGTGTAGTTTTGCCGAAATCTGTGATTACATTATATAACTTTTTATTTTTTTATTGCTTAGTTGGGTGGACGAGCTCACAGCCCACCTGGTGTTAAGTGGTTACTGGAGCCCATAGACATCCACAACGTAAGTGCGCCACCCACCTTGAGATATAAGTTCTAAGGTCTCAGTATAGTTACAACGGCTGCCCCACCCTTCAAACCGAAACGCATTACTGCTTCACGGCAGAAATAGGCAGGGCGGTGGTACCCACCCGCGCGGACTCACAAGAGGTCCTACCACCAGTAATTACGCAAATTATAATTTTGCGGGTTTCATTTTTATTACACGANATAAGTTCTAAGGTCTCAGTATAGTTACAACGGCTGCCCCACCCTTCAAACCGAAACGCATTACTGCTTCACGGCAGAAATAGGCAGGGCGGTGGTACCCACCCGCGCGGACTCACAAGAGGTCCTACCACCAGTAATTACGCAAATTATAATTTTGCGGGTTTCATTTTTATTACACGATGTTATTCCTTCACCGTGGAAGTCAATACAATAGTATTTGACAATACAACCATAATAATGTTTAAACATAAAATTTCAATTGATTAAAGTCGAATTTCGACTACTGCGGGACCACTAGTAACCCATTAATCGTCGATCAGTCTCGCAGCCCAGAGAAGAATTTTTCCAGAAACGTGTGCTCCTGTAATCTTTCAGTCATAGTATTTTATTATCTTACCGTTTTTCTGTAATAGTTGCCCATCTTATTGATAGAACCTATCTTTGTTACTAAATGTAAAAGTTTGTATATATGGATATCGGTTATTGAATCACGAATAGCTAAACAGATTGTGATGAAAATTCACGTAAAGTGAACACACACACCCACCTGGTGTTAAGGGGTTACCGGAGCCCATAGAGATCTATAACGTAAATGCTGCCACCCACCTTGAGATAAGAGTTCTAAAGTCTCAGTATAGTTACAACAGCTGCCGCACCCTTCAAACCGAAACGCATTACTGCTTCACGACAGAAATAAGCGGGGTGGTGGTACCTATTCGTGCGGACTCGCATATTAGATTTATCACGATTAATGATACGTCCAAGGCTACAACTGTAATCTTTAATATTAAAACGACTTAAGCAGCTCTTGATTACGAAAAAAAAAGTTGCAGAAAGCAATGCAAAGCTCTGTATAACATTACATTACATGCTGGCGAAACCGCGGGGCATATGTCTCGATCACCCGCGTCTAATCACAACAAAGTGTCTTGCATCGAATTTTTCCCTACCTATTCGGTGGTAGCCTAAGGGGCTATTCCAGCTCCTCGCGGATGGTTAGGTGAGTTCAGGGGCTCAACCTCAGAGAATTTGGTAATACTAGTCCTAGCAAGAGCAGGGCTTCGCAGAATCTACCACCAAATTGGAATCGCGACCCACTGAGAAGATCCCGAGCGCTATGACATGTCCTTCTTCAAACGAGGCTTGTGGAGAGAATTAAACGGTAGGTAGCGGCTTGGCTCTGTCCCTGGCTTTGTTGAATGTCCATGGACGACGGTAACCACTCACCATCAGGTGGGCTGCTCGTCTGCCTATACGGCAATAAAAAATAAAATAAAAAAAAACCGGCGATAACCTCCGTCAGATTACGATGGGTCGTTATGGCCTAAGCGACCGTTTAAGACCAAAACCCGCCTTGAGATGATCTACTAAACGCTAATTATTAACAAAAAAACATACGCCCCGAATTCAGAAACTCCTTTAGTTTTGAAATTACCTAAATAAACAAAAAAAGCGTACTTAGAATTATCAGCTACTGTATCATATTTTCAGTTGAATTCTAAGAAGTTAAACTCACCGCTATTATAGGGTTGATGCTGATAATCTCATCCGAAAGACTTCCCTTCGACAAATTCTGGTCGAAGTGCCAAAATCTCTGATTGTAGAATGTGATTGTGCTGTTATCATTCCAAGTCAGGTTCACCTGATAACAAAAATAATGAGCGTTAAATAACATTACATTGATTATCTATGATCTTCACTAATATACCCATATCATCCTTACTAGATTGGATTGGTTCTGAAATCATTCCACCTACCAGGCATACCGTAATTCGTATAGAATAATCCCTTATGTTGCCAGCGAATAGACAATAGACCGAAAAAACAAGATCCTCTGGACACGTGGTCAGTGCCACCAGCCGNAATAATGAGCGTTAAATAACATTACATTGATTATCTATGATCTTCACTAATATACCCATATCATCCTTACTAGATTGGATTGGTTCTGAAATCATTCCACCTACCAGGCATACCGTAATTCGTATAGAATAATCCCTTATGTTGCCAGCGAATAGACAATAGACCGAAAAAACAAGATCCTCTGGACACGTGGTCAGTGCCACCAGCCGCCTTAATACAAAGTCTCTGGTGTCGCGGTTATGGTAAATCTAACAAATCACGTGATAAATATTTCAAAGGCAAAAAATATCGGACCAGTAGTTTTTCAATTATTACTTTTATACGTCTTAATGTGTTATCGCTTTTTTTGATGCAGTCTCGACCATGACACTTTTATTAATCACTTAATTAAGGCATGTGGCAGAATATGTATTCGCATTTTAATGTTCATTTTTAATATAAATTTTAATGAATTTCGAACATAAAATTGAATTTGTTAACGTATACCTGTCTCAAAGCTGTAATGTTTTCCGACTTTATGGGTGACACCATCGATATAACTTATGCTCAATGTAGGTAATGAGTGATGACTGATGACATTGCAATTGCGACATGCGAATTCATATTTTAATCAGCATTCTTTATTACAGCTTTACTTTACATCTGCAGCATGGCGCCTCCTAAAAATCTTAAGTCGATATTTCAGAATTTCATGTAAAAATAACAATCATTTTTAAATGCTAACTTTGCCTGTCTGATATATTATATTATGTTTCTATGTGGGTGCGTGTCAGTTGTTTGAGATCATTCCGTAGCACTGTTGATAATCCATAAAGGGCTATTCTATCTTATCGAGGCATTTAAAAAAGAGGAATAACTCATAAGGAGGCTATCAGAAGGAAATATTGAATCGATATTAGCAAAGAAACTATGCTCTATTCCAATTACGAAGTCCCATGAGATAGATGTTATTGTGTGCGTGAATTAATTGTATAATGATTTAGATTGTGTATTTTTTAAATGATGTTAACGACAATGAACAAAAAATGATTAATTATTTCAAATTATGCAAATCGTGAAGCGTTACGTTCTAAGAAGTGTCAAAAGGGACTTCGTCATTGGAATAGAGTATATTACATTTAGAGTTAGACGCACAAGCCTTGTTCGGATATTCTGTTCTTTTCCCGCATAGCTGCAATTAATTATGTGTAATTCGATGCGTCACAACAATAATAAAAGTATCAAGAATAACTGTACAAAGTTTCGATTACAACGAATTAATAGTTTAGGAACGCATAGAGGATACATATAAATACCAACATTAATATTTATTTATATATGTATGTACTTAGTAGTAGTTCGAGTAACGTTTTGTTTATAGGATACATAGCAGTACTTCGAAATACAAAAACATCTAACATGAATAAAACTTTTGTGACTTGAATAAAATACATTTCATAATAACAATGTACATACACGTATACATGTAAATACACGTTCATTTAATATTCATTCCGCTTTTTCTTACTTTTTTATTGCTTTTGTAAACGGACGAGCATACGGTCCACCTAATGGTGAGTGATCACCGTCGCCCATCACTCAGTAATGCCAGGGGAAGAGCCAAGCCACTGCCTACCGCTAAGTACTCTCCACAAGCTTCGTTTGATGAAGGAGCGCTCGGGAAACAATGTTGTCTATACCAATATTATAAAGAGGAAAGATTTGTTTGTTTGTTTGTATTGAATAGGCTCCGAAACTACTGAACCGATTTGAAAAATTCTTTCACTGTTTGGAAGCTACACTATTCCCGAGTGACATAAGGTATAATCTTTTTTGAAAAAAATTAGGGATCCTTACTAAAGCTCCAATAATGTAACCCAAGGTGTAAAAAAATTACCTAAAATATTCTTTACATCGCGTGCTCTGCGAAAACTATTGATGATAGAATAAAATAATGTACTACGACTTTGTAGAACACATTATTATTTACAAAAAGTCTCGCGACAGCATATGTCTAATTATTATAGTTATGCCACAATACATTTAAAAAAAAACAACGTCAAATATCGTTAAAATTTTTGTTAAAGACCCGAGCGAAACCGGAGCGGGCCGCTAGTTACGCAATAAAATGAGTCCACAATAACATCGTCCATAAAACACAATAAATTTTGCGTTTTAAATCATGTTTCTTTAGTGATTCGTTATCAATTAAATATACATCAGATAATGCAATTAATGTTATCGCCACGCTTTCTGCAACGCGCCTACATGTTGAATACATATTGAATAATCAGTTTTTTTCCATTAGATGCGGTCTCAGTTTTTACAACACAACGGATGACTCATCCTTCGAACCGAAACTCATTGGTGCTTCACCGCAAAAATAGGCAGGGTAGTGGTACCTACCCGGGCGGACTCACAAGTTGCCCTACCCTAAAAATTTGTAACCGCCTGCGAGATTCGAAAACACCGGCACCATTTTTGCCTATAAGCCACGATGACATCCCTGTAGGTATACGACAAAGGGAAGATCTTCCACCGAGCTGGTTAAAATGTCGGTAGACCGACGGACCAGATGTTGTTGTTCGGACCTTGTAGATATGCGAGCTTCTCTTGAAAATGTCGTAAGCGAGATTCAGGCATTTGTCAAATATCTTGTGTTGTATGGTGATGTATATTTATAAATATATGATGGCTACAGCCACAATCTTGACACTTCTTTTACTACTTTTTTGAACTGAAACTTCTTTAGAATCGTGAATCGAAACTCGATGAAACGAAATGAAACGAAACGAAAAAATAAGTCGATAGAGACACAAACACATAAATGTATAGGATTCAGCCGGCGAGAGAATGAGATAGAACACATTATACGTGAAGTTAAAATATCAATTCTTGGCGGTACCCCCAGGGTGAGGCTGCTCCATTGCACTGCGGAGTGGTTGACCCTTGCGATTATTTTTATTTTTTATAAGTTTCACTTCTACCGTGTGACTTGCACACACACACATTTTTTTATGGAACTGGACCACCTTCTGTTTCCGTCTTAGTGCCACCAACGGACGATAGGTGGGGCGTGAACAGTTTGAAGAAGTGCGTTTTACATATAATTAGTGATGGACAGCGTAGCACGAATGTGTTTAACCAGTTATCAACAAATGCTCAATGCAATGTTTCCGTTAGCGAGATAAACTCACGGATGTGTCATCGTCTCGTAAACAAGTATCTTTGGTTATTTATAACAAGCTTTTATTGGCTTGCTTTTTTTTATTGCTTAGATGGCTGGACGAGCTCACAGCCCACCTGGTGTTAAGTGGTTACTGGAGCCCATGGACATCTACAACGTAAATGGGCCACCCACCTTGAGATATAAGCTTTAAGGTCTTAGTATAGTTACAACGGCTGCCTCACCCTTCAAACCGAAACGCATTACTGCTTCACGGCAGAAATAGGCAGGGCGGTGGCACCTACCCGCGCGGACTCACAAGAGGTCCTTCCACCAGTAAATAGGGATCATACTAGATTCACCGGGTGAGTGGGTGAGTTCACGGGGCTCTGACCAAACGAATTTGCTAGCCCTAGCAAGAGCAGTGTTTCGCAGTATCTACCACCGGATCGGAAACGACCCGGAATCTTAGAACGTCTTTTTCACAGACATTAAGACATCCCATTAACTTGAATGTACACGCATTCTTCTCAAACTTCGCTCTAATGTCCTGACCAAGATCATCAAGATAAAAAGGCCCTATTTAACCTTTTCTTTTTTTACTACCAATCTATATATGAATACGTGAAGCAAAAACTTTGTATCCCTTTTTACGAAAATTGCGTGGACGGAGGAGTATGAAATTTCCCACACTTATAGAGAATATAGAGAAGGAGTGCAGATTTTTTTTTTTTTAATGATGCCTAATAAATACATTGAATCGATAAAAGAAACATGACACACACTACCATGTATTTGACACACAACCCACACGCATTTATACTCTTCGTTTATTGTCAAACTTTTTTTATTTTTTAAAGTCTGTGGTCAAATTGTCTTTAATATTATTTGTCTATAATGTGGTCTTCGCGAAATCTGTGAATATACTGAAGTAAAATAATAATATTTAAAGTCTAATTTTGCGAATTGTCCCTTTGATCTTTACAAAAATGCAGCAAACACATTTTATGAGTAAGCCCAAAATACACTACAGATATGACTAGTTTTTTCAATTACTTTTGAACGATCTTGTTTTGGGAGCGAAAATATAGGGTTTTCTTTAATCCGAATTACAGTTGTTCCTTTTATGCTTTATTTGGAGTTATTTGAATGAACAGATAGTTATGTAACCTTTAAATGCTACACCAGGCATAAGGTTACTAGTGGTAGGGCATCTTGAGAATCCGCACAGGGTGGTACCACCACCCTGCCTATTTTTGCCGTGAAGCAGCAATACGTTTCGGTTCAAAGGGTGAGGCAGTCGTTGTACTGTAATAACTGAGACCTTACAACTCATGGCTCAAGGTGGGAGGCGGCACTTACGTTTTAGTTGTCTATGGACTCTTGTGGCTACTTAACACCACTTAAGCAATAAAAAAAAACAGTCTTCAAATATCTCGGCACTCATGATTACACTTGACCTTAAAGTAGTTTAATAACGCGCCAAGATCAAAGAAAACATTACAGAGGATGAGCGGTTTTATCAAACAAATTACCATATATTTCTAATTACCAAAGTGCTCATTTAGATAAATTGAAAACATGTAGCTTAAGGAAAAGTCAAACGTCACTTTTGGTGCTTCAATAATCGTTGTAAAGAAACCTTGTAAGCGCTGAATGCTCGTTTGCATTCTCATACAAGCGAAGACTTGCAAATGGCCTAATGATATTTACATACACACACTTTAACCAGGGTTGTGACAAACTTTATACAATACTAGCGACCCGCCCTCGCTTCGCTTCGGAAACATTAAAACACACATGAAACAAACAAAAAAAAACATTTTTTTTTTTAAAAAGTAGCCTATGTTCATCAGGGACAATGTCGGCTTCTAATGGAAAAATAATTTTTCAAATCGGTCCAGTAGTTTCGGAGCCTATTCGAAACAAACAAACAAACAAATCTTTCCTCTTTATAATATTAGTATAGATCTGTTTGTCTATTGCAGTGATTCTCAGCCTTCGAAGTGAAACTTCTTTAGGCGCGTTGATAGTGAAATTTGACTCACGATAGATTCGTTACGGCTAGAGAGAAAAGATACAATTTAGGAAGAGCGAGAGTGAGAAAATAGAAAGAACGTCTCCCGAACCACTCGACCGTGGAGAAAGGGAAAGCACAAAGCGAGCTAGGCGTATCTCTTATACACAGCATTCTCTATTACAAGATAAATTTGATTTAAGAATGAAAAATGAAGAAAACCACAATACTATACACCCCGCGAAAGAAGTTTCACTTCTTTCACGTGCCCCGTTTTTTTTACAGCGGCACACAAAGATTAAGATAAGTTTAAAATATTATTATGTACTATACACATATATGTACAGTCAAACCTGGGTAAGCGAGAACTGGATAAGTGAGAAATAAGTATAAGTGAGAGTAATAGCCAGGACCCGTCATTTTAACCTCTGTAAGAGAGAGTCGTTTTTCCCTCATGGACCTCCTTAAGGGAGACTGCTACTTATCTATACCTATATAAGCGACAGTCGAGCTTTATTTATATTATTTAGGAGGAACAAATGACAAAACAAATTACAAATTTAACATCTGCTATTTTATGACTCATTCTTAATTTTTGTGGAACTTCCTTCCATTGTTTTTGTATTATTTTCTCGTCAATATTGAACCTATTCTATTTCGTGGAACTAAATAACGTTGTTATTTTATCGCATTCTTTTCGAATGGACACGTGTGCCTGTGTACCGTCCTGTTTATCGGACTTACTCAGTTTATCGTTAATCAATTGCGAAGGAAAGTTCTGTTCTGCATCATGTCAAAACAGATAATTAGAGTACTGTCATTAAGTGATAAACTTAAAATAGTGAATGCGTTTGAATCCGAAAAATTGCGAAATGAAATTCAGAGGGAGCATTAGGGAGAAACTCGGGTTAGTGAGAATCCTCTATAAGCGAGAATAAGATTGTGCTCCCTTGAACTCTCGCTTATCCAGGTTTGACTGTATATGTATTACACTTCCTGTCCAGGACCTCTTGTGAGTCCGCACGGGTAGATACCACCGCCCCGCCTATTTCTGCCGTGAAGCATTAATGCGTTTCGGTTTGAAGAGTGGGGCAGCCGTTGTGACTATACTGAGACCTTAGAACTTATATCTCAAGGTGTGTGGCGCATTTACGTTGTAGATGTCTATGGGCTCCAGTAACCACTTAATACCAGGTGGGCTGTGAGGTCGTCCACACACCTAAGCAATAAAAAAAAATCGGATTTGCAATTTGATGCCAGTTTTCTATAGCAAAATTCGTTTAGTGAATTTTTACACCGACTCACTTTAGAATGTGACTCCCTGAACACGTAAGGACCAAACTGCTCCACTTTCAGTATTACGTCCTCTTTCGCGAGGATCTTATCCGCGTTCGTTATGTTGAACATGTAGCATTCCAGGTACATCGGTATTGGAGTCTCCTGCCATATGCCGAACGACGTTGAGGTCGGCGATAGGATCATCATCTGGAAGCGAAGTGAGAGTTAGCAATGGTTGCAGAATGGAGTTCTAAAATCAAGTTTATTGGCAAAAAGACTGTAGCATAGCTTTTGGGACTTGCTTTAAAAAGTTTTACGAGGCTGACTAACGTTCCATAATGGAACGGCTTTTTGATGTCCACGGCGAAGGAATAATATCGTGTAATAAAAATCAAACCCGCAAAATTATTATTTGCGTAATTACTGGTGGTAGGACCTCTTATGAGTCCGCACGGGTAGGTACCACCGCCCCGCCTATTTCTGCCGTGAAGCAGTAATGCGTTTCGGTTTGAAAGGTGGGGCAGCCGTTGTAACTATACTGACACCTTAGAACTTATATCTCAATATGTGCGGCGCATTTACGTTGTAGATGTATGTGCTCCTGTAACCAGTTAACATCAGGTGGACTGTGAGCTCATCCACACATCAAAGCAATAAAAAAAAAATCACATACCCTCTGTAACTGAGCCATGAAGAGGGAAGGCCAGTATACTACTACGATAGCACCGATAAGGACCAGCGCTGACCCGAAGCCCATGAACAGACCGCTTTTCACTCCGGAAGACACCATCTTCATCCACCTGTCAATAAAAAAAAAACACTGTTTGGTCGTGTATACCAGGACAAATGGGTCTGAGTAAAAAAAAAAGTTGATACTTTATTGTAATTCGGTAACTCTGACTTAACAGAATATGTGCAATATATTTCCATCTTAATCTATGGTAAACAGTCGATTATCTATGTTATAATTTACTTAGAATCGAACAGTAAATAATCTATTTGTTTTCTAAGCAATCAAAACACATAAATTATACATACATTGCCACGATCTAGATAAATATTTCGGAAATGTAAAAAAAAATGTGTCTTTCAATTGGATCGAATAAGTTTTTTTTCTTTATTGCGTAAATAGGTGAGCTAACTCTCGGCTCGCCTGATTTAAAGTCCGGAGTCCATGGACAGCACATGAGACATGAGGTCGAAGTCTCAAGCCTACGGAACCGGAACGCAGGACTACTTCGTAGCTGATGTAATCAAGATGGCAGGGTATCTATTACCAGGTGCGGGGACCTTGTAGGAGGTTCGGACCCAAGCGCGAAAAAAATGGGGTTTCTATTACTACTAGTAAATGCCGTAGCATACAATACTCCAGGCTCCAGCTTCACGTTTTAATATAGGTCAAGGCTGTCACGCCATGATCCCAATGGACTCCGGAGCTCACTAAGACTCATAACAATACGACTTACGATCAGTAAAAGAGTTCCAAATATTTAATTTTCGACTACGAATAATGGATGAAAAACATTAATAGAGTTTCATTTTTTTAAAGACAGTTTATTGATAGTATAATTAATGAGCAGGATTGAATGGCTTAAAAACTTTTATCTGCATAAAGGATATTAAGATTAAAAATGCATGTTTGTCACGGATATACACTATCAAACATCTACTCTTGATAACAAATATAATTCGTATTGTAGCCAAGGGAAAAAATTGATTTAAATACAATTTAATTTATTGCAATGGACGACAGAGTTCATAATAGAATTTGGCTTTTGAATTAAGGCTTTTGCTGTGTAAGCCCAATCATTGAAGTCGCCAGCAAGCTTACCCTCCTCCTGGCTGAGCCTTTGGTTGCCCACCTGTCCTCGTGAAACCTAGGCCTCCGGGCCGCCAGTAATCTCTCAATCATAAAAAAAACTTATTCTGTACGATAAATACTGCTAAATATGGCTACTAGGATATACACGGAGGTCCGTCAGAGAGGAGTGGCGGCGTGTTGTAAAGCTTGCCACCAAACGTCTGAATTGATGACCACGACCACTTTAAGAGCGATACCGACTAGGAAGAAGAAAGATATAGGTACAAGCCCGCACGGATGAGTAAGCTGAGGGTGAAACGTAAGCTCGTTAGTACAACTAAGTTTGTTCATGCTAATGGGCAACAGTACTATAGTAACATGTAGAGTGTTCACGATTTTTTTTTTTTATTGCTTAGATGGTTGGACGAGCTCACAGCCCACCCGGTGACAAGCGGCTACCGGAGCCCATAAACATCCACAACGTAAATGTGCCACCCACCCAGAGATATAAGTTCTAAGGTCTCAAGCAACAACGGCTGCCCCACCCCTCAAACCGAAACGCACTACTGCTTCACGGCAGAAATAGGCAGGGTGGTGGCACCCACCCGCGCGGACTCACAAGAGGTCCTACCACCAGTAATTACGCAAATTATAATTTTTGCGGGTTTGATTTTTATTACACGATGTTATTCCTTCACCGTGGAAATCTATCGTGAACATTTGTTGAGTACGTATTTCATTAGAAAAATCGGTACCCGCCTGAGATTCGAACACCGGGTGCATCGCTCAACACGAATGCACCGGACGTCTTATCCCTTAGGCCACGACGACTTCAAGTGCAGTTTTGAACCTCTGCAATGAATAGAAAGATGGTGTATTGAGTGGAATTATTACTGGAGATGAAACTTGGGTTCATCATTATGAACCTGAGTCGAAACAAGACTCTATGCAATGGCATAAAAAGGGAGCAGCGCCAGCCAAAGTGTTTAAGGGGTCACAGTCAACTGGGAAACTCATGGCAACGGTCTTTTGGGACTTGGAAGGAATATTATTATAAGGTAAGGAAGGGTAAAGGTGTTTCTATAACCGGAGAATACTACGCTTCAATACTAGAGCGATTAAAAGAAGTCATTAAAGAGTAGAGGCGGGGAAATTTGACAAAAGGTGTGCTGCTTTTGCACGACAACGCGCCGGTTTACAAGAGCCGCGTTGCGTTGGCTGCCCTGCATAAGGCGGGCTTCGATATTTTGAATCACCCCCCACCCTACAGCTCAGACCTGGCCCCGACTGATTATTACCTGTTTCCAAAAATGAAAAAAGAGTTGCGGGGTAAAAAAATTACCACCGATCATGAAGTGAAGGAGGCAGTTTCGGCGTATTTTGAAGATAAAGGCAATTTTTTTTATGAGTTTATAAATAAATTAATTGAAAGATCTAAAAAATGTATTCGTCTTGCAGATGAATATGTATATTGAAAAAGAAAAATAATTAGGTTTTTTTATTTCCACTCTGTATTCCCCATTCGACGAACATAAAAATGCCCCCTCGTATATGAAGAGAAGAATTTTCATTGTTTTTGTTTTGGACGGTACACCGACCGGTTTTTGGAGATTTCCACTCTTCGCCGATGGATTCCGTCGCTGATCTAGTTACGACCCTCGTACGGACACGGACGGACAAATAACTTCACGAGAATTCGGAACTATTGTGATATAACAGTGAACGGTTCTTTACAATAAACTCAAAACTCAAGCCCAAATACGAAAAATCTAAATAAAATCCTAAGTATATTCCATCCAATTTTTTTTATTTTATTAATATATGGGTGGACGAACTAACGGCCCACCTGGTGTTAAGCGGTTACCGGAGCCCATAGACATCTACAGCGTAAATGCTGTAACCCACCTTGAGATATGAGCTCTATGTACGTATTTCATTAGAAAAATTGGTACCCGCCTGCGTGATTCGAACACCGGTGCATCGCTCGATACGAATGCACCGGACGCCTTATCCTTTAGGCCAGGCTTTAGGACGGCTTCAGTTCACTAATGTCAGCAATCAGTTGGTATTCAATGAAAATTCTGCAAACATCACGCATACCTATAAATTCAAGCGTAATCGTCCAAAACAACATACGTAGATCGTCAGAGCTGAATCTAAATGATAAATGTTTGACATTAATTAAATATCATTAATGATTCAGTGAAAACAAACCAGCGGCCACAAAGGTCGCCGTAATGAAGCTCAATGTCCAGTGAACTTTGACCTGGAATTCTATATAGACACATGTCAACGAAACGTGTATAAATCATGTGCGTCGTATTAATGTATTTTAGAAAACACAAAGATAAGGAAATGTCGCGCGAAATCGCCCCGCGGTTTTTTAGCGTTGGTACGTTGGAATTGATTTGTATCTACGAAATTTCATGAGGTCATTCTCGATCGTTAGGTCTTAAGCAGCCCTACTGCACCAAACGATCCGATCTCCTTTCTGGGTCAGAGCCAGGTCAGACTTGAGAGGGGTTCCCGCGGTCAACACTAAAACCAGACTCGCGGCGCCACCCCTAAGACGCCTGTTGAGTTGTCGCCCCATACCCGAAAAAACAACCTCGTAAGCGTCATTGAATATATAGAGGGGTAAATAGACGAAGCCGGTATGACTGGTCGCCTGCAGCCGTGTCAACGCAATTCCATGAGTGGAATTCAAAACTTTGGAGCGTCACTGTACACGATGGCTTCTCTTCGAGTCGTCTTTACAGAGCGGTACTTGGAAGTAACGAAGCGTTTTCTCGAAATCGGGAAGCTGGTCCCAACCAACCTCTATAGACTGTTAGACGTTATCAACGACTGAACTGGTCGTTCTTAATTAACCCTTTGACTGCTGTGTAGGTACCGTACGCGGCCCACCGGAGTAATTATGTCGATTTGCTGCTACTAAGACGCTTAAGGATTGCCTAACTTTTCCTTCTTTTGTTTGTTAATGTAAGTTTTAGTCTTTTAAGGTCTCTTCATTCTCAGTATTTACGGATTCATCTTTCCCAGACTCTATTAGATATCCCGGCGACGTAGTAACAGAAATAGACACAATTATGCCGCGTAGGCCACCGGTGATCTACATGGCAGTGAAAGGGTTAAACTAAGCAATCGCGATGACGCATCTTTAAAACTAACAATTTCAAATGATAAAGTACACTGAACCGTGCACGATTTGTACAGCTGTTTTATTTTGGTCGAATTTAATTGGTTTTGTTAGTTTACGAACGGTCCCGTTTTAGTCAGTTTAGGAATTTTACAGAAACAATGAAAATATTGTTTTTCGAATACAATCACTGGCTTAATTCTTTGTGTCACTGTGATAGGTTGTTATTCTATTTGCGGCCACTTCCAAGGGTCTAGGGCAACGATAGTTTCATAGGCTTAAGGACGTCATAAAGCTACTATAGACATCCTTACCTTTTTGACTTAGAGGTAACTATTATCCGCTGCATGTGATGCTCCGTACAGTTTAATATGTGTGTTCACGGGAATGCTACATAAAGGTTCATTTGACCGAATATGCAGACATAAATCTTAAGCTTAAAATATTGACTACGATCGGATATTGACCAATCTGGACTCTTGGGAACGGTAGCCAGCCCCACAGACACAACCCACTGATTTTCTCGCCGGATTTTCTGAACAGGTCGCGATTCCGGTCCGATAGTAGATTAGCCACTCAAGGATATTGGTAATTACATAGGAAATGGTAGCCAAGATGACTTACTATTAAATTAGAACAAGAACTGCTAAAAATGTATCGGCAAAGTAGTTCAGTAATAAAATACCAAACAATCACGCATTCCTTATCAGAGTTTCGCGCGAAAGTAACTTTCCACCATTCCTTGCTCTAGCATCTCACGATGCGTGTCCACACACGTTGGCGATTAGTTACAACGACACGCGAAATGGACTGAACAGTGGTAGTACACATATTCTTTTTACTACCTAAAATGATGAGAAAACACAAAGAACCTAATGACAATTTGAATATCGCTGTCCAATCTAAAACGTATGACCAGTATCTCGACCTCATTAATATAAAAACAGCGTCTTATCTACCAAAGAAATGAGCGGAATTATGGTATTCATATCCTATCGCGTACTTAAGATAGGAAACTAGGGAGCTATTGCGGACGGATCACAATCAATAGTAGCTGTTGGTACCCTGTGTTTCATATCATAATCATATTAACATTATCATTGAAATTACGACATCCGACGTGATTGGTAAAGGACAATGCCCAAAAGTGGGCCAACTTTATGTCAAAACTATTTGTACTTGAAAAACTATGCCTTATTTTTTCACGTTGTTTAGTTTATGTATCAACATTTCTTTCAACCTGGCATTGTTTTACAAAAAAATAAATTACATAATTGATAACATCCCAAAACTGAGTGCCATAGTTTTTAAATTCGCCAATAGGCAAAGGGCTTAGCCCATAAAGCCTTATAGTAAAACTTTAAGCTGCCAAACAAAAGAGTTGTCTGTGACTTGAACAACAAATTAAAAAAAATAGCTAATGGTTATAATTCGCAGACTTTTTAGTTTATTTTTGTTCAATTCAATATTTATATATTGTAATAATAATTATTAATTAAAACCATGAATTATTTAATATTTTTAGATATTATTGATTCCATTAGTAAAAATCTCAATGGCCTACCATTACTCTATTCTTATTATATATAATATCAGAGAGTTTGGCAGCAACCCGAGTGAAGCGTCACTAGAAGTTTTATTTTAATATTTTTTTAATAGTTTATTGTGATGTATAATATATAAATTGGGTGTTCACGATTATTGAGGCATTGGAATAAAACTGTGGCTAACATAGCAGTGACTGTTTTTTTTTTCAAGATAAAAGGTCTGCGGAAATTCACGCTCACTCAATGTGCTATTCATCGAGTTGACGTCAAAACTCCCAAAAAGCAAAAAAAAGAGATACACCAGCTTTTTATTGAAAAAAAAATATAACTACGACAGACTAGGCTGTATAGGCTATGCTCTTTGCCTGCTTATTGGCGAATTTAAAATAAAACAACAACAATATCGTTGCCGTTCATTTTATTATTATGAGGATATAATAATAATAAAATGTACGTAAGGGCTTATTTTTAGCAACATTAACCACAATTAACTTATTTAATACTGTAAATAATGATGAGAGCGATTATTGATTTCGAAGAATACAATTAACAACTTAATTTTAGCTGCAGAAACAAACAGATTTCTCTTAAACCTGGGTGAGAATATAAAAATCGTTTTCTGAACATGAAACGATATTTCTTTGTCTATCAAATTAAGTTAAAACCATCATCACTGGACAACTTTTTTTAGGGGCCCAAACGCTCATAGAAAATGGGCATTGTTCTTTGCCAACGAAACATTACTCTAGTTGATCATCTGTCAACGATGTAGCTAAAAGCTAAGTGGACTTTTTGAGATATTCGCCGTACAAAATCAGGACTTATTTTTGGCCAGCTTGATTAGGTACCACCGTTCTACCCACACATACCACAAGGCCCTCGGGCGTTCCGGTATCCATAGCAGAATAATCGTTTTGTTATACCAGTATCGAAATATCGACTTTATGTTTCAAGGTGGATGGCCGCATTCACTGCGAGACGACCACGATCTCCAGGAACCATTTAAACCAATGCAGACCTTTAGTTTGTCTGGCCATCTGGAGCGTGTTCATTCTACGTGCCCTCGTATCTGTTGACGAGAGACATTCATGCCGAGTACGCGCAATGTGTACTTGTAACGGATCTAATTAAATTAATCAAAAGATAATACACGAGTTCCACAACGAGATAAATAGAAGCTTCGTCATTACAACGGCAATACAGTTATCACGAGAGTGTGGTAGTGATTTTGAGATTACTTATCAATGGCGGAAAACGAAAAATCACTGGATCCAGAATATTCCGAACTCGATTTCTAAACTCAATTTCTTTTGACGACCATCTGGTGTAGTGGTAAGTGACATGGTCACTACACAAGGGGGTCGCGGGTTCGAATCCCGCCAAGGGAAGATATTTGTATGATAAATATAAATGTCTCCTCCAGGGTTATGGATGTATATTAAATTTATGTATGTGAATAATAAAAATCTTACATTTATTTCCGTTATCTGGTACCTGTAACACAAGTTCTTTACGAACTTATCATGGGACCAGTTAACGTGGCGTGATTGTTAGTAAATATTTATTTATTTATTATTTAAATTAGACATTTGTATTTGTTGGCGCGACTGGGAACCTCAAAGGAGTTACCGTTTTGCTAACTCGCTTCCATTGGCTTGACCTGTCTCTGTTTAGCTAGAATCAAAACTACTTCTACGATATAACAACGTGTTTATTATATGGTGATTATTTTTCAAACTATTTGATGTATTAAAGTCTGTTTCCCATATCACTATGACTATAATATCACTTACTTAAACACCAACATGGAAATAAACAAAAAATGAGATTAAGTACACCAAAGATAGAAACGTAAGAAGATGGATTTTCTTGTTACCTAATTATTCAGTTTTCGCGGTTAAGAACAGCTAATGTTATTTATCAACACATCAATCATTATTGTTCTCTCCTAATTTTCTACAACATATATTTTTATTGACTGAAATTGCAGATCGTTTACAATGGCCTTGCATATTATTATGTGGAATTTAACTGTTATGTTTCTGTGAGTATTTTGTCAAATCTTATATATAAAAAATTTGACAAACTGCAGTTATTCTTGATGTTTGCAATAGAGCAAAAATCCGTCTGCAATAGTTTCAATTGTGTCTACGTCTCGTGAAAACCGAAGAAAATTCTGTTTATCTATATCTTCTATATCGTTCCCTCACTACTGAGGATCGCGACCACATGCGACGTACTTCCAATGTGCCCGATCATGGGTGGCATGGACCGCATGGTACAGACTACCACAGAGTGCTTCTCTTGCTAGATCTGACCATCTGGCTGGTGTTCTGCCCACAGCGCGCTTGCCCTCTATGCGACCCGTAATTATGAGCTTCTCTAATTCATGTCTGGGAGACCGCATGGTGTATCTGAAGAAGCTCATAACACGTTCTCGACAGATGGAAGAGAGCCTTTTTCGGATGTCTAGCTGCCTTAGAATGGACTCGTTTGTTCTCATTTATCTATATCTATCTATGTAAAGGAATCTTTCCAAGGAATTTTCAGTAACGCCAAAAGACAGACAGCCGTATTCAAAATTTTCCTCAGACTTAAAAAAATCGCACATATTACAAGGACAGCAACAATTTACAGCCTAATATCATGAGGATCCTCCACTAGAGCACGAATAAAAGAAAATTGCTTGCTTTGCCACAAAAGCATATTTTTTTAAGTTGATTACCTACCTACATATTCCAATGTTTTTCTAATGCAAATAACTAACAATTTCCATAGTCAAGAAACATTTCAGGTTATAAAACAAAAACCCAAATTTAAGTTTGCTGAAACCTTCGACAAAACCAGTACCAGACAGTTAGTTTGTTCATCCTGTCTACAGCAATAAAGCCTTCTTTAAAGCAGGATTAGTCATCAGCTAAGTACACAGCACAGCAAAGTATTCAGAACTTGACCAAATCATAAAGAAATGACTTTGAAAACTAAACTCTTTACACATATTGACGTGAATTCATTAGAAAAAAACTTCACAAAAATGTATGCTCATTATTTTGTAACTGATTGTGATGGTTTTTATCGTTAAAATAATTGGGTGAAAACATTAAATAAATAAAAGTTGTTGGAATGGGAATAAAGACAATTAAGTACGGCCGATGGCTAATAGATTGATAAATTAATAAACAAAAAATGTAAAAAGCTTATTTATGTTTAGCTAATACAATATTATGAAAATATCTTGCACATGAAATCTGTACAATAAAAGGGAAACATATACAACATTTTACTGTAGAAAAATACTGTTGAAAGTTTTTTCTGACAAATTGAATATGGCTGTAAGCGCAGATAAAAATAAAGATAAGAATTTAGCAATTTAATGTTTTTCATTTAAATAAAAAAATAATATTTTTATTACAGCTCAAGAAGAGCTGGCAATAAATACTGCACAGACTAGTCTTTGTTTGTAACCCCTTCTTTTATTAGTTTATTTATATTACTAGCGACCCGCCCTCGCTTCGCTTCGGAAACTGCAATGTATTATTGATCTCCACTATTTAATGGATGTTATTATACATATAAACCTTCCCCTTCAATCACTCTATCTATAAAAAAAAACACTTCAAAATCCATTGCGTAGTTTTAAAAATTTAAGCATACATAGGGACAGAGAAAGCGACTTTGTTTTATACTATGTAGTGATTAAGTATTTAGTTACATATAAAAGTATTTATACTATTCATTTTATATTCAGTTAAATTCATGTTTGTGTTGGTTTTTGATGGATTAATTATATAAATGTCTTGTTTTTATGAAGAAAATGTAAGTGCAGAGTAGCATATCTAAATATCTCTCATTTAGTTTTAGTTTCGCTCAATACATTCCTAGAAGATATAGATTGCTTCAAGCAATCAATAGCAACCAATAAGAACACAAATTTAAGTTTGTTTTGTTTGATTTTCGATGTCTATTAACTAAAAAAAATCCTCTTTAATCTTATCCTTTTAAAATCATAGAACAAAATTTGTAGAAAAGTCAAATTAATGTAAAGATTTTGATAATTTAACAAAAATTGAATTGGCACAATTGGCACAAAATCTTTATTTATTTTTCATATATATATATTATATTAAATAGTAGATGGATAAATCTACATCGTTTACAAAACATCTAAAACAAAGATAAAAGTAGACAAAAGAATTGTATAACTCGTAAACAAAATAATGCATACCTTTTTATTTAATTTTGGATTTATAATTTTATTCAAAACACTTTTAATTACATTAACAACTCATTCTAAGCACTGGTAAATAATTCACACTTATGATAGCCAAGAATTATTGTATAATCGTAAGGTCCATTTGAGTAAATAAAATATGAAAATCAAACGGGCTTAATATTTACAAACACCGCCCGATTCCCGATCTCGACTGATTAACTGATTAGCGTTGACATTTGTTTGACAAACATAAATTGATGAGTCCACTGGTTGGGCAAAGGGAACATTAACCATAAGCTCAACGTTTTTGTCACATAGATCGAATTCATGTCTGTTCTATGAAATGTGGAATTGGAAGGAATCTATATATTAATACGTGAAGCAAAAACTTTGTATCCCTTTTTACGAAAATTGCGTGGACGGAGGAATATGAAATTTTCCACACTTATAGAGAATGTAGAGAAGAAGTGCATAATGCTAATATTTTTTTAAAATAATGCATAAAAGATTCATTAAATCAATAAAGAAAACATTGCACACACTACACACCATGTATTTGACGCACACACGCATGCATACTATTTATGGTCAAACTTTTGTTCTGGACGTCTGTTGTCAAATTGAGAATAGATTAAATATTTTTTGTCTTTATTAATATTTTTTATAGTGTAGTCTTGGTGAAATTTGTGATTATAGAAGTATCAAATACAATCATAATAGTGCACAAACTTACAATTCCAATTAATTATAGTCGAATTTCGACTACTGCGGAACCTCTAGTAAAATGAAATCGACTGAATTGAAACTGATTGTGTAATGAACTGAAATAGAATTAAACGAGTTGAGATAAGACAACAACGTAGGTGTTGTATGAGATGTAATGAAAAAGCCCATGTATGGTGGGAATTCATCGATAGTTCAACTCACTTTTTGGGAAAACCAAAAAAGTCACCTTCATACTTGTACACTTTCAGAGATGTAAATGATAAACAACCAAACATTTTTCCACATATAATCCTGAACACTCCTCCTCCTCGAGTCGTGTTCCTCATGTCTGAGGGTCGTGCCCACCATCACCCATGAGCTTCAATCTTAAGATCTTTTTCCACTTTCCCCTGTCCACGGCGTCATGCAGCGCGCTGTACACTGTACTGTCCAAAGCGGTGCGGATCTGATCGGACCCAACGAGTCTGGCTGCGGCCTCTAGATCTGTTGCCTTCAACTTTCCCAGTGATCATAAGTTTTTCCAGGTTATCGCCGTCTTTCCTCGCAATGTGACCAAAATATTCCTGAACACTAAATTAATGAAATAAAACAAATTCACAAATCTTCTTCTAACTTGCGTCCCCGTCGAAAAGCCCGAGAAATTAAATAATTTATATGTATTACTATCGAAGACATTATGTCTGACAGCTAGTTTTCCAATTATAATTTCGATTTAAAGGAGTTAAAGGACTAATTCACAAGATACCGAGATACAAGTCTAGGTCTATAATAATATCTAGTCATGTTGACTGTCTGTTGAATTGGGGTGATTAACTAACATTTTGTGTTTTATTGATCTTTGTTTTTTCTTTATAGAGTAGTATCAAGACTTTTTTTACTATCCCAGTAACCTCGGGTTGCTAATGTATGTTCATCTAGCGTGTAGGCGAGATCACGGGACTCAGCCTAGCAATTTGCTAACATTAAACCTAGAAAGGGCACTGCCTCGCTGAATATACCAACGGATCGAAATCGCAACCACATCGCAACCCACTGAGAAAATCCGGCGAGTAACTCATTGGGCTAAATATCTAGACAGGACTACGCCATTCCAAAGATAGTGGAATGGTGTCGTGAATAGTGCCAATCAATTATTATTGAAAAAAATACATTTTCCTCATTGCAACAACGGCATCAGTGTTGTGATAATTTATTTAAGTGCTTTCATACAGTTGCTTGATCCCGCGATAGTTGTTACATTCGTACTTACTGCCCTTCCCCTTATAAATAGGAACTATGGTGCTCAATCTCCACGGCGCTCATCGAAATCACATTAAATTTTGTAATATCAAAAGGGAACATGAAATAAAACGAAAAAAATGCCTACGCTTTTTTTATTGCATAAATTAATTAAATTGCTATAATGTAAAATCCAATGTTACGTTACACAATACATTACTCTTTCAAAACAGCTGAAACAAACGGTTCTACCAGAAAAGCAAATTTTTGGAATGATACGTCTAGCCTAAAAGCGAGAACGAAAAGTACATTAAGTATACAATAAGTTTTCTTTTTTTTAAGTTTTATGCCTATTTTATTATTTCAATTGCCGTAGACGCACTATGTATGATGTGAATTAAAATACATTTTTATTGTTTAGTGCATTTAAACGGTAACGCTATTGCGTCAGTGTAAATCATGGCTGTATGTTTACTTAACATAAAATGTCACCAGTGACTATTCAGAAGAATATCTATGCAAACATTTTAAACTACGAATTCGTGTAAAAAATCACTTATACTAAAAGTAGCCATAAGTAGTTACGTTCATATTATGCTGCTAGATTGTATTGATGCTTGCTTTTCATTGACAAGATGCGAGTAACTTAACCTTAACTTGTTTTAAACAGATTTCATAACTAAGAGATTTGTATTTTTTTCTTCGAAAGTCATCAGTATTTAGAGTTCAGATCTAAACCGAAAACTGTACAATATTAACGTAGTAAAGAAGTTTACGGGATTTTATCTTTGACTCCATTCGAGGCCAAAAAAAATTACAATTACAATTATACTGAATCATAGATAAAAAAACGTAAAAAAGTAATACCGTAATTCCCATTAATTATTATTTCGATTCTTAAATTATTTATCTGTGGTTCGTAAAGTTCATTCATTTTGTGGTAAAAGAATATTAAAAACATTTTTCATAAACCGAATGTAGTTTCTGCAAGGAAAACGTAAAATGAAATAAATTATTATTAATTTACATTCACAGATTTCAATGTTAAGAGTTGCTGGTATCTTTTCCTCACATCTTTTATCATTTATAATCAGTACAGCTTATATGACAATGGCATAGAAAAAGCTATTTCCCCGTATAATTATTTTTATTTCGGATTCTCAATATTTTTACTCTGAAGGGGGATAAAACAGGTATATTCGTTAAGTATACAATATCTGACACTAAAGCTACATTAGCATTAAATTGGATGTGATTGGAAGTTATCCTGATTTCTTTGCTTCTGTCCATTTCGGCTCAGATTGTCATCATTTCATCAACACAAACTACAATATCAGAAGAAATTTCATTTCAAACTCAGCATTATTTATCAAACAAACTATTTAGCTTTTGCAAATTCAGTATGCCAATTATTGGGCATGTTAATAATATAGTATGACTGTACCTCACTATTTTTTTCTAAGATAGCAAATTATTCTATTGATTTAAATTAGACAGTGGGGACAAATTGACTTACAACAGGTATTCAGGCCTTTTCAATTAAATGTTTAATAGTGTTCCCATTTTCAATGTCTATTATGACACTAACTACAATTCATTAATAATTGAAAACAACTCCCACTGTGAATATTTGAAAAAAAGTGTCATGATAAGCTAAACTAGGTATGGTTTTAGCCATGATAGAACTCTGTTATCCACATCTGCATTTCAAGAGCACACTAATTAAATAGTAACATTGTATTGTCATCAGACAGATCAAACTTATTTAAAAATTGAAAATGAGCAAGTGGGATATTAACGTAAATCAGGGGGTGTTCGGCGAATGCCCATTAAGGCAGTCCATTGTGAGACTAATGTAGGGCGATGAGGCCTGATTCCAAGAGTTTCTGTATCTTAGCTGCAATTTCAGGATTCTTGAGATGATCTTGCAACGCGTGAGGGTCCTGCTGCATCTGTTCAAGTATACATCGCATGGCGGGATCGCGCAATATCTGCTGCACTTCCGGATCAGACATGGCACGTTTGCGGACCTGATCAAATACCAAGTGTTAATTTAGTTATGGCTTTTTGTTTATCTATACTAAAATTATAAAGAGGAAAGATTTGTTTGTTTGTATTGAATAGGCTCCGAAACTACTAAACCAATTTGAAAAATTCTTTCACTGTTTGGAAGCTACACTATTGCCAAGTAACATAGGCTATAATCTTATTTGAAATAAATTTGGGATCCTTCCTAAAACTCCAAAAATGTAACCCAAGGTGAAAAAAAATTACCTAAAATATTCTTTACATCAAAAATTATTCATGATAGAATAAAATAATGTACTACGACTTGGTATAACACATTATTATTTACAAAAAGTGTGTTCTTTTATTTAAAAAAATAAAATAACGTTAAATATCGTAGAAATTTATGTCAAAGAACCGAGCGGACCCGGAGCGGGCCGCTGTCATAGATAAACTTATCTGTTCACTTGATAGTTTAGTCAGTGATCAGAGCTTGTGTATTGTGAGCTCCCAAAATCTAATCTAATTTGGATACATACCTCTTCTGGGTTAGAGTTGAGTTGTGTGGAGCATGAGCGGTACCCTTCTAGAGCTTCTGCATTGCTGGGGTCCAGTTCCAGGGCTTTTTGATAGGCTGTCAGGGCCTTAGATGGTTGTTGCATACCCTTCAAACAATTATTTATAAAAACATATTCAGTAGATATTTATTATTTTATGTCTATGACTAATTGTATAGATACCCACGGGAGAAGTTTACCTAGTGTGGTGAGTTAAATTTTATGTTATTAGCATTTAACATAATCCTGTGATTTTGTTTACTATTAAGAATTAATTCAGCTGTTATGTAGTGCCCAGCATGGGCTGGAGATATCCCAATGTGAATACACAAATTGGAACACAACTATTTCACAAAAATAACAATGGTCATTATACCTGCCAGTACAGTCTCAATATGTTCTGTTGATTGCTGAGACTAAGCAAAAAGAATACATAGAAAATAAACTTTTTCAACCACAAAATAGATAAATCACAATGTGACAATGGAACATTCTGGATGTTGCAGGGAGTCTTTTTATGCCATATTGTGCATGCAATCATAGAGTATGTGTAATACATAATATAATATTATACTCAAAAGTCGTCGTGGCCTAAAGGATGACGTCCAGTGCATTCGTGTTGAGCGATGCACCGGTGTTCGAATCCCAGGCGGGTACCAATTTTTCTAACGAAATACGTTCTCAACAAATGTTCACGATTCATATCCACGGTGAAGAAATAACATCATGTAATAAAAATCAAACCCGAAAAATTATAATTTGCCTATGGGCTCCAGTAACCACTTAACACCCACCAGGTGAGCTGTGAACTCGTCCACACATCTAAGCAATAAAAAATCAAATCATATAGCAAGCTACACCATGATAGCTTCAAATACAGAGGCATCTCCATTTACACATATTTTATGTTCCCTGTTGCAGATTTAAAAAAGAAATACCTGCAAAATTTTTCCTTTCCTAATCCATCCCTTGATGAATTTAGGGTCTAGTTTGCAGCATTGTTCGCAGTCTTTCAGTCCCAAGTCAAAAGCAGCCAACTTGGTGTAACATGCAGCCCTATTTGAGTACAGTTTGGAGTCATCAGGGTTCCGTTTTATAGCTTCTGTGTAATGTTTCACTGCTGTACTGTAGTCACCTGTGAGTATCAATTTCAAGTAGGGATTAATTTTCTTCAAACACTAATACTACATCATCTGTCTTTAGTAAAAATATTCTTCTTAATTATGTGTCAGTTTTCAGGCTTTTGTGCCTGAAAACTGCTCTACACAAATGCTCTATATGTTTCACCAGAAGTGATTAAAATAAGACTACACTTGATCTATGACATTTACTCTGTAACATTGTCAGTGCTTGCTGTTTGTAAGCTTATGATTTATGGTAATAATAAAATTTTATACAAATTGAGTAATGTATGAAGCAATTCAATTTGCACAAACCAGTACTATTTTTTTAGTATATTTATGATCAATATTAGAAGATTATCAGGTAATTAAAGTTGTACCTATAAGTTTAAAAAAAATGGCAATTTTGTTGGTGATATATTGTGAATTAGAATATTAGGTATTTTTGCCACAAACCTGACACTAGGTATGAGCTTGTGTGCTACTTATGAGTAAGAAACATATGCAAAAAAAAACAGTATATTTTGAGGATTTTAAGGATAAAACAAAACAGCACTAACAATATTTACTTGTAAATCTAAATTAATTTAAAACAATACACACCTTTCTTAAAGTACTCATTGCCTAATTCCTTTTCTTGTTCAGCTTTAACAGGATCAATATATGCTTTCCTTTCCTCTTCAACAATACGGCGTTCCACTTCACTTAATAGTGTCTTGATCTCAGGGGTACGATGTTCAGACATTGACTTTTCAAAGTATGTTTTGGCTAGTTTCCATTGTTCCATTTTTTTGTATGCGTTACCTGAAAAGTAAGTTATGAAAAAAAAAATATTTGTTAAATGAACTGGTTTTACCCTTAATTAATTTATAAATTGAAATCTACAAAAAATTGTTTTAGTGTTATGATCTATGTTTGGTAATTATTTTTATCCAAAATGTTGTCACCTGGGTATAGCTGAGTTTTGTTGTCTTGGATAGCCATTGCAAGTATGTTTTACCTATTTAAGCGTTCACTTACATAATGCAATGTAAGTACAGATATGTACAAATCAATACTTAAAATTCATATACAAAAAGAAGTCACACAGCATCATAAAAGTCAAGAGTAGAATCGATTTAGAGTGAGTGATTGAGAAAGGATTTGGAAATGAGATAAAGATTTTAATAAGTACACAGTGGCTTAGCTTTAAAGCAAGGATTTCTGATTCCCATGAACAACAGTGACTAATTACCAGTAAGTGGGCTTTATCCTCCACTGCCTCCAATGGTAATAAAAAAATATACAAACAAACTCACCAATCCTAGTAAAAGCCTTAGCTATTAATTTGAAATCTGCTCTGTTTTCTCTACCAATTTCAATAGCCTTCTCGCATTCCTTAATGCATTTCTCATACTCTTTCTGTTCAAAGAAAACTGCAGCCATATTCGTATAGAATGTTATATCGGTAGGATCAAATTCTATCGCTTTCTCATAATGTGTTATTGCATTATCAAATTCTTTTTTCTTGTAACAATCATTGCCCAAATCTTTCTGGATCAGTGCTTGTTTTCGATTTTCTGGTAATCCTTCATATTTGTCCTTGGGCGGTTCCTCTTTCTGCTTTGGTGCTGTGCTTGGTGTTTTTTCTGGTGCTGGTGGATCCACATCCATGGCAGTTTCTGCATCAAGATCTGCCTGCCATAGTGCAGTAATAGTTGCTGCCACTCTCTCATCTTCCATGTTCAAATTTCTAATGTCATAAGTATTTTTGACTAAAGGCTGTAAATGTAATTTTTATTTTTGTAATATTTTTCACTGTGCTAACTACTCACTTACCTATCATCTTCATTTTCATCTACTAAATGCCTAATTTCATGTGATAATTTAATGTGGTATTCTAGGACTTATTTGGATAAGCCTGTCCTGTTATAAAACTTACCAATAAGAAAAACACAAATTTGATATTTAGTGTAACAGCATACATATTTTATAATTTAGTAGAAATATGCCATACTTCATTTCCAGTGTATTTTCATTTATGATCATGTGGATTGTTGTTGAAGTAATGTTATTTCAATTTTATTCTTTGCAATATAGTAATGTACATTCGTGTGTATCTATTTCATTAAAATGTTTATGGAACAAAGTACAGTAATGTTGGCATTTTGACAAATGCAGTTCAATGTTAGATACATCGCCATGGTTCATTCTGAATTTATTATATGTTATATGTAAATTATGAATAAAAATGTGACCACAAGGTAATTTATATATTTTGTTGTTAGTTTAATGATTAACATTCAATTGTATGCTTGTAATACGGTTTAAAATCAACCGTAAGTGAATAAAATGTGGCTAATACAAACCCTTATAGGGGAAACAAGGTTCTATTGTATCTTCAGATACATGGAACATGACAATTTTTTCATGTTTATAAACAGTTATAGGATATTCACTACTACGCAAAGTATGGCTCTTTTTTTATCAATTGCAAATTACAAGTTAACCAATTCCCTATGTAGCAGCATGTACAAAACATAGCAAGCTATCTGAACAAAAATTATATCAAAAAGAAGCAACTAACCTTAGCAATCTTTGTTACATATTCAGGGTCTTTCATCCATTCTCTTGTCCTGGGATTTTTATAGAGCCTAATTAACCGCTCTGCTTCTAAATTACTTTCTTTCATGGCTCGTTCTACATCCCTCAGACCCTGAGCTAGCTGTTGGTTAGTAGGTTCTAGTCTTAAACCGGTTTTATAAGCCTCTATGGCCTCCTCGTACCTCGACAAATATGCTAAAACGCTCCCTTTACGTGAATATCCTTTACTCCAGTTTGGGTTTAATGACACGGTTTTCTCGGCGTCTTCGAGAGCAGCCTCGTAATTCTCAGCTTTGGCATGAGCTGCTGAGCGGTTGCTATACAAAACGTGATTCGTGGGGTCCAAAGCTATGGCTTCCGTGTAACATTTGATAGCTTCATCGAAGTTTTGATTAACTAGAGCATCGTTACCTTTCTTCTTCAACTGTTCCACCTGAGAATATTTAGTTAAAAAATATGAATTGCTAGAAAAAATACCTTTGTGTATGAGTTAGAATATAACCTCTTACCTTATCCATAGCTGTTTTCTGTAATAATCAATTTATGTATTAAAAGTATCTTCAATTATTGCACGAACACGCTTTAGGTACTTCCTAGTAAGTTTCAATGGTATAATCGTTGGCTGAAACTGCGAACAAATCTCGATATTAAATGCCGTTCTCAACGCTTAGAAGAGTTAAAAGTGACACTTCAAATTCGAGAAAATTCTGGTGTAGTTGCGATAAAACTAATATTCCAGAGAATGACGTTGCTTAATTCAACTTTTTGACGTTTGTCCTTTTTATCCAAAACGTATCCGAGTGAGATAAAGCATAAATGTCGATTCAATTTTTATGCTATAAATATATCCATATACCACCGAGAATAGAGTACCTAATACTAGTAACAAAAGTCGAGTCTTTCGAATTTCGTTGAAAAACATCTCGACGAGTCTGAAATCTCTACTTTTTGTTTTCACCTATGGCAATCTTCGCAATCCTAGTAGTTGTCCTGGTGAAACTGGAAAGGCCTCCGAGCTACCAGTAATCCCTCTGTCATAAAAACATATATATTTTCAATGTACTATAAAGTGTTCGCTGAAAGGGAGCCATCTAGGATGACGCCATAGTTACAAGTGGAAAGATTTTTGTGGGGAGGGGGCGGACTTGATGCGTCTCACGATGTCCCGTCATCTCTCAGCAGGTTCGAGGCCATTCTACTGCACTCATTTAGGGGACATCCCACTGTAGTCTTAACTTCGTCGGTCCACTGCTTTGCTGTTATGTAGTCATTGATAATATTGACGAGTAATAATAAAAACAACATCGGGGTTCATTTTTTCCAAACTGCCAAACCCAAAACATATGAAAAAGTTATATGACATGAATTCGGTTCTTGAGGTGTGAGAGGTTAAGATTGGCGCGAAGGATGAATATTAGTTTCGTCTAATTCCACACAAATCATTCGTATTTTATGTGGTCATATAAGTGGAATTAATATGTACTGTTATTAGCTCTATCATAAATATTGTTACTCTACATTTATTTAAGGCGACAATTTTTTGACTATTTTAATGCCGTACAAATTATAAAAAGACAATAGATAATATTATTCTGTTCACATTAATACTAGTAGTTATGCACTAGTATACAGTTGCTTAAAGACCAGTTGGACCATAAATTATCCTTCATTACCTATATTATTTAATTGAAGTTTTATAATTTTTTTTTGGCATTACGTTAAATTTCCCTGAATGTATTTAGAGTGTTGCTAGAGCTAAAAATTTTAAAAGATGACTCATGAACTTTTCAGTCTTCGTTTTCGCAAAATTATGAAATGACTGTCAAACATTTATATTATTGAGACCATTATATCTGATCGCACGTAAACAGTCTCACTGATGACCTTTTGAACATGTAACACGGTTTTAAATGACGAAACACCCTTTTGATAGACTGCGGCTTAATTATGCCCTTGACCATGACACTTATAATCAAGACTTCATCAATTATCAGAAGGGTTGAATAAGCCTCGTAAGGAAACAATAAACCAAATCACTGAAAACACCTCTTCAATAATAGATTTATTTACGTAGCTAAAGTACACAACAAGGCCGTTCCTCTTTTAACCCAGAAATCGGAGGACTCCTTCCCAGACGGCAGGTCCACGGCCACCACGAACGCTCCCTGCCGCAGCGGGTAGTAGTAACAAGGGCACGTGTACCGGTCTGGACAGGAACAACAAAAATTATCAATACGAGTTATATTGTATTATTCCAAGTGTAGCTGCCATAAGGAGGGGTAGGTCCTGCTAGATGGAGCGACGACCTGCGCAGTAAGGCAGCTGGCAGTAACTGGATGCGTAGAATCGAAGATCGGGTTCAGTGGCGAGCTTTGGGGGAGGCCTATGTCCAGCAGTGGACTGCCGCAGGCTGATGATGATGATTCCAAGTGTTGCTTTTTTCTTTTTTCGCTGCATAGTTTTACACGAACTGACTCTGTGACTAGTGTTAAGCGTACTGTCAAGCGAGAGAGTCATCATCACCAAGGCATCACAACGAGAACATCGCCAACTACCTGGAGACATGAACTCAATAATATTGCAACGGATGTACTGCTTTTCAAGTCGTAACGCGGGACTGCTATGTAGAAGAAGTAGATAAGATTATTGCAACCACTATTGGGCACTTAACACGTTCTGCCACCTGCCATAATATAATGCTTAAATTGACGTCACATGACGTCGTTGACGTCACATCCCAAGGGTCGAATTTTCGTCTAATGGCAGGGCTTCGTGCTTTTGTGTCCGTCCAATTAGGCAAACCCTTTTCTGCCTTTTCGATGAACATGCCTACCCATTTAAAGTAGCCAGGTGTGCGTTGAGTTTCCCTCTCATTCTGCAGTAGAAGAGTCTTTCATGAGTAATGTGGTGGCTTGATTCCTTGGGCGAAATCATGCTGTTTGACCATAAAGAAAGTACAACTTACTCTTCAGTCGTCTCCCGGTGGCCCTGATCGGCTTGAAGTGTATGGGCGTCATGGGAAACACCAGCTGCATGGGAAGGGGTTCCTGTAGGTACCCTTCCTTCTTGAACCAGCTCGCCCCTTCCAAGTATTGGCCTCTGACAGGGTACGAGAGTTTTAGTGTCAATACTACTGCATATTCTATAAACTAATAAATACACATTGGTGGCAGGAATTCTTATGAGTCACAAGGGTAGGTACCATCATCCTGTCTATTTCTGCCGTGAATCAGTAATGAGTTTCGGTTTGAAAGGCGGGGCAGCCGTTGTACTGAAAAAACGGAGACCTTAAAACTCAGGTCTCAAATTAGGTGTCAGCATTTACGTTGTAGATGTCTTTCGACTCCTGTGACTACTTGACACCAGATGTGTCGTGAGTTCGTCTATCCATCGTTGCAATAAAGACAAAAAAAACCTTATTATTAACGGGGTAGAGTACAATCTGCTTGACATTGTTTTTGAATTTTACCCCACCTTGTCGTTTATAACTTTCGGGACTCGTTGAGCACTTGTTGAGTACTTATGACCCTGGATTCGACATAGCTGTTCAAGTTGAACTTACCTGATGTAAACCCCACCATCTCTCGGAGGGCGGACGAAGGCGGTTTCCTCGAGCGGCATAACGGTGAACTCCCAGCACAGCGTGTCTATGGGCCAACCCTCGCCACGGGCCGTGGTCTGTCGGGCACATTAACGCTTAGTAATCGACGGCAGATCCACCATCAGGCGAGCCATAGATTCCGACCGTCGGTTCCACAGACCACCAAGAGATGACTAGTCTGATTTAGATCTTGTGCATTTGTTGGACAATTGAAAAGATAATTTGTTTAATCAGTTTTTCTTCTAAGGATTATTGATGTTCTTGTAAATCAAATCGCTAGTTTCCATAAGAGTCTCAATAACCATTGTGTATGCGATTTTGAAATAAAATAACTAATCAACTAATTTGATACACTTTTGTTCACCTTCGCATTGAATTAGTTTAATATTTTAAATACGTACTATTTTGACTGCTTTTCGTTATTCCTCTCAGATACAAAACCCTAATTGCTGGCGGTACATTTGCCGTAGGTACCATCACCTGTGCCATTGTGGTCGTGAAAAAGACATTCCTTCCGGTTTGAAGGTCAGGGAAGGCGTTACATCGTCATCACGGAAGTGGGTGGGGTCCAGCTGTTGAGCTATAGGAGGGCCTTGAGGGCGAGCACTGACCTGCATGACGGCGGTGAGGAAGCCGGTCGGAGCGACGAGGGCGGGCAGCCAGCACAGCGTGGGCGGGGCGCGCGGGGCGCCGGCCCACGCCGCCAGGTGCGTCCCGCGGAGACACAGCTCGCGGCACCACGACCCTAGCGGCTTCATCGACGGACGACCTGAGCAACATCACCGCAGCTATAAGGCATGATTCCATTCTCTATTCCAGGATCGAGCCCAATAGATACGATTAAGAAAATAAAAGTCCAAGTTGAACTGGGAAATGAAAAAAAAACGGCATATTTAAACTTTTCTTTTGCTAGATGGGTGGACGAGCTCACAGTCCACCTGGTGTTAAGTGGTTAAGCCCATAGACATCTACGACGTCAATGCGCCACCCACCTTGAGATATAAGTTCTAAGGTCTCAAGTATAGTTACAACGGCTGCCCCACCCTTCAAACCGAAACGCATTACTGCTTCACGGCAGAAATAGGCGGGGCGGTAGTACCTACCCGCGCGATATCACAATAGGTCCTACCACCAGTAAAACTATTTTATTTATTATTTTATTTTACATTATTTACTACTAGTGCCACCATGACACGGCTGACTAACGCACATATCAAGCGATAACAGCCGGGTGCGCTTTTGGCAACGTTAAAGCTCCCCAAAATCTTGAACGACACTCGATTGCCTAAGTAAAAAAACCTCTTTATCTTGATCTTGGAAGCATATAGTCGAATGCTTCAGTCTTCGGGGCAACAGGACGACTGTTTTTAGATTCGAGTAATTTTAACGGAAATGTTCGGGAAAGTTCCATTGTGCTCCAAAACATTTGTGAGTGGCGCTATGTACAAACGCAATCAAGGAATAGTTCAATTTTGAAACTCGGATACGAAACAATCAATCCAGATCGATACAAAAATGTCAAGGAGAACAGTGTCTAGTGATTACGTTCTGCGAACAAGGGTTGGTGCTATGCGACCAGACTGAGAGAGTTCTCAATGACCGTGTCATCTTTATATATATTATTATATTTCTTCTGTGCGTGCGTTTGTCACTGAACTCCTCCTAAACGGCTGGACCGATTTTAATAAAAAAATTCTGTGTACCTTCAGGTGGATTCGAGAATGGTTTAGATTTACAAATCAGCCCGGCAGATGGCACTGCAGTCGGTATCTACGTTATTTATCTTTCCTAGAAATCATTTGTATGGAAAAACAACGATACAATTGCATCATAACAAACAATACGACAAATCTTATTCGCGTATCAACAACGGCTATTATACGCTTCAAACAGATGATGAAATATAATAGTAATTTACCGGTCAAAGCTTAAAATATTGCAGTACATAACTCGCGAATAGAGCAACGCGAAGCTCAATAGCCCGGCGAGTCAATTCATTCTTATTTTGTGATACATTAGGCGCAAAATATAAATATCGTAGTGTGAGTTCCGGTGTCATGGCGTCTGGTATCATCAGTATTGTAATTTTTGTTTAATGTTTTGCAATTAGTTTGATTTTTTATTTATGTACAACTACTGCTGCCACGACTACTCTGCCAAGAGTATCCGACTAGGAAGAAGACTACTCTGCTTTACTCTAACAGGCGTACCATTCATACAGTTACTATAAATAAATCAAATAAATCGTTCGTAGAACAGACCTTTCTGCCAAAAAATCGGCACCCTCCCCTCGAAGATGCAAGTGTTCATGTCCTCCAGCACTTCGGACATCACGACCAGACCCTCGATGGCGCGTCGGAGCTCCTACGAGAAAATTCGAGTAACTGGCGCCCACCCCTCCCGTCGCGTGGCAGCGCTCTCAAAACGCAACACAAACGAATGACATAACCAGTCAGCCATAACTATGAAATTAATTCAATAAATTAAGCCTTCACCCGGAATAAACACGCAGGATGGTGGAGCCTACTCAAACAGGTTTACGAAGCGTCTCAACATCGGTAAAACAGCTCTCACGGATCGTTTGGAATCTCCGGATCTGCGGAGGGATTGAGATGATACCATCATCTCGTTTTTACCATCGCACCGCCCGCCACCGGAGTAGAGTTCATCCATACTACCTGGAGCCACTGCGGTCATCCACAGTGCGTTGCCAGAGATCATTTTTGCCACGTACCATCCGGCTTGAGCTCTCCTCCACGGTGTTCCCGAGCGCTATGACATGTCCTTCGTCAAAGGAGACTCGTGGAGAGCACTTAACGGTAGGCAGCGATTTGGCTCTGCCCTTGGCATTGCTATGGTAACCATTCAACATCAGGTGGGCCGTATGCTCCTCTGCCTACAAGGGCAATAACAAAAAAACTGCGATTCAACGGATATAATGGGTCACCTTGAGCCCACCCACGATGCCGGTCAGCAGGGTATTGTAGTACCCGATCTCCTGCAGCAGGGAGACGCACATGGGCATCACAATCTCCGGCCCCATCATTCGCTCCGTGGTCTCCACGTCAATCTTGTTCGGGAGCTTTGAGAGCATCTCCGCCGCCAGCTCGTCCACCTTCTGGTCGTCCCCGCTGCCCCCGCCGCCTCCCCCGGTGGAAGCCAGAGCGAACAGCGTGGAGCACATTATCAACGCATCCTAAAATAAGTTTAATGCGTGTTGGCGCCGTTGCGATGTTGGATGCAAGGCTTATCCGAACAAAAGTGAATTTATAACTGGTTTATTAAATCCGATTAAAGTTTGTACAGTTTTACGGAACCGATAATGATTAGGTATACGTTTTTTTGTTGCTGCACGTCGTTTTACTTTGAAAGTCCACACCTCTCCCCCGCTTCCGCCGCGGTGAGGAAAATAGGGTTGCTATGTTTCGAAAAATGCGCTTTTATCAGCTTCGCATGTAACGGAACCTTTCAATGCTATTTTCACTCTATTCAAAACGTCAGATTACATTGACAATTTAGTATACCTATCAAGCACTCATCGCAATACAGTAATATAATAAGGTTATCCCATCCCTTTGAGCACGACTTTCAGGATTAATGTTTCTTATAAACGAAGAAATTGTAGTATATGGTGCAAAGTAAGTATATTTGAGATGCCTACTATGATGACGTAGCTTAATCTTCGAGACAAGTATACGCCAATAGGCAGGATCAACAAGTAATCTTCATAAGATTTACAATTAAATAGTTCAATACAGAAAAATCAACAATTCGTTACCAGATTGTAGTGTAAATGATTTTTCTACAAAAAAAATTGTCTAATTCTATAAAAAAAATTATATTTGTTTTACAATCTTTCCCTGAATTAGTACTGCTAATTTGAACTCTGACGTCATTATTCCATAGTCTGCTCTCTGTCTAACACGAAATTAAATTTAGCCTCCACATTTCTGAACAGACTTTACTATTGTTTATTAGTTGGCAGCTATCAAATGTAATTTCGGTAGGCAGCGGCTTGGCTCTGCCCCTGGCCGACGACGGTAACCACTCACCATCAGGTGGGCCGTACGTTCGTCTGCCTGCAAGGGCAATAAAAAAAATGTCAGCCCACGTAATTGGTAAGGGCCACAGAACCCAGAACCACCTTCTGATTGGTGGGTGTAAGGCGCGCCTCTGACCTGCGCCAGGGTGGCCACGTCGGCGGAGGCGTGCTGCCCGACGGACTCCGCGCGCTCGTACCCGGGCAGGAGCTCAAGGAAGTCGCGGTACGACTCCAGGCTGCCGTCGCGGGGGATGTGGTACGACGGCATCGACGACAGCCTGATTAATTGTAGCTGGTTAAAATCCGTTTCAGTCCGGTTAGAATTATGTTTCTCTTCCGAAATTCTTCATCAGAGTCCTTGAGCACTAATGGTCGAGCATTGAAGTCGTCGTGGCCTAAAGGATAAGACGTCCGGTGCTTTTGTGTATCGACGTACCGGTGTTCGAACCCCGCAGGCGGGTACCAATTTTTATAATGAAATACGTATTTGACAAATGTTCACGATTGACTTCCACGGTGAAGGAATAATATCGTGCAATAAAAATCAAACCCGCAAAGTCCTAATTTGCGTAATTACTGGTCCGCACGAGTAGGTACCACCACCCCACCAATTTCTGCCGTGAAGCAGTAATGCGTTTCGATTTGAAGGGTGGGGCAGCCGTTGTAATTAAGCTGATACCTAAGAACTTATATCTCAAGGTGAATTCCGGTAACCGCTTAACACCAGGTGGGCCGTGAGCTCGTCCACTAATCTAGGCAATAAAAAAAAGCTGAGAGCCCATATGGAACGTATCGTCGCGCTACACGTTTATCGCAACAAAGAGGCATCCATTAAGCACGTAGACGAAACATCACCTATAAAACGGTGTATCGAGAGCTTCCTCGCAAAAGAACTGGTTGATGTAAGCGATCAGCACGCGCTTGTCCCAATCGTCCGTGATGTGTCCTCCGTAGTTGATGATCGCGAACAGATAACGTAAAGCATCCCACGGAACCTCATCGTATTCCTCCAAGTAGTTAGACAGCAAATTATCTGATACCTGCAAATTTACGGTACCTTCAAGGTGTTGTTAAAGAGATATAGGGCTGGGGAATTGTGGGTAGGCCTCCCTCGAAGGGACCTGCTGAATGTCGCGGGATTCCGTTAGATACATGTAGTGCAGGACAGATTGTTGTAACTAACATTGATAGAATCTTATGTCTAGCAGTGGACCTTTATGGGCTGATTATGATTATAATGAAGAATCAACTTTATTTTCAGATGTCATCTACTTTTGATCGTCTTAGCTATTTGTCCCACTTTTAGCACGCAGTTAAAAGGCAAGATTCCATTGTTTATCCTAGGATCGAGCCCAATAGATACCATTAAAAAAATAAAAGTCCAAGTTGGGCTGGGAAATGAAAATAAACGGACAGACGAATCATTTTTAAACTATTTACTACTAGTGCCACCATGACACGATTGACTAACACATATATCAAGCGATAAGAGCCAGGTGCGCTTTTGGCAGCGCAAAAGCTCCCCAAAGTCTTGAACGACACTCGTTTGCTAAGTAGGTAACAAAATCTCATTATTTATGGCTCAAAAAAAAAAAACAATTGCATTAATGTCATAATGGATTTACCTATATCCTTAAGATCTTAAGAGATCATCAGACTATATCGGAATTATTTTATCGGAAATGATTAGATATCTTTCGAACTGAAAACACGCGAAGAGTCATATTACAGTAATTGGTTAAAACTCGCCACCAGTATCTATAGTGATGTCAAGGAGCAAGCGTAAGACAGAGTCCAGTGGAGACAGCTTGTGAGGGCCCTAAAGTCGAGCAGGGCACCCTAAGACCACAACAAACCAGTATCTATAGCCTATCGAGGTTCGAACGAATTGAATTATTAGTGGCCTGCCAATATCGAGAGACTCACGTCAAAGTCGGCATCGTTGAAGCTGTAGACGGCGTTGTAGCCGAGCTGCCGGAACCGCTTCCTAGCGATGAGCGTGCAGTGGAAGAACGAGACGCAGAACAGGAGCCGCCGATACTTCGGCGTCGCCTCGTCGAAGCGATCCTCGTTCATGTTCGCGTATATACGAACCAGATTCCCTTTGAGGCCCTGGTCGTAGATGAGTTGGTTAAGGAGCCTTCATACTAAATGTATTTTTCAAAATACCGGTAACCGACTGAAATGGAACTTAGATAATAATAATAATTATTATTATTACATTTATTTCATCGACACATCGTCAATGCTATCGTTGACCCCGACAAACAAGATCTAGTCAGCCTCAATAGGCCCCGAATGCCTGACGCTTCAGCGAGCTTACGAAGTACCCCAGCACCAGTTAAATACAGAAAAGATAGGTAATGTTCCACATAAATCTAATTGCCGTAGGCAGCGGCTTGGCTCTGCCCCTGGCATTGCTGAAGTCCATGGGCGACGGTAACAACTCACCATCAGATGGGCCGTATGCTCATCTGCCTACAAGGGCAATAAAAAAAAATGATCTAAGTTCCGAAGTAGTCGGTAATGGTATGGGACCTGGGGCGGCTCCGTCGTCATCTTGATGCTCCGCTGCAGCACGGCGAGCGGGAAGCGCGCGTCGGGCAGCGACGACAGCCACAGGCGGAAGCGGGCGTGCACGCGCGACGCGTCCAGCCGCAGCCCCGCCAGCCACGCGCACGCCAGGTGGCAGTTCGCCAGGTACACCCACCCGCCCTCGCGCATGCCGCGGCTCAGCAGCCTGCCCCCACACAACCCACGTTACAGTCGTACCTACCTTAAATTGGTCTATAGTCGTATTTCTAATTAGACGAATCCAACTGACAGTAGCTAATGTCACTTTGTAAAATAATGTTGCTATATTTAAAGTAATAGTGATGCGTTCAGTTCTCGTTCAATCAGATGAATGAACAATGAGTGTGAATAGTTAATCATTTCAAACTATAAAAGAATATTATTTCTATTTTACAATAAAATTTTATTAAGTACTCTAATATAAGTTACTAGTAGTGTGTAACTACAATCAGTTTTTTTTATTTTCCTCACCTACCTAGTTTCAACTACATGATGTATTAAAAATAGGACAGTCTTACAAGTTTCCTCGCAATGTTTTCCTTAATACTTAAAACACTCGGTATTCAGTATAGATAGATACTATAGGAACATTATCGTCGAAAACTCGTTGAAAAAAGCATGACTAAAATTCGAACCCCGTACCCGATATCGGAAGTTCGGCACACTAACTATTCACTAGACAATCGAGGCAATTTCATTCATTCAGGAGCTTTTTCAATCATTCACTTTGTCACAGCATTATTTTTATTTCATCAAAAACTGACAACACAGTAAACGTCAGTTGACTTCGTCTAATCAAAATTACGACTATAAGTTGACTTGAATACTTTAAATGAATGAGGTAATATCATCCAAGGTCATGAAAGCTACCCATATGTCTATACACCATGGACGCTACTCTAGGAAGCTAAGGAAGCTAGACAGACACTAGGAAGCTACCCATACAGCTATACACCGTGGACGGATCCCCGTACCTGACGGCGGCCGGCGCCTGTCCCTGCCCGAGACTGAGGGACTGGAACTTGTCCGCCATCTTGACGTCGCGCGCCAGCTGGATGAGCGAGGCCGTGGGGTCCACTCCCGGGGACAGCACGAACAGTAGCGACGTCTTCCACGTGGACTCTTCCCAGGCTTGCTATCAAGAAAACAAAATTGCGCGCGTGCAACTTGGCGCACGTGAAAGAAGTGAAACTTCTTTTGCGGTGTGTAGTATTGTGGTTTTCTTTCTTTCTCTATTTTTCATCCTTAAATAAAATTTCTCTTGTAATAGGTAATGTAATAGTGTATAAAAAAAACGAACTAACTCGCTTTTTCTTTCCCCTCTTTCCCCGGTCGAGTGACTCGCGAGACGCTGTGTTTATTTTCTCACTCTAGCTCTTCATAAATTATATATTTTCTTTGTAGCCGTAACAACGAATCTATCACGATTTAAATTTTCTCTCAGCGTGCCTAAAGAAGTTTCACTTCAAAAACTGTCCGGCCGCAATTCAAAAGCCGCAATAAAATTATTATTTTTTGGAAAGCTTTCTTTAGTTTTTGTTAACGATCTACCTCTCTACTAGCAACTTCCAAAGGTACAGTACGGATTTTTGCCTATACGTGTTCGGCAGACCGACGGCGCAATGTAATGTGGTTGTATGGGATAGGTCAGCACGATTCAAATATCCTCTGCTGTATGATAGCTACCGCTGTAAATATCACCTTGTGAGGCGGAGCGGGGACGTACCTTGATGTCGAGCACGGGGGGCTCCACGTAGCGGGCGCCCAGCACGCTGATGATGAAGGCGGTGACGCAGGCGGACACGCGGTCCGCGCGCAGGCAGCGGATGAACAGAATCTTCTGAAAGTCGTTGCAGATGTCGTTCCATTCGCCTGTCGATACATGGGTTCTTTATTAACACTGAATATGACCTCACGGCTCGTATGTGGCTATTGAAGCCCATGGACACCATGACATCAATGACATAGCACCTCGTAACCGGACCGGAACGCATGCCCTTTATCAAACCGCGCGAACCTGCCGACAACTGGTAAAAATGTCCAAGCTTGAAATGTCTCAAAATTTGTGCATTTTTTTATTGCTTAGATGGGCGAATGAGCTCACTGCCCACCTGATGTTAAGTGGTTACTGGAGCCCATAGATAACTACAACGTAAATGGCGCCACCTACCTTGAGATATGAGTTCTAAGCTGTCAGTATAGTTACAACGGCTGGCCCACCCTTCAAACGGAAACGCATTACTGCTTCACGGCAGAAATGGCCGGGGCGGTGGTACCTACCTGTGCGGACTCACAAGACGTCCTACTATCAGTAATTACGCAAATTATAATTTTGCGGGTTTGATTTTTATTACACGATGCAATTCCTTCATCGTAGAAGTCAATCGTGAACATTTGTCAAGTACGTCTTTCATTAAAAAAAATTGGTACCCGCTTGCGGGATTCGAGCACCAATGCATCACTAAACACAAAAGCACCGGACGTCTTATCCATTAGGCCACGACGACTTCATCAGTTATTATGAACACACCTATGAGCGGCTGCGACTCCGGCTCCGGATGCAGGTACCAGTCCCTCCAGTCCTTGCTGAAGGTCTCGAAGGCGTCGACCACTCCGTGGAAGCCCGGCAGCTTGTCCAGCTCCGTCACGTTGTCCCAGCACTCGTCCGGCATCCAGTCTGATTAATTACATGCCTTATTCACATTACGAATTATTTTAACTCTAAGTCAGCCCACACGATTAGATACTACCGCGTTGTCCATTTCTAGATATTACAATACTTTTGAGATTGCGACCTCATAAAGCAGATATGAGCTGCTGATTGAACCATATACCCAAGTGTCAGTCGTGAGCCAGTTCACAGTTCAGCAACAGGTTATTAGTTAGGATTAAAGGATTCAAAAAAAAAGAAATGCGGTACCGTGCGAAAAATATTAAACATCAAAACCGTCTCCTAATTTCGACTTAGCAGAACGTTATCTAGCGCTTACAGGATGGTGGGTCTAATAATTACTGGCGAAAGGGTAGTGGATCGAATAATTATCAGTAAGAGAAAACTAAGTAGGTCGAATAGTAAGAGGATAATTTAATAATTAACGGTATGAGGAAACTAGATCTAATAATTATTAGTAACAGGATACTAGATCTAATACTTGTTAGTAAGTGGATACTGGACCTAATTATTACTAGTAATTAGGTCCAGTATCCATTAATTTTTCACTGGTGGTGGGACCTCTTGTGAGTCCGCGCGGGTAGGTACCACCGCTTTGCCTATTTCTGCCGTGAAGCAGTAATGCATTTCGGTTTGAAGAGCGGGACAGCCGTTGTAACTATGCTGAGACCTTAGAACTTATATCTCAAGGTGGGTGCCGCATTTACCTTGTAAATATCTATGGGCTTCGGCAACCATTTAATACCAGGTGGGCTGTGAGCTCGTTCACCCAACTAAGCAATGAAAAAAAAGGAAACTAGATCGAGTTATTATTAGTAACAGGATACTAGATCTAACAATTACTGGTAACATGTGATAGATTAAATGATTAGTAACTGGTAGGATTCTCGGGTTGTTCGGATCTGTCCAGGACGACGCCGCCCTTCAGCAGGAACAGATACTCGTGAGCGCTCATCTTGTTCATTTGGAACAGGATCCGGGACACGATGTGGAACGAGAGCAGCAGCTTGTGTCGCTCGAACAGCGCGCGGCACGTGTTCCTGGGTCGGACACACGCACGTGCTTATCTGTCTACTTACTGGCTTACAACTGCGGCGAGCGTGTGGCCCAATACGACCTCTGGAGCAGTATTGTATATTCTACCCGCGGTTTCAATCAGATCATTAAAGGACTTTTTAGCGGGAACGCGAGGAGTGAAGTTGTGTGATTTGTTTTATTTTGTCTATTTAGTGTTTCCTCAGGCTTTAATGTGTAATAACGGTGGTTCTTTAACTATTTGATATCTGTCAAAGTGCACAAATGTGGGAAAATGAAACAAAGCCGCTGGACGTAACTTCTCGGGATCCTCCTAAAAGTTCACTGAAAAAATCTTAGTAAATTACCACCCTTTTACTGAGAATATATTTCATCCCATATCATCTCATTTAATTTAATTTCATCCCAGTTGATTAATGTCTCAAATTAATCATCTTCATTTCATTTCATTTATCTCCATATTATCATTTTTCATAAAAATAAGAATATAAATTAAAATAAGACATGACTTAAAGGTTTTAGTTACCAGGAAATCCCTTAAAAATAATCAATAGAGATATGAAGTGATGTCTCGTTACGGTGAGTGCCTTAACACTGTCTGCACTCTCGTATGCAAAATTCCATGATGATTGCTGCATAAGTTATTAAGCCGGGAAAGCGAAACAAACATATTGACTAATTTTTTTTAATTTTTTTTCATTGCTCATTTATGCAGACGGGCATACGGCCCATCTGATGATGAGTGGTTACCGTTGCTCATGGACGTCAGCAATGCCAGAAACAGAGCCAAGCCGCTGCCTACTGTTTAATACCCTTCACAGGCCTCGTTTGAAGAAGGACATGTCACAGCGCTACGGGGTACACCGATTTATATATTTATAGCATTGGTATGAGTCTCGTGTGGAATCATCGACACTTTAAATATCCCTATTTTTATATTTTTATGTAAATGATTCCCTGCATACGTAGAAGAAGACAATACTAACTTATAAACAGAGTACGTGTGATATTCATTCAAATTATTAATCCTGTCTTCCAGTTCGCCTCCTTTGGGGCTTTTGTCTATGGAGTAAGTGAACAAGTCTATGTACGCCTCCAGAGAGAACTGGTACATCGGGTCGATACGCGACAAGTCATTCAGAGCGAAGAAGAGCACGGAGGCCCGCACCGCGACCGGCACGTAGCCCTGCGCACAAACACGAATATGTTTTGCCTTTATTTGTATAAAATAGAAACAAGACCGTCTCCAATGCTCTATGGACAGCCGTGGTAATCGAGCGTTGCAGAATTAAATGCGAGATGTATTCGTTGAGCTTTAATTCGCAACATCTTATTTTCGTCCAAAAGATTTATAAGTGCTCGACATCCCAAACTGTGCCATTTCTTATAGCTTTTGAAGGCCACATACGTCTAATCTGATCGTGAGTAATAATTGTCACTCATGGATTTCAAAAATGCTTAAAGTCTTTGAAGGCAGATCAACGTTTCACCTGACCGTTAATGATCATTGTCGCTATGAACTTCAATAGTCCCAATGATACAGCCACGTACTGAAAATGCATTGTGAATAAGCGCAGTAGTTCTACTCAATATGATTGAAATACGTCCTGATAGCGGAAGATGTGATAGTAAATGAGAATGAGACAAATGGAAACAAGAAATAAAATAAATTCAATTCAATACAAATATCGGAACACACAATCCTTATTTATGTATACAGGTTTCACTTTCGAGGTAGAGCGCGCGTCACGTAAAAAGAACGCTGGAAGAAAGTGGAGGGGGTGTGTTTGCGCATGGATACACTCGCGCACGAAAATACTAAGTACTTTTGTTTTATTTTTGAAGTAATCTTTCGCTCGCGGCTTCGTATATTGGATATAGGTATGTACAGTTTAGTAGTTCTGTACTCTTGTAGCTGTATGCAGCTACATGTTACAGGAGAGCGTAGAAAGATATCATAAGTTTGAAGTTAAAGTAGTTTATGAAAGTTAAAGTTTAGGTAAAGTTATAAAGATGATAATTTCTCTTGATGTGACTCTGGTCGACTGACGAACCAATAGCACACCGGCAAGCATGCGGCAGGTGACCCGCCCGCCCCGCGCCGCACCTCATACCACCAAATACATCGATAAATAGCCTATTGCGCAGCTTGACCGCCAGCGTTCTTTTTAAGTGACGCGTACTCTAATATTTTAGATCAATCAAGATGAATGTTTGCCATTATTCCTGCTTTAAACTCCAATATCATCACCAAATATATCCAATCTCATAAACAGTCAAACACAACGAACTGATCTGCGTATGAACTATCTGTGACCACGACTAAAGCTACACCCCACCTGTCTTGCAGCATCGATCTCCTTCTCGGTGACTTGAGACGTGATCAGCGCCTCCTTGACTTCCTCAGACGTTCGCTGTGAGATCTGGAGCGTGACGAACAGCTCTTCGTTCTCCAGCAGCGGCACTTGGGACTCGTACATGATCCGCAGCAGATCGTTCTCGAGGTCCACCTTGCATAACAAGCCAGTTATACTGAGTGTCTTTGAAGACCACAATAACTGGTAACGATCGATACATGTTTTCGGTGCAAAATCGCGGTTTCAGTGTCCTGAATAATGCGCTCTAATTCCAATAGTAAGACCGCACAAGGGCGCTATTTATGTAATTTTTTCTGGGTAAAAAGTCTATAATAATAATAAGCCAAGTACCATATATCATATTTGATCGTGACTTTGGTCACCTTGGTTAGAAGTTGGCTAAAATAATTACATTCAGCAGAGGTCGTAATGAGATTGGTTTGAAGGACGGGACAAGCGCTGTACTATAAAAACTGAGCCCTAGAACTGTCTCAAGATCAATGGTGGCAGTTTCGTTGATAATGTCTATAGGGCTTGGTAGCCACTTAGCACTACGTGAGTCGTAACTACACGACTAAGCCAATACTATAATTTTTTTTATTGCTTTAATGGGTGGGCGAGCTCATGGCTCACCTGATGTTAAATGGTTGGATGTTAAGTTCTAAGGTCTCAGTATAGTAACAACGGCTGCCGCCCCGCCCTTCAAATCGAAACGCATTACTGCTTCACGTCAGAAATGGGCAGGGCGGTGGTACCTACCCGTGCAGACTCACAAGACGTCCTACCACCAGCAATTACGCAAATTAAATTATCTCAATTTTTTAACGAGCTCACCAAGACTTTTTTATTGTTGGCTATGGTCATAACCAAACTATCCTTCATCTGTTCGAGCTGCGGCCGCTCCTTCCTGACGACTATGCCGAGCAGCTGCGCCGTCAGACCTTCTTCTTTGACAGCAAAGTTGACCATCGTGGTCTTCGTCAGGGTCTCGGGTGTATAAACGGGATTACCTTGCGATCAAACAAGACCACGTACAGGCCACACTATGGTACATTACAGTAGACGAGCGTATTGTTTGAAACATTTACTAACTGATACATTGTGAAATTGTGAATTTGGTAAGCAGCGGCTTGACTCTGCCCCTGGCATTACTGAAGTCCATGGACGACGGTAACCACTCACCATCGGGTGGGCCGTGTGCTCGTCTGCTTACAAAGGCAATAAAAAAAATGGCCGCTAATCTCTTAAGTACACAAATCATCGAGTCATACCAGATTATGAAGCATTTGTTTTATTAGATTTTGCCTAAAACTCCTCGCACAGTGTTCCGCAACGCGACGATTACCACTTAGCATTAGGTTTGACGAAATACATCAGTAGATTATACTAATAAACTCCAAAGTAATTAAGCACTTGCTCAACATCATTAGCCTGCAAACAGTGAAATCTGGACACGGTCCTCAAGGTCCTCAAGGTTGGCCATAATTACCGATCCCGCGCTGACTGACTTCAGCATATTCCAGAGAACTTTAGCAGATCGGCGGTCGACGGTCAATTAGATCTGATGTAAGTAATGATATGATGACGGCTTCATTAGAAATACTTACCGAGCTTAGTGGTCAAATACATTTTGAACTTGGTATTATAAGGTATCATTTTCTCATTAAACTTTATGACCAGATCATTCCCGATTTTCACGATGGCTTTGTCCAAGATCGGGGCTATGGAAGGATCTAGAATCTCGCCAACGTTTTGAATGATTACCGGCTTCCCTTCCGTTAGACATGACTCCATAACTTTCAAATAGTTAGGCTGCCCGAAGTCGACTGCCTGGTGAAAGGAATCAAATTTTCCAGTTAAAAATGCTGAGTCTTCCTTGTTCCTTTTTTAATGTGATCGCCGATAGCCTCCAGGTGCTATTCCAGCTTCTTCGAGCTGGTAGAAGAGTTCACGGGACTCAGCTTGAGAGAAGTTGGTAACACTGGCCCCAGGAAGGGCAGTGCTTCGCTGAATCTACCACCGGATTCAAATCACGTTACCTTGTGGGCATATGACTACAATACGTCTAATAAAAAAGTATTACTCCAATTTCTCTTAATGTTAGAGGAAGATCTACAGTTTTTAGAATATGTTTTTTTAGGCTAGGGGCTCTTCGTATTGGGCTTATAAGTAGGTATAAGATACAGGACCGTGACCGCTTTTGTAACCTCACTTTATTAACCTTATAAAATCTCACATCAATTTTTATTTTGGTCGCTCGTCACAACACTGATGGTATGGTGTGTTTAAGGCACGCATTAAAAAACAATTCATACCCTATGATTGTCGGCATATAACGAGATTAACTTTGCGACATTGGTCGTGATGGTAAATACATAATAAAATAAGTTTAAATAAGAAATTTGCGGGAAAAGTCATTTATGTGAATTGTGATAGCGCGCAATGTAACACAATTAATAACTTGACTAAGGGAAGGCGCGTTGCTAACCTGTATGCCATTAGGCTCTTCAAGTTTGGATATCCAAATGAGGGCCTGACCTTGAGGGTCGACGGCAAGCGGCCAACGTGTGGCTCTCACCACTATTATACCGTTTTCTGCACTAAAATTGTCATCTGTACAACAAAGTTTCAAGGCATTCTATTTGAAATTGAAATTGGAACATTGGTGGTAGGACCTCTTGTGAGTCCGCGCGGGTAGGTACCACGGCTCCGCCTATTTCTGCCGTGAAGCAGTAATGCGTTTCGATTTGAACGCTGGGACAGCCGTTGTAACTATATCTCAAGGTGGGTGGCGGCATTTACGTTGTAGATGTCTATGGGCTCCAGTAACCACTTAACACCAGGTGTGCTGTAAGCTCGTCTACCCACATAAGCAATAAAAAAAATTATAAATTACAAGGCTAGATTTTTTTTTGTTCATTAACGAAAAATCGATGTAAGATTTCAATACCATTATGAATCGTGAGAGAGAGATAGGGAGATTTATGTAAAACGTAATTAATTTTAATACTTATTGTCACATATCGTCGTTGTCAAACTAAAATCTGCTAAGTGCACTCTTTGAGACTTTTACTTTTTGACCTTTTCGTATAATTTACAGCCCCTATCTACCATATAAAAAAACTGTTATGTGTCTATAACTTTTATATTTATCTATAGCTTTCATTTGATATGGTTCTTAAAAATTCGCCTTCATATAAATTTTGAAACGAAAATGTTTTTACTCGTTAATTCAAAATAGGGTTTTTGCACATAGCATATTTTGGTTTGGCAGCGACGATATGCAACTATGAAAGCATACAAGACATCCCACCGGTAATACTCCGTTGTAATAAAAGGCTATCCATATCTTTGCAAATCTACTTTGAAAAGCATCAATAATAAAGATATCGTGACGTATAAACGTACCCGGCAAACCCATGTAGTTCCAATCCCTGAGAATCGCGTCGTCGAGTAAAAAGTTCTTCATGCTCAACTCCATAGTGACCGGAACTTCTTCGTTGAATACCTAACCAATCACCCAAAGATACATCTGTACTTCATGGAATTCATTCATTCATTCTTATGGAAATGTTTTCGGCGTTCATATGACTGGCTCACGGTAGATCTATGTACTTAGTGCGAGCTTTTTAACGTTCTCGATAGCGTAAAAGTTAACTCAAATTTGTATGGAGTAGGATCGTTTGCCAACGTTTGCCGCTAGGGGCGCTGTTCCAACTGCATACTTTGAGTATCTTTTACACTGTCGAGAACATAAGAAAGCTCGCACTAAGCACACTGAGGTCAAATATGGTGTTGCGCCACGGGCGTTATATAAAATAGTAACATTACCAAATATAACGATGTTGCTTTATAGATCGAAACGCCTGACTAGATCAATATAAACAAACTAGACAAAACAATATACACAAACTTGTTAATTTATAAATAAAATTATAAAGCCCGCAATGTAAAGCATACAAAAATCAAGGGTCAATAGCCGCACTCGACTTGCTTGATCCTTTATTTCTGTTACGTAAGAAACATCTTCACAAAAATGCTTAATTTGTTTGAATAAGTATTTAATCCAATAGCTGTTCTATACATGTACAAGAAGAAACTGGTCTTACTGGTAGTAGGACGTCTCGTGAGTCCACACGAGTAGGTACTACCACCTGCCTATTTCTGCCTTGAAGCAGTAATGCGTTTCGGTTTGAAGGGCGGGGCAGCCGTTGTAACTATACTGAGACCTTAGAACTTATATCACAGGGTGGGTGGCGGCATTTTCGTTGTAGACGTCTATGGGCTCTGGTAAATAGTTAACGCCAGGTGGGCTGTGAGCTCGTCCACCCATCTAGGAAAAAAGAAACTGACCTCTTTGAACCAATGATCGAGCAAGTCCTCCCTATATACAGAAACAAAAGGTCCAAGGTACGCCACGAAGCCCGTGGCCAGCAGACAGTCTCCGGGCAGCCTCGTGAACTCCTCGTCGAGTCTTTCCACTGTCAATGCCCACCGTTCCTTTTCACCTGCACCCAAGATACGACTCACTTCAAACCTGTGATTCCTATCTAAATCTGAATATTGAATGTGTACTAATGCAAGATAAAGACAACAAAAAAAAAACTGAATGATTAATGTCCCTGTTGCGTTGTGGTGAATGAGAGTGGACTGTATTATTATTAGTTTGATATTTTTATTGGTTCATAAGTGTGCAAATTAAAGAATTTAAAATTAATGAATTTATGAAATATGATGAAATAGATGTGTCGGCCTTGGCGGCTTGAACTGAAAAGGGAAAAGTGTCATAGCGGACGTCGCTCGTTGATACTTTTGACGTTCCGAATTCAAACAGTCCCCCCACCCAAAAACTGCCACAAATTTTTCTTATTTTTTTTTAATTTATTGCTTAGATGGATAATGGACGAACTCACAGCCCACCTGATGTTAAGTGGTTACTGGAGCCCATGGACATCTAAAACGTAAATGCGCCACCCACCTTGAGATTTAAGTTCTAAGATCTCAGTATAGTTACAACGGCTGCCCCACCCTTCAAACCGAAACGCATTACTGCTTCACGGCAGAAATAGGCATGGCGGTGGTACCTACCCGCGCGGACTCACAAGAGGTCCTACCACCAATTAAATTTTAAGTTAATACATTTTAAGCGCCCACCTGAAAGCCCAGTGATCAGAGCTTCGGCCCTTTCCAGCTTCAGCTGCAGCAGCTTCGATTTCCGCTCCAGCTCGTCTTTCTGGGCGACTTTCTCGTCGTACTCCTTCTGGAGCCGCGCTATCATCTCGCTCAGCTCGCGTAGCTTCGCCCGGGCTTCGGCCAGGATTTGCTGCTTCATACGAAGCGACTCCAGCGCCTCTTCCAAACGTTCCTTTTTCGGTTTTACTATCCTGCGAGAATAAACATGAATCCGTTTTTGTCTCTTAAATAATAAATTCATACTTTAACTGGGTGGGAAGCGAAAGAGAATCAAGGAAGATTTTATATAATAAGGACATAATATGAGGCAGTCAGCACAAAAGTGGCTTATCCTAATTTTTTTTCATTTTCGTGGTTCTACTATATTGTAACATATTTAAAACATAATAAATTTTGATGCAAAACCGGCTTATCCCTAGTTTCGCCCATAGAGAACAGATGGATTTGTCAACATTATTTTTGCGCGTTTTGTTTTTGCCTCTGAGGCAGTGTAAATGTAAGAGGCAAAAGTAAATTCAGACCTCATTGTCTCCATACTTACTATAGTAAGCTCAGGTAAGCTTAAGCCACTTTTGCGCTGACGGCCTCATATGTCGTTAATAATTTTAATTCCATGAAATCAAATAGGTTGTGATGTTTCAGAAAGGAAGTTAAAACGCTCGATGTTAAACCGCCGTACTGTAATAGTATAGAGGTTGCTTTGCGGCAAAAAAAGGCAGGATGGTAGTTCCTACCCGTGCGGGCTCACAAGACGCTCTACCACCAGAAATGAAAATTACATTTTAAACACTTGAAGTTATTCAAGAGAAATTTATACCCGCCTGTGGTTGTTTGAATACCGATATTGTCGCATAACTTCTTACTAGTATACCGAATGTATTATTCTTTAGGCTGCGACGACTTCAAAATGTGGGATACTTAATTACATAGTTACCCGGTTTCAAACACCGACTACACACGTTTTAGTAGCAAATTACAATATTAAAGATCTGTGGAAGAGATCACATTACGTTGAGGCCTGTGGACTGTTTTTTGTTGTTAATTGAGTTTCAGTGTGCAATATATCCTCTCTCTCTCTCTTTAAATCGTTTTTATTTTTTGAAGATAGCTCACTATTATATCATAATAACTTTTTTGTCATACCTACGCTGATAGCCATAGATCGAGAGGCTATTTCAGCTTCTCCTTAACGTGTAGGTGAGCTCACGGGGCTCAAACGGGGAGTGTTGCTAACTGGCCCTAGCAAGAACAGTGCTTCGCAGAATCTACCACCGGATCGGAAGCGCGACCCACTGAGAAGATCCGGCGAGAAACTAAGTGGGCTTAATAGCTATTGGAGAATAAAAGTAAAAAATAAAATGTAATGTTAATGATTGTAACGCACTTGTAAACCTTGCCGTACTTCTCGATGGCCCTGACCCAGAGACAGAGCGACTTGGCCGCCAGGGACACGGTACCGACAATCTCGGGGTCGAAGTCCGGCTTGGCCGTGTAAGTGCCGATCTTCTTCAGCGTCTTATCGGAAATGTTGTCCTTGTCGAACTCCCGGAGCCGGTCGAGGAAGTACTGGTCGCCGAGCTGGCGCTTCGCTTCGGCCCAGGTCGGCTCTTTCTGTGTAAAGCGACCGCATTACGATCATTACAAATATGTACTAGTATTGACCCATCGCTCGAAATTTGACCCTAATTACTGAAACCTCAAGATTCATATTCGTTTATTACATTTTGATTTGAAGATGGTAGTCAGTCGATGTGCCTATGTCTATTTAATAAATAAGTATATGATTAAATGATGCCCCGAAGTACAATTATTTTACCGATACTAACTCCGCCCGGGATTCGACTAAAGATCCCGTCATACAGTAGCCAAAGTTTCTGGCTGCTCAACTAAGGAGAAAAAAAATTTGTACACCCACTTCCACAAAAAATATTTTTAACACATGTATATATGGAATATTTCGGAATCAATAAACAATAAAATACTTAATTGCGTTTTCTGTTATATGTATGGTAAGAAAACAACATGTAAAGCCTTTAATCTCTTTTAAAAGTAATATTTTAAATACAGTCAAACCTGGGTAAGCGAGAGTTCAAGGGAGCACTATCTCATTCTCGCTTATAGAGGTTTCTCACTAACCCGAGTTTCTCGCTAATGCTCCCTCTGAATTTCATTTCGGGATTTTACGGATTCAAACGCATTCACTGATTTAAGTTTATCACTTAATGACAGTACTTTAATTTTCCGTTTTGACATGATGCAGAACAGAACTTTCCTTCGCAATTGATTAACGATAAATTGAGTAAGTTCAACAAACAGGACGGTACACAGGCACATGTGTCCATTCGAAAAGAATGCGATAAAATACAACGTTATTTAGTTCCACGAAATAGAATAGGTTCAATATTGACGAGAAAACAATACAAAAACAATGGAAGGAAGTTCCAAAAGTTAAGAATGAGTCATAAAATAGCAGATGTTAAATTTGTAATTTGTTTTTTTATTTGTTCCTCCTAAATAATATAAATAAATAAAGCTCGACTGTCGCTTATAGAGGTATAGATAAGTAGCAGTCTCACTTACGGAGGTCCATGAGGGAAAAACGACTCTCTCTTACAGAGGTTTCTGTTTCTCGCTAATAGAGGTTTTGGGAGCTTAAAATGACGGGTCCTGGCTATTACTCTCACTTATAGAGTTTTATCCAGTTCTCACTTACCCAGGTTTGACTGTAGTATTACTATACTATATTTAATAGTAAACTGAACACTCTTTTCACTGAATGACAGACACTACATATTTTTATTGGTAACGTTAATACGTTAGTGGCGAGTTGTACACGTATATAAGCTTTTGATAAAAAGCTCACCTGCAGTAGTATGAGCACAGCTTCGAGGACCATCTCGACTTTTTGAGGAGGCTTGGCGTACGACTTCACTTCGGTTATGTCTTTCTTGTTCAACGCGTCCAGGGCCTGTTCAGGACACGTCTTGTTACTGTGCTGTCCCGGGACCGCTGTGCAGTGCCTTACTGTATGTAGACACACACGCAAGAGACTGGCACCTACCCTCCTGACTTAACAATACTTCTATCCTATCACCAGGTAATTACCTGGTGATAGGATAGACGGTGTGATTCCTTCATCATGCAAGTCATTCTCGTAACCGTGTGTTAAGTACGTAATCTATACTAATACACAAATCCATCCGTTCTCTATGGGCGAAACTAGAGATAGGCCGGTTTTGCATAAAATTTATTATGTTTTAAATATGTTACAATATAGTAGAACCACGAATATGAAAAAATATAGGATAGGGCACTTTAGTGCTGACTGCCTCATATATAAAATCTTCCTTGATTATTTTTCGCTTCCCGCCCAGTTAAAGTATGAATCTATATCTATACTAATATATAAATCTACAGTGGTTTTTACGGATGTTCCGTTATAACTACTGAACCATGCATCCGATTGACTTGAAACTTCGTATCCGTGTAGAAAATACATGTACATAATGGTTAAGTTAATATTTGTATGAGTGTTGGACTTCCTACACCAGTTGCGGGGGTGTTAATGATGAGAATCTTTGCGGGGGTGAAAAATAATAATGTTAATTTTAAATGCCCAGCGAAGCGGACGGGTACAGCTAGTCCTGCAATAAAGATGCTGCGGGACTCGAGCCCCGGTTCCGGAGAGCAGTAGTATTTTTTTTTATGATTGAGAGTTTACTGGTGGCCTTGAGGCTTTTCCAGTTTCGCAAGGACGGGTGGGCGAGCAAGGGTTCAGCCAGAAGGGGCGGGATTTGCTGACAGCTACCCGAGCGCCTCCAAGGGAGACCTAACAACTCAAGACCAGCTGCTTCGCGAATGAAGCTACTACCGGATCGGAATCGAATCCGTCATGATAATCACCTCGTCGTAATAATCGCCTTAACGTTGCCGCTGCTGACTACTCTCAGAATCCTTATCATGCAGGAGCCAGTCACCATCGACGTCCTAGACACGTCCTTACGGATCCATCAGATCCAATAACCTTTGCATTAGACGCCTTCAGTTCTAACACTAGGAACAGGCTTAGAAACCCCGGTAACCGTACTCGTCGAACTCAACAAGGAGGTCGACGTGCAACCTAACCCATACATTAGCCCACTGAGTTTCTCGCCGGATCTTCTCAGCGGATCGCGATTCCAATCCGATAGTAGATTCATTCGCGAAGCAGCTGGTCTTGAGTTGTTAGGTCTCCTTTGGAGGCGCTTGGGCAGCTGTTAGCAAATCCCGCCTCTTCTGACTGAGCCTTTGCTCGCCCACCTGTCCTGATTAAGCTGGGAAGGCCTCTGGGCCACCAGTCATCTTTCAATCATAAAAAAAGCACTCTATTCATGGTCAGTAGTGTAAGAGAGTGCGGCTGACCTTGACGGCCTCCTCGAGCGCGGGCATGGCGCTGGCGAGGTCCCGCATGGCGGCGTCGGCCAGCTTCTTGCACTGCACCTCCTCCTCCTGCGTCTTCTTGCTGCGCGCCGCCACGCTGCGCTGCTGCTCGTCCGCGTTCCGTTGCTGCGCGTTGATCACGCCCATGTACTCGATACACTGATCCGTGTACTCGGCCACTTGAACCTACAACGTTATTTGCTGCTGCTAATCTAACCCGGCCTGCACTGCTGGCCGATGCTTCATTAGACCAAGGCTAAGCCAATCTGAAGGTCTCATCGAAATCGGCCCAATCATTTCGGAGACTGTAAAGGACATAACTCTGCCATTGCCGGTCCCAAGCCCGGATGAGAAAAGAGGAGGGTTGAGTAGAGCTGGACATTCCTACCGTAAAACGTCAACGCCAAGCACTGGGCGGCAGGAAATAACCCAGCCCTCGGATCCAACCAGAGGCCCGGAGCGGGACCAGTTGCCGTGAAGGACTAAATCCCTTCGAAACACTAATGTGGAAGAACGTGGGAACCCACCACAATTACATCCCAAGAAAGTCATGGACAGAGAAACATTTAAACTGTTTCAAGGCCACGACCACGACCCTCAGTAATGAGGAAACCGACGCAAGGAGGAGGAGGAGGAGGAGAAAGGACATGCATACACCGACTCAACAGACTAACGCAAGCCTATAAGTAAAAGTCATAAAATATTGCATCTTTTCGTCAATTTGATTTGCGGTCAGTTTTTTGTGAGACAACCATTGTCGATCACACGAGGACGTTACGGTACAATGTCGGTTCGTTTCCATTCGTTTTTTACCACGAACATTGACAAATGTTAAAAACGTCTGAAACTGCAACGAACACGAGAGTTAGCTCTTAAAAATGACAGAAAGAAGATTCTTTGGGACTTTCATGTGCTTTTTTATTGCTTAGATGGATGGACGAGCTCACAGCTAACCTGGTGTCAAGTAATTACCGAAGCCCATAGACATCTACAACGTAAATGCTACCACCCATCTCGAGACAAGAATTCTAAAGTCTCAGTTTAGTTACAACAACTACCCAAGCCTTCAAACCGAAACGCATTACTGCTTTACGGTAGAAATAAGCAGGGCGGTGGTATCTACCCGAGCAGACTCACAAGAGGTCCTACCACCAGTAAATGTAAAGAATGTGTAAGCTTTAGCAAATATCGTTAGCGCGATTCAGGTTGTTTGTATGGTTTCCCCTGCTGCAACAGCTGGTGTTCCAGCACGCCCACCTGAGCGACCGCCAATTCTTCAGACATCTGCCCGACGAGTTTGGTCGTCTCCTCGACTTTACCGAGACCGTTTCTCAGTTTGTTCGCCTGTAGCGCTACTTCGAAGCGTTTCGCTTTTAACATCCTGAAAAGAAAGTATTTTATTGATTTTTAAATTTTTCGTTGCCCTTGTATACAAGCGAACATACGGCCCACCTGATGGTGAGTGGTTATCGTCACCTATGTACATCAGCAATGCCAAGCTGCTGCCTAACCTTAACTACTCTTTTTTCTTTCTCTCTTTTTTTCCCTACCTTTTCAATGGTAGCCTAAGAAGCTATTCCAGCTACGCAACGGGTAGGTAAGCTTACCGGCTCAACCTGAGAGAATTTGCTAACACTAGCCCTAGCATGAGCAGTGCTTCGCAGAATCTACCACCGGATCGGAAAAAAGACCCACTGAGAAGATTCGGCGAGAGACTCAGTGGGCTGTGTCTGTGGGTTAATTTACTCGCCGAGCCCTTTGTTGCACGCGACGGGTTCGACGAGAATGATGACCAGCTAAACTTCGACCTCATGTCTCAAGACGGTGACCATCACGTTGGGATCTCTATGAGGTTCGTTAACCACTCGACACCTGGAGGTCCGTGAGTTTGTTGACTTATTGACGCAGTAAATAACAATAAAAACGATGCCTCCTAAACCAAGGTGTCCGCGGAAGGTCAACTCGTGACGAAGCTACCAGTCCCATTATATTCCCGTTAAACAATCAAGGACTCACTCTTTGTAGCCGGTCACCAGCTCCAGATAGTTGGTGGGGGTGACGTAGTTGGTCCTCCTCATCTCGTTCCACATCTTCACCGAGTACTTCCCGACCGACGAGTGGACCAGAGACATGATGGACGCCACCGAGGCGCGCAGCGAGTCCTCTCTACTCTCTACCACAGACTCCTTCCTACGTACCTGGAGAGCGAACGATTCACAATATACGAAGACACGAGTGGATGAAGGGGATATTTTTTATTACTTAGATGGGTGGACAAGCCCACAGCCCATCTGGTGTTAAGTGGTTACTGGAGCCCATAGACATCTACAACGTAAATGCGCCACCCACCTTGAGATATAAGTTCTAAGATCTCAGTATAGTTACAACGGCTGCCCCACCCTTCAAACCGAAACGCATTACTGATTCACGGCAGAAATAGGCAGGGCGGTGGTACCTACTCGCGCGGACTCACAAGAAGTCCTACCACCAGTGAACAAGGTCCTCGGCTTCTCTCATCCAGCTTTTGCTAAACAATTTATCCGACAGCCGTTGTTCATTATTTATTTATTTATTTATTACTTCATGTAAAATTTACATTGGCGGACTTAATGTCTAAGGCATTCTCTACCAGTCAACCAAAGGTAGTGCAGAGTGAATAGTGGTAGGTGCAATGAAATTTATATTAAGTTTATTTATACAAATACATACACAAAAAAAGTATATACATACATATATACATAATCACATATACACATACACACACACACACATACACACACACATACATACATACATACATAATCAAACAAAAGCACATACCCTTTGTCCGGTAATGGAGGCGAGCAGCTCGACCCCGTCCAAGAACTTGTAGGCCACCTCGAGCAGCGCCTCCCGCGGCCACTCCAAGAACCAGTTCGTGGTCGTCGCGTTGATCAGCGCCGGGTACTGCCGGATGCGGTTCCTGAACATTCGGAGACGATTAGGTAGCATAAGGGGTTAAGGCGATGCAAAAAGCTGGTCACGACCCTCAGCAGTGAGGAATATGACGCAAGGAGGAGAGGTTTCATATGACGTCTGTGTTCACCACAAGCACCGCCGTTGTTCCCAAGAAAGGTCTATTACGCAAATGAGGGTCCTGCACATTGTACTGCTGGTTAAGCATATTGTGAGCTCGAATTTGTAGATAGCATCATCCTGCCTGTGTCTGACGAACTCACTGCAAGTGGTTCGTGAAATTGTCTGTGCTACTTAAATGCCAAAACAGTCTCATCGCTCGATACTGACATACCGGGCGCCTTATCCTTTACGCCACGTCGACTTCGATAAATTCTAAATTTAAAGACGGTGTGTATCGACTATATTTATTTATTTATACTTTATGCACAAAACAAAACTTGTACACAGACGGACTTAATGCCATGGGTATTCTCTTCCAGTCGACCATAGGGTGGTGCAGAGATAATGCAGTGTAGTTGCATTAACAAAAGAATAACAAACAACAACAAAATAAAAAAAAAGAACAAACTCAAAACAAACTATAGACAGGCCAAAGCCTGTAACGGTAGGAACAAAGACCTGAAGTCATCTCCGATGGGGCTGAAGCAGAGCACGATGTGCATGTTGGCGCGGACCCTGTCCACCAGGAACAGGTACACGGCCTCCGCAGTCTGCATCAAATTCGCTGCCTTCATGGGCTTCTCTAAGGCCTGTTTGATCTGAAGACAAATTTTGCAATAACTCGATGGTGATTGATCCTGTTGACTTGACCACATACGGTTAGACACCACTACTCATCCTACTTCTGTCGCGCAGCAATGAGGCGGTTCGGTGTGAAAGTTGCGAAAGCTATTAACCACAAAATACAATTGACTGATACGTCGATCAGAAGTCCATGGGCTTCGGTAAGCACTTTACGTTTAATGGGGTTTGAGCAGTAATGCGTTTCGGTTCGAAGGGTGGGGTAGCCGTTGTAACTATACTGAGACCTTAGAACTTGTATCTCAAGATGGGTGGCGCATTTATGTTGTAGATGTTCATGGGCTCCAGTAACCACTTAACATCAGGTGAGCTGTGAGCTCGTCCACCCATCTAGGTAATAAAAAAAAAGCTCAAGTTCAATTCATGATGTCTAAGTCTGCTGACGCTGTTTCTAGAGTTTTTTTGTCAAATGCGACTACTTGCTTATCCTTTTAAATAAAACTTGGTAAACTCTTGCTGTTGGGACTTCAGAATGGGGTCTTAGAATCATAAGTCTTACCATACGCGTACGACAAGTGGCTTGTCACGAATGGCCATGGACCATAAATCGTGTCTGAAATTCGTTGCTATCTATAATATTTTTAAGGCACTTATATTCTGGCAGACAGGTCTGGTACTAACATCCTCAAACTCGTCCGGCTTGTACAGGTTGGTGACCTCTCCACTGCTAAGCAGGTTGTTGATTATCTCTGTAAAAGTCTCCTCCACGATTTGAGTGTCGCAGAATATAAACGTCGTCTTCTTGGAGTCCACTCCGCAACTGGTGTACAGGACCTGAGGACATTCATCTGGCTTATTGGAAACCTACGCCGCAATAATGTGCACCGAGAGCACCAAGCTCACCAAGAGCACTAAGAGCACCACGAGTACCACGAGCACCAAGAGCACTAAGAGCACCAAGAACACTACGAGCACCAAGAGCACTACGAGCACCAAGAGCACTACGAGCACCAAGAGCACCAAGAGCCGGCCTCAAACGATCCTAGTACCCTAACGCCCCTGCTTGACAATCAGAAGACTTCATATTCTAGGTTGAATAGCATTTGTGTACCGATCAGCGCCCCTAGCGGCAAACGTAGGCAAACGTTCCAACTCCATACAAATTTGAGTTAACTTTTACGCTATCGAGAACGTTAAAAATTCGTACTAAGGACACTGTTATCTAAGGACTACGAAACTCACTTAAAATATCATGACATGTAACCTCAGCTGTCGATAACTAAACCGCTAAGACATTATAAAATGCACTAACTTAATTGATATCATGCAATTAATCTCAATTCACCAAACAAAATCCTCAGTTAAAACATAATTTAAAACAGAAAGTCAAGTAAAATATCTTTGTTCGAGATCCATACATTTACCTTCAAATCTTCACGAAAATCTTTCACTCCATAAGTCTTCGTGACTACAACTTGGAAAGAATTACACTCGCAGATGTAAGACGCGACGCGAGTTAAGCTCTGACGTCCGGACCCGCCTGTTAACATACAAATAGATAAACTTCTCCGATTCACTATACCTTTAAGATGCAGAAATATTATTTCTAAGCCTTTATATTAACATGCTCAGGAATGATGATACCGGCATTTCGTTTTTACCATCGCACCGCCCGCCACCGGAGAGAAGTTCATCCATACTACTTGGAGCCGCTGCGGTCATCCACAGTGCGTTTCCAGAGATATTTTTTGCCACGTACCGTCCGGCTATGGAATGAGCTCCCCTCCACGGTGTTTCCCGAGCGCTATGACATGTCCTTCTTCAAACGAGGCTTGTGGAGAGTATTAAGCGGTAGGCAGCGGCTTGGCTCTGCCCCTGGCATTGCTGAAGTCCATGGGCGACGGTAACCATCGGGTGGGCCGTATTATCGTCAGGCTACATGGGCAATAAAAAAAAAAGCCCACAATTCGCTGCATCGCGAAGTTGTCGATGGTTGAAATAAAACACACTGGCTAATGTGTCGGCCTCATTAATGTCAGTTAAAAGATAGCAGAAGCAGGTCTACGCTTTATTGTGTCACAGCTCATTGTTACAGAGTCCCCTACTGAGTGTCTCGCCGGATCTTCTCAGTGGGTCGCGATTCCGATCCGGAGGTAGATTCTGCGAAGCGCTACTCTTGCTAGGGCTAGTGTTAGCAAATTCTCTTAGGTTGAGTCCGTGAGCACATCTATCGGTCCGTGCGTAGCTGGAATAGGCCCTTAGGCTACCACTGCTACCAGCGAATAGGCAGAGAAAAAAACAGTCACTTTTCAACTTAAAATACTTTGATAGATTATGTGGTAGCAACGTCGTATACATTGCTACAACATAATATTGTTACACCGGTAAGAGTAACGCCATCTATCGCTGAATAGTCGAACGAATATCGAAGGATCTAATAGCACCTAGAACGCTCGAGAAGTACAACGCCATCTATTGTCAGATAGCGGAAACACAATACTAGAGATGTATAGAATATTCTCGAGAACTTTAGGGGTGTCGTATCGACTGTAAAACCGTTGCAGAGAGGGCACGCAGTCAGTTTGTAATCGGAACTACTCGAAGCGAAACAGTGAATGAATCACCTGAAGCGAAGCGAAAGAAGCGAATTGAGAGTTTTAAAGTGTTTGTTGAGTGTTTTAAGTGTTCTAAGTCTTTAATACCGTTTTTGGTTGTACTTTGGTGGATTTTTTTATTTATCCCGAACCCCAGTGCGTAACAATATAAAAACTGAGAAATCGAGTGCCAGCTAACCAATGCCGACGCACAGCATGTGGCCCCTCGGCTGCGATATGACCCGGACAATACGAACAATGTACTCGATCGCGTCCTTGAACAGAACCAAATCCATCTTCACGACGCCGGGACAGCTGTTATACTCCTCCATCTGATTGGCTATGTACCTGAGACACAAATCACAAGCTTTGTTTAGGATCTTCCATAACATTGGCTGATAATCGCAAGATTTATTTGCGGCAATTTTTTTATATTACTGTAGGCAAACGAGCATACGATGTATTTGGTGGTGAGTGGTTACTATCGCTCATTGAAGTCAGCAATGCCAGGGGAATAGACAAACCACTTCACAGACTGTGACTGCCTACCTCAAATCTCGTCTGCAGAATGATAAGTCATAGCGCTTGGGAAACGTACAATTTATTGATGATCACAACGGTTTTAAGTAGAGTGGATGAACACGGTCGAAGCGAAATGATTGGATCATCTCAAACAATTTCCTCAGAGCACTCTCCATTGGACATCCACTACAGAGTATCAAAATTCCTCCGTAGACCCTAGATTCCAAACGACCATTGCACTATAGTGCAAATAAAAATTTGTAAAAAAAAAATTGCCCACCTCCTCAGAGCGGCGGGGTCGTTTAAATCATCGTAAACTTCGAAGGGGTTGAGGAAATGTCCGAACAACGGAGGACTCTTGCTCGGGCACAGAGCGTGGAACGTCAGCTCGAAGTGCTTACCCAACATGTCGCTCACTTGGTTCATGAACCAGTCGCGATCCCTGAAGCATTTACATAATAATATACCATTAATACGATAAATCACCATCATCTCCAAATAAATAATGATAAATACTTTAATCGCAGCATACATTTGTAAATTTATGCATCATAGAATGCGGAGCCGCAACCTATCGCGAACAAATTTTGACGAGCAATGAACCATTTAGAGATTAACTAAATGGTCGCAGTTATTACTCAGCTACGTTACGAGCAAACAACACAATAGAATTTAGGCTCAGGAAAAAAAATAGTAATTCTATTGGACGTATTGAAATATTGTATACATAAAGTAGGCTGCGACAATACGACTTGTGCCGAGCCTTATAGCGCGACCGTATAACGTGAAACGCGAACATTTTAACACTTTGTGGACCAAAACCCATGGCCTTCGCGTTCACATCGAGGCTTGTCACATACACGTAATATAAAGTCGGTCCCATACGAGTACATAAACCATCTTATTGAATTAAAACTCTCTTGCTATTAAACTGAGTTAATGATTTTAGTGAAAGCATCATCAAAGCTCCATAGGTGACTTACGAGTACATATTATAGCAACTGTATTTTTCATAGCGAAAGTTAAAGGGCCGCTCCCTTTCATTACATGGGGTTTCATTACATTTCTTTACAAATGTCTTCAATGTTCAGAAACATTCCATTACAGTTTACCTAATATAAGACTAGTCGAGTCCGACTCGCTTTGCTAGCCGATATCTCTGTTAGACTTCGATCCAATCACTACCAAATAGGGTCGCCCACTGAAGAGCAATCAGATCATTTGAAGATTTCCCGAAAATTTCATCAAAATCGATCCAGTTGTTACCGACAAATGTCCTTTCAATTTCTTTTACAAAGATAACTAACTTCTCTTCGGTAAGTCGATCACCGAACACTCTGAAACACTCGTGGATCCAAAGCCTCAGGAATCGCGGCTTCGTATTTGTGTAGTCCTTGTTGCTACGTAAGAGACCCTACAACGAGTTCATAGTCATAGGACAGGTTCAGAAAAAGACATTTGAGTCGTCTATTATCAAAGGTGGCAATCTGTGCATTTAGACAAAAAAATGTTATTGATATGTCAATACAGATTGATTTGAATATAATCGTCTCCTTCAAAGAATACGGTTCAAAACCTGCATTAAATAAAGGTTAATAGTTAACCTGTTATTTATCTAAGATGTCGTTCCGAAGAGTTTTGTGACTGCCAATGGAATACNACCGCAACGATGCAACGCAATAACTGCAACACGGTCTTCTTTAAGCGTCCACTCCATATTTAAAAATGAGTAAAATTCTAAAAGTATACATTTTTATTTTCATGAACAATTCGAAATTCGAATTCAATAAACTTTTTTGTGGCCAGCATTCTAAAAGAAAAGTTTTTACTGTGTGACAATACTTATGACCTGACTAGTTATATATGGAATATTTTGGAATCAATAAACAATAAACTACTTAATTGCGTTTTCTGTTATATGTATGGTAAGAAAACAACATATAAAGCTTTTAATCTCTTTTAAAAGTAATATTTTAAATAGTATTACTATACTATATTTAATAGTAAACTGAACACTCTTTTCACTGAATGACAGACACTACATATTTTTATTGGTAACGTTAATATGTTAGTGGCGAGTTGTACACGTATATAAGCTTTTGGTAAAAAGCTCACCTGCAGCAATATGAGCACAGCTTCGAGGACCATCTCGACTTTTTGAGGAGGCTTGGCGTACGACTTCACTTCGGTTATGTCTTTCTTGTTCAACGCGTCCAGGGCCTGTTCAGGATACGTCTTGTTACTGTGCTGTCCCGGGACCGCTGTGCAGTGCCTTACTGTATGTAGACTCATACGCAAGAGACTGGCACCTACCCTCCCGACTTAACAATACTTCCTATCACCAGGTAATTAGATGGTGGGATTCCTTCATCATGCCAGTCAGTCTCGTAACCGTGTGTTAATTACGTAATCTATACTAATACATAAATCTACAGTGGTTTTTACGGATTTTCCGTTATAACTACTGAACCATGCATCCGATTGACTTGAAACTTAGCACCCATGTAGAAAATACATGTACATAATGGTTAAGCTTATATTTATATGAGTGTTGGACTCTCTACACCAGTTGCGGGGGCGTTAATGATGAGAATCTTTGTGGGGGTGAGAAATAATAATGTTAATTTTAAATGCCCAGCAAAGCGGTCGGGTACAGCTAGTCCGGCAATAAAGATGCTGCGGCACTCGAGCCCCGGTTCCGGAGAGCAGTAGTATTTTTTTTATGATTGAGAGTTTACTGGTGGCCTTGGGGCTTTTCCAGTTTCGCAAGGACAGGTGGGTGAGCAAGAGCTCAGCCAGAAGGGGCGGGATTTGCTAACAGCTACCCGAGCGCCTCCAAGGGAGACCTAACAACTCAAGAGTAGCTGCTTCGCGAATGAAGCTACTACCGGATCGGAATCGATTCCGTCATGATAATCGCCTCGTCGTGATAATCGCCTTATCGGGCCACCAGTAATCTTTCAATCATAAAAAAAGCACTCTATTCATGAGCAGTAGTGCAGGAGTGTGCGGCTGACCTTGACGGCCTCCTCGAGCGCGGGCATGGCGCTGGCGAGGTCCCGCATGGCGGCGTCGGCCAGCTTCTTGCACTGCACCTCCTCCTCCTGCGTCTTCTTGCTGCGCGCCGCCACGCTGCGCTGCTGCTCGTCCGCGTTCCGTTGCTGCGCGTTGATCACGCCCATGTACTCGATACACTGATCCGTGTACTCGGCCACTTGAACCTACAACGTTATTTGCTGCTGCTAATCTAACCCGGCCTGCACTGCTGGCCGATGCTTCATTAGACCAAGGCTAAGCCAATCTGAAGGTCTCATCGAAATCGGCCCAGTCATTTCGGAGACTGTAAAGGACATGCATACACCCACTCAACAGACTAACGCAAGCCTATAAGTAAAAGTCATAAAATATTGCATCTTTTCATCAATTTGATTTGCGGTCAGTTTTTTGTAAGACAAACATTGTCGATCACACGAGGACGTTACGGTACAATAACGGTTCGTTTCCATTCGTTTTTTACCACGAACATTGACAAATGTTAAAAACGTCTGAAACTGCAACGGCCTCTTAAAAATGACAGAAAGAAGATTCATTGGGACTGGTATATCCTTTTCGTATAGCTTAAATGGTTGGACGAGCTCACAGTCCACCTGGTGTCAAGTAGTTACCGGAGCCCGTAGACATCTACAACATAAATGCCGCCACCCACCTTGAGATATAAATTCTAAGGTCTCAGTACGGTTACAACGGCTGCCCCACCCTTCAAACCGAAACGCATCACTGCTTTACGGCAGAAATAAGCAAGGCGGTGGTATCTACCCGAGCAGACTCACAAGACGTCCTACCAACAGTAAATATAAAGAATGTGTAAGCTTTAGAAAACATCGTTAGCGCGATTCAGGTTGTTGCGTGGTTTCCCCAGCAGCACGCCCACCTGAGCGACCGCCAATTCTTCAGACATCTGCCCGACGAGTTTGGTCGTCTCCTCGACTTTACCGAGACCGTTTCTCAGTTTGTTCGCCTGTAGCGCTACTTCGAATCGTTTCGCTTTTAACATCCTGAAAAGAGGATTTTTTTTTTTATTTTTTTTTTATTCCACTTGCATGCGTACGAGCATATGGCCCACCTGATGGTGAATGGTTACTGTCGCCCATGGACTGCAGCAATGCCAGGGGCAGAGCCAAGCTGCTGCCTACCGTTAAGTACTATTTGCTCTCTCTCTCTATTTTTCCCTACCTTTTCAATGGTAGCCTAAGAGACTATTCCAGCTACGTATGGACGGGTAGATGAGCCCACGGGCTCAACCTGAGAGAATTTGCTAACACTAACCCTGGCAAGAGCAGTGCTTCGCAGAATCTACCACCGGATCGGAAACGCGACCCACTGCGAAGATCCGGCGAGAAACTCACTGTGCTGTGTCTGTAGGTTAATTTACTGGTCGAAGAACGGTGACCGGGTTAACTACGACTTCATGTCTCAAGACGATGACCATCACATTTATGAGGTTCCTAACCACTCGACAACTGGTGGTCCGTAAGTTTGTTGACTTATTGATGCAGTAAATAGCAAAACAACGATGACTCCTAAACCAAGGTGTCCGCGGAAGGTCAAGTCGTGACGAAGCTACCAGTCCCATTATATTCCCGTTAAACAATCAAGGACTCACTCTTTGTATCCGGTCACCAGCTCCAGATAGTTGGTGGGGGTGACGTAGTTGGTCCTCCTCATCTCGTTCCACATCTTCACCGAGTACTTCCCGACCGACGAGTGGACCAGAGACATGATGGACGCCACCGAGGCGCGCAGCGAGTCCTCCCTACTCTCTACCACAGACTCCTTCCTACGTACCTGGAGAGCGAACGATTCACAATATACGAAGACACGAGTGGATGAAGGGGATATTTTTTATTACTTAGATGGGTGGACAAGCCCACAGCCCATCTGGTGTTAAGTGGTTACTGGAGCCCATAGACATCTACAACGTAAATGCGCCACCCACCTTGAGATATAAGTTCTAAGATCTCAGTATAGTTACAACGGCTGCCCTACCCTTCAAACCGAAACACATTACTGCTTCACGGCAGAAATAGGCAGGGCGGTGGTACCTACCCGCGCGGACTCACAAGAAGTCCTACCACCAGTGAAAAAGGTCCTCGGGTTCTCTCATCCAGCTTTTGCCAAACAATTTATCCGACAGCCGTTGTTCACTATTTATTTTTTTATTTTTTTATTACACTTCATGTAAAATTTACATTGGCGGACTTAATGCCTAAGGCATTCTCTACCAGTCAACCAAAGGTAGTGCAAAGTGAATAGTGGTAGGTGCAATGAAATTTATATTAAGTTACAAATACATACACAATCACATACAAATACATACATACACACACACACACACACACACATACATACACATACACATAGATACATACATTACCAAACAAAAGCACATACCCTTTGTCCGGTAATGGAGGCGAGCAGCTCGACCCCGTCCAAGAACTTGTAGGCCACCTCGAGCAGCGCCTCCCGCGGCCACTCCAAGAACCAGTTCGTGGTCGTCGCGTTGATCAGCGCCGGGTACTGCCGGATGCGGTTCCTGAACATTCGGAGACGATTAGGTACCATAAGGGAGTAAGGTGATAAAAAAGGCTGGTCACGACCCTCAGCAGTGAGGAACATGACGCAAGGAGGAGAGGTTTCATATGACGTCTGTGTTCACCACAGGCACCGCCGTTGTTCACAAGAAAATCTATTACGCCAATGAGGGTCCTGCACATTGTACTGCTGGTTAAGCATATTGTGAGCTCGAATTTGTAGATAACATCATCCTGCCTGTGTCTGTCTGTGCTACTTAAATGCCAAAACACTCTCATCGCTCGGTACTGACATACCGGGCGCCTTATCCTTTAGGCCACGTCGACTTCGATAAACTCTAAATTTAAAGACGGTATGTATCGACTATAGACGGGCCAAAGCCTGTAACGGTAGGAACAAAGACCTGAAGTCATCCCCGATGGGGCTGAAGCAGAGCACGATGTGCATGTTAGCGCGGACCCTGTCCACTAGGAACAGGTACACAGCCTCCGCGGTCTGCATCAAATTCGCTGCCTTCATGGGCTTCTCTAAGGCCTGTTTGATCTGAAGACAAATTTTGCAATAACTCGATGTGGTGATTGATCCTGTTGACTTGACCACATACGGTTAGACACCACAACTCATCCTACTTCTGTCGCGCAGCAATCAGGCGGTTCGGTGTGAAAGTTGCGAAAGCTATTAACCACAAAATACAATTGACTGATACGTCGATCTGAAGTCCATGGGCTTCGGTAAGCACTTTACGTTTAATGGGGTCTAAGCTCCTTCTTTCATTTAAACAATCAAAAAAGTTCAAGTTCAAGTCATGATGTCTAAGTCTGCTGACGCTGTTTCTAGAGTTTTTTTTGTCAAATGCGACTACTTGCTTATCCTTTTAAATAAAACTTGGTAAACTCTTGCTGTTGGGACTTCAGAATGGGGTCTTAGAATCATAAGTCTTACCATACGCGTACGACAAGTGGCTTGTCACGAGTGGCCATAGACCATAAATCGTGTCCGAAATTCGTTGCTATCTATAATATTTTTAAGGTACTTATATTCTGGCAGTCAGGTCTGGTACTAACATCCTCAAACTCGTCCGGCTTGTACAGGTTGGTGACCTCTCCACTGCTGAGCAGGTTGTTGATTATCTCTGTAAAAGTCTCCTCCACGATTTGAGTGTCGCAGAATATAAACGTCGTCTTCTTGGAGTCCACTCCGCAACTGGTGTACAGGACCTGAGGACATTCATCTGGTTTATTGGAAACCTACGCCGCAATAATGTGCACCAAGAGTACCAAGAGTACCAAGAGCACTAAGAGCACCAAGAGCACCAAGAGCACTACGAGCACTACGAGCACTACGAGCACTACGAGGACCAAGAGCACTACGAGCACTAAGAGCACCAAAAGTACTACGAGCACCAAGAGCACCACGAGCACCAAGAGCCGGCCTCAAATGGTCCCAGCACCCTGACTGCTCCTGCTAGATAATCAGAAAACTTCATATCCTAGGTTGAACAGCATTTGTATCTCGAACAGCGCCCCTAGCGGCAAACGTAGGCAAACGTTCCAACTGCATACAAATTTCAGTTAACTTTTCGCTATCGAGAACGTTAAAAAAACTCGTACTAGGAATACTGTTATCTAAGAACTACGATACTCACTTAAAATATCATGACATGTAACCTCAGCTATCGATAACTAAACCGCTAAGACATTATAAAATGCACTAACTTAATTGATATCATGCAATTAATCTCAATTCACCAAACAAAATCCTCAGTTAAAACATAATTTAAAACAGGGAGTCAAGTAAAATATCTTTGTTCGACATCCATACATACCTTTAAATCTTCACGAAAATCTTTCACTCCATAAGTCTTCGTGACTACAACTTGGAAAGAATTACACTCGCAGATGTAAGACGCGACGCGAGTTAAACTCTGACGTCCGGACCCGCCTGTTAACATACAAATAGATAAACTTCTCCGATTCACTATACCTTTAAGATGCAGAAATATTATTTCTAAGCCTTTATATTAACATGCTCAGGAATGATGATACTGGCATCTCGTTTTTACCATCGCACCGCCCGCCACCGGAGTAGAGTTCATCCATACTACTTGGAGCCGCTGCGGTCATCCACAGTGCGTTTCCAGAGATCTTTTTTGCCACGTACCATCCGTCTATGGATTGAGCTCCTCTCCACTGTGTTTCCCGAGCGCTATGACATGTCCTTCTTCAAACGAGGCTTGTGGAGAGTATTAAGCGGTAGGCAGCGGCTTGGCTCTGCCCCTGGCATTGCTGAAGTCCATGGGCGACGGTAACCATCAGGTGGGCCGTATTATCGTCAGGCTACATGGGCAATAAAAAAAAAGCCCACAATTCGCTGCATCGCGAAGTTGTCGATGGTTGAAATAAAACACACTGACTAATGTGTTGGCTTGATTAATGTAAGTTAAAAGATAGCAAGCAGGTCTACGCTTTATTGTGTCACAGCTCATTGTTATAGAATCCCCCACTGAGTGTTTTGCCGGATCTTCTCAGTGGGTCGCGATTCCGATCCGGTGGGAGATTCTGCGAAGCGCTACTCTTGCTAGGGCTAGTGTTAGCAAATTCTTTTAGGTTGAGTCCGTGAGCTCATCTATCGGTCCGTGCGTAGCTGGAATAGGCCCTTAGGCTACCACTGCTACCAGCGAATAGGTAGAGAAAAAAACAGAGTCACTTCCAAATTAAAATACTTTGATAGATTATGGTGGCAACCTCGTATACATTGCTACAACATAATATTGTTACGTCGGTAAGAGTAATGCCATCTATCGCCGAATAGTCGAACGAATATCAAAGGATCTAATACTTCTAATAGCATCTAGAACGCTCGAGAAGTACAACGCCATCTATTGTCAGATAGCGGAAACACAATACTAGAGATGTGTAGAATATTCTCGAGAATTCTAGGGATGTGGTATCGACTGTAAAAGCGTTGCAGAGATGGCACGCAGTTAGTTTGTAATCGGAACTACTCGAAGCGAAACAGTGAACGGATTACCTGAAGCGAAGCGAAAGAAGCGAATTGAGAGTTTTAAAGTGTTTGTTGAGTGTTTTAAGTGTTCTAAGTGTTGAATACAGTTTTTGGTTGTACTTTGGTGGATTTTTTTATTTATCCCGAACCCCAGCGCGTAACAATATGAAACTGAGAAATCGAGTGCCAGCTAACCAATGCCGACGCACAGCATGTGGCCCCTGGGCTGCGATATGACCCGCACAATACGAACAATGTACTCGATCGCGTCCTTGAACAGAACCAAATCCATCTTCACGACGCCGGGACAGCTGTTATACTCCTCCATCTGATTGGCTATGTATCTGGGTCACAAGTCACAAGCTTTGGTTTAGGATCTTCAATAAAATTGGCTGAGGATCGGAAGATTTATTTGCGGCTATTTTTTATATTACTGTAGGCAATACGATGTATTTGGTGTTGAGTGGTTACCATCGATCATGGACATCAGCAATGTCAGGGGCACTACCAAGCTGCCTAACGAAAACCTCGTTTGAAGAATGACATGTTTTAGCGCTTAGGAAAGTTACTGTGGACGAACGTAGCGGTTTTTGGTAGTATGGACGAACACGGTAGAAATAATTGGATAATCTCAAACAATTTCCTCAGAGTACTATCCATGGGATATACGCTACTAAACACAGGGTATCAAAATTAGATTCCAAACGATCTCTGAGAATGAAAGAACCGACCATTGTGATGTCTTGCAAAAAAATTTTTTACTTATTTTTATTTATTTATTGGATACCAACATGTATACATCAGCACAGAACATTACAGGTATCATATACATCGATTTCACACTAAATGCTAACACAATTACAGGTACCGACTGCATGCATTGATAAAAAAAGCGGTTCGTTGTATAGAAAAAAAAACTATATAATATAACATTACATGAAGACCTTACAATATTACACATTTACTACCAAATACGCTATTGCTTAATTGAAAAAGCTCATTGAGCAAGGTTACTTAAAAAAATGAATAACAGCCCACCTCCTCAGAGCGGCAGGGTCGTTTAAATCATCGTAAACTTCGAAGGGGTTGAGGAAATGTCCGAACAACGGAGGACTCTTGCTCGGGCACAGAGCGTGGAACGTCAGCTCGAAGTGCTTACCCAACATGTCGCTCACTTGGTTCATGAACCAGTCGCGATCCCTGAAGTATTTAGTACCATTAACACGATAAATATAAAATAATAATAATTAAAAAAAAAATTTAATCTATGCGAATGAAATTGAATCTATGAGAATGCAGGGCCGCAACCTATCGCGAACAAATTTTGACGAGCCTTGAACCGTTTAGAGACTCTTTATCTAAACCGGCACAGTTATTACTAAGCAATGTTCAGAAACACTCCGCTACAGCTTAATTTATGATTAGTCGAGTCCGACTCGCTTTGCTGGCCGATCTCTGTTAGACTTTGATCCGATCGCTACCAAACAGAGTTTGCCCTTTGAAGCCTCAGTTTGAAGTCAAGAAGATCAGTTTGAAGATTTCCGGAATATTTTATCGAAATCGATCCAGTCGTTACGGAGTCCGTAGGAAACATACTGACACATGTCGTCTTTTAAATTTATATTTACAGAGATAACTAAGAGGAAGTCTAAAAGTGGCACCTGTAACAGAGAAGTTGAGAAGTGCGCGTTTGGGATGGTATGGACATGTGATGAGACGAAATGAAAATGAGGTTGGTAAGAGAGTTTTAACCATGAATGTGGAAGGCTTTAAAGGATGAGGTAGACGTAAGAAGAAATGGATGGACTGGGTGAAAGATGATATGTGTAAGAGGGGAGAGAGCGAAGAAATGGTATATGATAGAAGAGTATGGAAGGAGAAAACATGTTGCGCTGACCCTAGGTGACTGGGAGAAGAGCAGGAGAATGATGATGTACAGAGACAACTAACTTCTCTTCGGTAAGTCTATCACCGAACACTCTGAAACACTCGTGTATCCAAAGCCTCAGGAATCGCGGCTTCGTATTTGTATAGTCCTTGTTGCTGCGGAGGAGGCCCTACAACGAGTTCATAATCATAGGACAGGTTCAGAAAAATACATTTTCATCATCTAAAGCTGCCGGGTTTTGCAGTATTTATTACGCCCGAATCTCGCAAAGCACCATGGGAAAAGCACTTAGTGGGAGAGTTAATTATTAACAGATAAAGATATATTTCATCAAGTGTAATGAAAAACATATGCGCATCGGAAAATTATCTTTGATAGATAAAAAATATGAGTCGAAACGCCATAATGAAGTGTATACCATACACTATATTATTATGCAATAATGCATTTCTATTTGATGAATGAGCAGCCGTTGTACTGTAAAAACTGAGACTTACAACTCATGTCTCGACGTGGGTGGCGGTATTTACGTTGTAGATGTCCTTGGGCTCCGGTAACCATTTAAGACCAGGTTCGTCCACGCGTTTATAAAATAAATAAATAAATAAAAACATTGGTGACGTCATCAATAATTTACCTGAAATATCTTGGAGATGTCCCTCAGATTAAACAAATAATGCATCTTGCTCGGAGTCGGCAGGAGCTTGGCCACGATATTGTTGAACATGTCGATCGTGGCCGCGAGGACGATTTTACCTGATTTCAAATGAAAAATAAACTTAAAACTGTTCAATGTTACTACTAATTCTGTCTTTATTCCCATCAACTATGTTGTTTCCCTCAGTGCAGATAAGCCATACTACCTAGGACCTCTTAAAAAAGGTGCAGCTAACTCTCCTCCGTAGTGTTCCTTAGATAACACTTCCAATCAGGCTTCAGGAGAGTACTTTACGGAAGCCAGCGACCATGTTATGCCCCCGACATTACCAGTGCCAGTTATCAGTTGAGGGGCAATAATCACTTGTCATTGTTGGTAGGTAAGGCCGAAAGGTCAATGGCAACAGCTGTAATATAATGATGCTCACCGACACTTTTAGTCTCCTCGTCGAACTCCTGGAGATGTTGGGATAGCATCGTCCCGAAGATCTTGATGAGCTGGGACTGCGTGGGAGGCGGCAGGTAGAAGGCATGGAAGCAAGACAGCAGGCGGGGGGGCAGTGCGCTGCGGGCGCCCCCCGGCGGCCCGGCCGCGCCGCACAGCACCATGTCCTGCACCACACCCGACCTTACCACACCACGGAACGGGCTCCAGTTGGGTAGTTACCGAATGCCGAAAATACCGAAGCCCATGAATACCACAACATTTATTGACATGGGTGAGACGTCAGCTTAGTGCCCGATTTTTCCTGGGTGATGACGGAACAAAGGCTGCGGGACCAAATGCCGGTGATGTGCAGAATAACTGATTTTTATTAATTTGTGACATTTTTAAATAAATGTGTATTTAAATTAGTTTAGTGTATTCCTCCTTTGCTTATGCTGTTTCTTGCTTGCTGATTCTTTTTTAATTCTTTGTTTCTTTGTTTTTCATTCTCTAGTGTTTTAATTTGTTTATATTGGAGGACCTTTAATTGCCTTTTTTTGCCGTTATTATTATTATATTATGTTGAGTTGGCTGTTGGTTCTCTTTGTAATAAATAAATTTATCCCATTCCCGTCTATTCACCCACCATCACCAAATATGAGGTTGAAGTCTCAATTTTATTGCATATAGCATTAGCGTGCGCTTGAAAGAATGGTTGTCACATGGCCGCCTTAAATACGACACGTTTTGTTTTATACATATTTCTTTCGAAGGCACAAGGGATTGATACTGAATAATATGGTGACCATTTCTATATTCCCAGTTACCTTAATAATCTATTAAAAAAAACAACGACGCATGAGCACACGGTGTATGTATTACATCTTATAGTGTAAAAATTACAAACGACACTATCCACGAAAGAAACAAATCAATTTTTTTTATTGCCCTTGTAGGCAGACGAGCATACGGCCCACCTGATGGTGAGTAGTTACCGTCACCCATGGACTTCAGCAATGCCAGGGGCAGAGCCAAGCCGCTGCCTACCGCTAATACCGCTAATAACACCTTTTCCCTTAAGAAAAGTGATCCCCAAGAGTCCCGCACCTACCTTAACGTTCTTGCGCCATTGCTTCTGCCTGTCGAACCAGTAGCCGTAGTCGTTCCACAGGCGGACCAGCTCCAGCGGGGGCTGCGACCCGTACTCGTCGCGCACCGGCATGTTTATATCGTCCAGGAACGCTATCATCTTCTTGCCTGATAATTTCGATGGTGCTCCATTTAATGTTGTAGATGCCAAGAGCTAGTAGTTCACGTAACCCACTGGACATCACAAGCGTGAATGCTGCTTGAACATGAGGTCGAAGCCTCAATACCATTGTGTTTGGTATGACGAAAGCTTTCCCAGACAGAATGTTTTTTATAGAATGACAGCAATAAGAGACACTGACCTCCGGCTGGCACATAGTTCCCTTTGGTTCTCTTCTCGAGTCTTGCCTCAATAATATCCTGGACGTTCGCGGCCGTGGTCTGGGCAGACATGTTGATGACCTGCGTGCTGTACCTGTCACATGGGGACCAACTTGAGGCATTGCAGATATTCCAAAGAGAAAGAGCCTTAAAACAAAATTCCGGTTGCAGAGACTGCGATCACAACGCTTTGTATCAATACTTGACCGCCAGATCGTCTATTACTCTGGATCAATATTTATTAATTAATTGGTGTCTCATAAAGGACGTGGTTTTTGAATATCCATGGACGAGCAAATAAATAAATTAAACTACAATAAATAGCGAAAATTAATAAAAAAAAGTATGTGTGGTGTCGTGAGACACCGGATAGGAACGAAGTTCCTTATTATAAAAATATTAATTTTAAGTTCTATTCGAGGTATAAAGAAAATAATTATTCGGGTATACATTTTTTATTCTGATTTTCTAATTAATAAAAAAAAAACTACTTCAAAAAGTTATCAATTTTATTTTGTTCACAATGATTTATAAAAAATATATAATAATCATATACAAAGAAACAGCTATTTATATGAGCTAGCATTAGACACTGTATAGGCATCATACTAAGGTTATACATAAATAATAAAAGTCTTACGTTACGGACATTTTTTCCCGGTTAGGGTATCCCTCCGCATCGTCCCATAAGGAACCTCGTTCCAAAAATGCCTTGCACAATTCTATTTTAGGATTTTAATACAGGATAATGTCTTGTCTACGCAGCTCACCTGTCCGGGTCGAGACTGGCCAGCGTTCCCTGGACGAGGAACGTCTTCCCTGTCCCGGTGGCGCCGCCGACCAGCACGCCGCGACCGGCCCGCAGCATCTCCAAGGCCACTATCTGAACTCGGATGAACTCCACGGTCGGCACCAAGATCGTATGGAAACCCAGACTGAAACATATTGCTTATTAAACGACTTCAACTACTTTTTTTTCCTACCTAAGCTGGTAGCCTTGAGAGGCTATATCAGCGTCGCCTTAACTAGTAGGTGAGCTCACGGGGCTCAAACCTGATGGCGTTGCTAACATGAACCCTAGCAAGAGCCGTGCTTCGCAGAATCTACCACCGGATCGAAAATGCGACCCACTGAGAAGATCCGGCGAGAAACTCAGTGGGCTGTGTCTGAGGGTTAATTTACTCGTCGAGCCCTTCGTCGCAAGCGATGAGGTGCTTGAGGTACCTAGAAGCACCGTTAGTAGATCGGGAGGATCCGAAATGACGTGTTTGAGGCGACGTTGACTGCTTTCCATTCTGTCCGCAGGATCGGGAATGTAGTTACCGGCGGCCACGATGAGAGGGTTCTCGTGTCGTGCCGCTTTATCGAAGTGGTTCAACTACTTAGGTGAGGTTTTTAGTCGCTAATGTCGGAAGTCTGGTGTACTCGTATGTGCCTTGCACGAGCGACTCCACTGTTGGCGCTGGTCGCGGAGATGGCTGTGGGCAGCGGCTTGGCTCTGTCCCTGGCATTGCTGAAGTCTATGGGCGACAGTAACCACTCACCATCAGGTGGGCCGTGCGCTCTGTTATATATTCTGAATGTACCTAAAAATGCAATGTAAGGTGCACGACGTAATGCAACTTAGTTAGGTTGCCGATAGGTCACGCAGTTCAATTCTAACCGCGCTTCCGGTGGCACTTGCCCCAATTAATTTCAATTGTCAGTTTCAAATGTTTTAATTATCACTACATAGTATAAAACAAAGTCGCTTTCTGTCCCTATATCTGTCTGTCCCTATGTATGCTTCAATCTTTAACACTACGCAACGGATTTTGATGCGGTTGTTTTTAATAGATAGAGTGATTGAAAAGGGAGGTTTATAAGTATAAAAACATCCATTAAATAGTGGAGAAGTCAATAATAAATAACAGTTTCCGAAGCGAAGCGAGGGCGGGTCGCTAGTTACAATTAAATGAATTTCTTCTTTTAAAAAGCTTTTCTAATAAATCCTCGTAACAGCTCGTCTGCCTACAAGGGCAATAAAAAAAAACGCAACGGACCCGGCATTGAACCTCCAGTTGTCGGGCAGCTTGTCCTCCCAGGGCTTGAACTGCCGCAGCCTCTCGTCCACGTAGTAATCGTACACCGTGTCCTTCAGCGGGAAGATGCCTTCGTGCTCCCGGATCCAGTTGTCGATCTTGCGACGCGACTCTTCCTCGAGGGTCGCGCACACCGACCAGACCAAACTGGAAACGTTTTGAGAGAGTGTATTTCTAGAAATCTTCGTTAATGGCGTCGATAGGCAGACGAACTCTCGATCAATCTGTTGTTAAACGGATATTAGAATCTTTGCTAAAAAGATTCCTTTATGATAACATCAGATAGTACATCCTTGCGGGTTCTTAGCATTACCATTAAACCTTCAGCCATCACCGAAGCACATCTTTGGTCACCGTCCACGTCGAACCCGTCGCTTGCGACGAGCGAATTAACCCATAGACACAGCTCATTGAGTTTCTCGCCGGATCTTGGGTCGCGTTCCGATCCGGTGGTAGATTCTGCGAAGCACTGCTCTTACTAGGGCCAGTGTTAGCAACACTCCGGTTTGAGCCCCGTGAGCTCACCTACACGTTAGGGTGAAGCTGAAATAGCCTATCAAGGCTATCAGCATCGGTAGGAAAAAAACCCGAATACCAGCTCTTATTGTGTTCTGGAACTGTACGAACTCACGCAAACAAAAATCGCATCTTGGAAAAGTTTTCATTGTCCTCCTCGTCGGGCAACGGGGCGGCGGGCGGGGGGAGCAGGCCCAGCAGTCTGCACAGGGCGCGCACCCCGGTCAGCTCCTGGCCGCGCACCGACGGACCCTCGGTCAGCTGCAGCCGCTTCAGCTCCAGCACCGGGGTCAGAATATTTTGAAAGTGCCGCCGGAGCTGACCGAATATTATTGACATTATTAAATCCAAGTCCACTGGTGGTAGGACCTCTTGTGAGTCCGCACGGGTAGGTAGCGCCACCCCGCCTATTTCTGCCGTGAAGCAGTAATGCGTTTCGGTTTGAAGGGTGGGGCAGCCGTTGTAACTATACTGAGACCTTAGAACTTATATCTCAAGGTCGGTGGCGCTTTTACGTTGTAAATGTCTATGGGCTCCAGTAACCACTTAACACCAGGTGGACTGTAAACTCGTCCATCCATCTAAGCAAATATATATAAATGTCACAGTACAAGTATTACGATGTATTACCATTTCCCGATACTCCAAGTCACTGATAGTCTCCAACCAGGAGTTGACGTATGGCCACCAGCCCCAATCCTTGTAGTCGTTGTACACCATGCCGTTTCTGGAGACAGTAGCTGGAGAGGCCACAGCCAAGTCCAGAGTCTCTATTAATAGAGAAACCTAAAAAGTTAGACAGTGAAGGAGAAACACGAAAGCTGACCCAATTATGACTCAATTCTGGTGGTTTCATCATCTCCTGGTGTTAAGTGGTTACTGGAGTCCATAGACATCATAATGCCGCCTCCCTACCTTGAGATATGAGGCTTAAGTCTCAATTTAGTTTAGTATAAAGGCTGTCCCAGCTTACAAATCAGAATGTGTGATTAATTTGTAGTAGAAAGTTTCTGTGGGACGGTGACCTCCCACCATCAGATTGGTCATAACTTCACCTGCCTACATCGGCAATTTAATTATTACTTGCACATTACAACCGAAGACGTGGATGGAGTGTGTGAATGACGATATGAGAGAGAGAAGAGTGAGTGTTGAGATGACGGCTGATAGAAGAGAATGGAAGAGAAAAATTAGCTGTGCCGACCCCACCTAGTGGGATAAGGTGGATAAAAAGAAGAAGACATTACAACGTACTTGTCTGGGCATGGAGATCCTCTCGCTGTTGACCAACGTGAGGAGCTTGTTATCGTCCATCACCGAATTAAGGTTCTCAATCCAAATGGCATCAACGGGCCCGTCGAAGATAATCCACTTCTGATCCGGAGATTCGTCTGGAACAAGAACGTGCGAGGCGGATGTGAGGGACAATTTTATTGTGTCCTGGCCTTCTCTCCTTCACTCTACACAGGGTCACAAATATCTTTCGCGTCATATGAATAACGTCATCTAATTTTTTTTATTGATTAGATGGGTAGACGAGCTCACAGCCCACCTGGTGTTAAGTGGTTACTGGAGCCCATAGACATCTACAACGTAAATGCGCCACCCACCTTTAGATATAAGTTCTGAGGTTTCAGTATAGTTACAACGGCTGCCCCACCCTTCAAACCGAAACGCATTACTGCTTCACGACAGAAATAGGTGGGGCGGTGTCACCTACCCGTGCGGACTCACAAGAGGTCCTACCATCAGTAAGTCTCATTAATAAATCCCTCAACTTTTACCTCAGGTATTAGTGGAATAACGTTGCCTATTTTATGACTGTATTTTACTTCCATTAGACTTTAGGAAATTTCAACGATATTTAACGTTGTTTTATTTTTTTAAATAAAAGAACACTTATTGCGGCATAACTATAATAGTTAGACATATGTTGTCGCATCACTTTTTGTAAATAATAATGTGTTCTACATAGTCGTAGTACATTATTTTATTCTATTATCAATAGTTTTCGCACGGCACGCGATGTGAAGAATATATTAGGTATTTTTTTTACACCTTGAGTTACATTATTGAAGTTTTAGTAAGGATTCTTTATTTTTTTTCAAAAATGTTATAGCCTATGTCACTCGGGAATAGTGTAGCTTCCAAACAGTGAAAGAATTTTTCAAATCGGTTCAGTAGTTTCGGAGCCTATTCAATACAAACAAACAAATCTTTCCTCTTTATAATATTAAGTATAGATCAGAAATCAAGTACCTTGACAAATAGTTCTCATGATGGACGACAGAACCCCGTCCTTCCACTCGCCAGTGGCCAGGTTGTACTCCCCGTATAGTTCTCCCAGCGTCAGAGCCTTCGGGTTCATGGGGTGGACCTGGACGTTCTCGAAGCCCGGGACGTTCTCTCTGCACAGACGACTGATGGTAGCGGACAGCATGCGCCAGGAAACCGACTTGGCGGTGTTGGTGTCTCCCAGCAGGATGCTGGAATGGCGAGAGTTCTGAAACGATCGGAGGAAGATATATCATAATTCAATTTTAAGTAAAATCAGCCCTAGCCATGTTTAATTGATAGAGTTGGTTGGATTTTAAGATACAAAAAAATAATCAGCTTAATTCGTCTCTTGTTAGAATCAGTGGGCTGATAATACGCCCGATGTGAAGCATCAATTGTACTAAGTAGATAATCCGATAGGCAGCGGCTTGCCTATGTCCCTGGCATTGCTGAAGTATATGGGCGACAGTAACCACTAAACATCAGGTGGGCTGTATGCTCGTCTGCCTAAAAGGGCAATAAAAAAACTATTAAAACATTTATACAAAAGCGTTTTAAAATCAGGTAAGGTCTAGAATTAAATGTATGAATGAAACGTTTTAATGTTTTGCAGTAAATCGACCACACAGCTCTTCCATTCCGCCACGAGGCCAGCATAGCTGGCGCATGTGAGAGCACAGTGTCAACTGCACCGGGCTGGTTCCCTTTATTATGTTTAAAGGGAACCACTATTTAAGGCGGAAATAGAGTAGATCTAATTAGATACTAATTTGTATGGTGGAGTGATCGCTTGTTGTCCGGACACCTTTCCATCTTCACCAGAACGGGTAGACGAACACAAGGACAAAGCCGGGAAGGCTGCGACGTACCTTGGTCTCAAAAGTTTGTATCACTTTGTGCAGCGCAGCTCGCGTAGGCTGCAACCCGGCCTGTCTCATCTCCGCCGCGATAGCTGTCTCCAGCAGCTCGTAGTCCAAGGTCGGAATCTCCACATCAGGGAAGATGTCTTGCATGATGCCGTCGAAGAGCGGCACGTCTTTGGCTGTCAAACGAGCCACATTCATGTCGCGCATCGCCAAGATTACCATCTGAAATGTTATTATTTATTTGCCAAGAATTTTTAAGGGTTTTTTTAAGAATTTTTAGGGTACACTTTTGCAATTTTGCAATCACAGTAGATTGGGCGAAATCGGGACGTTTTCCAATTCCAACGATTTCATATTCGATGCGTTATTAGACATAGTTCATTGAAAAATATAGCCACAATTTAAAAAACTAGCTTGATCTGATTCACCTTGGCTTTTGGGGTAAATCGGGTCACGTATGGCGGCAATACAGTTTTTCGATAGGACTGGCACTATTTAGTTATTAGGTAGGTACCTAACTTTAGGTAATTAGCTTTTCAATATCTTAAATCAGTTACAAAGCTCTGATGAGTAAATTAATATTCTTTAGTATTCTTAAATCCGAAATAAAAGTTATTTTCAATTCAACAAATTTAAATCTCACAAAAGCGTTATGACAACCAAGATTTGTTCCTATTCTACCCTTAGTCCCTATTCCCCCAATATACGGTAGGTACAGTTACAATTGACGAACAGAACTCTCTATAATAATATCCGTTTCCTCTATAATAATAGACGTTTTCCGATTAAATTAAGCATCTCAAAACAAAAACTACTTAAACAATGAACCTCTTGTTCCGGCAGATGAGGGTAGGCGCGTCTCTTCACTCCGGCGTACCGGAGTAAGGCGACCATCGACCTAAGTCCAAAGTCGTAGTGATCCTGTTTGGACAGCTGTTGCGTTGCGAGTTGGTACAACGTGAACACCTGAGGTGGTAAAAAATGTTTCAACTATCTCTATCAACTCCTAGCTGTAGTCCGCTTCGCTGGGCATTTAAAATTAACATTATTATTTCTCACCCGCACAAAGATTCTCATCATTAACGCCCCCGCAACTGGTGTAGGGAGTCCAACACTCATATAAATATTAGCCTATCCATTAACTACACGTATTTTCTACATGGATACAAAGTTTCAAGTCAATCGGATACGTGGTTCAGTAGTTATAACGGAACATCCGTAAAAATCACTGTAGATTTATATATTAGTATAGACGTATAGATTAAGACCTTAATTAAAAAAAGCGATCATAAAGACTATAAATATATTTTAAGCGTCATTTTTCAACATTGCAGAAGAGTCAGTTAAAATTCAAAAAGTAAAGTTTAAAATTTGTAAAAAATATTAAAACAAAAAGACTTCTTCAGCTATTTGAATGAACTTAATTAAAGTTCAATTAAAAACATCGAATTGTTGATGCTGATACCAAATTTAATTACAAAGATAAATGTCGCGTATTAAACGCAATTTCGCTTTGACCAAATCACCCCTCAATATTAGCTACCAAAATAATAAGTTTTTTAATGAAATTGGCAAATTGATTTAGTGTTTTGTTAGTTACGCAAAATCAATGACCCGCGAAACAATTAATACCTTTCGCGTTTAAATTACATTCTGCATAGTGAAGGAAGCTAACCTTCTTAGCGTTAATTTTGTACGCGGTGAATCCATCAGAGAACAAAGTGTTCTCGGCTATGATGAGCGAGTCCGGCACGCACATAGCGATGGGACGGAACATTGACTTGAGATTATCGGGTAGTTCGGTTCGTCCCGCGTACCTATCACGTAATATAAAATTAACAAATAAATTGACTTTACTTATATAAACAAACAGTACCACTCTTCTAATGGCTTAATTACCTGTAGACGACCGATTCATACATCATGGACGCCTGGTACTTTTCTATTATGACTGTGATTGTTCAACTATTTATATATATTATATAATTTATATATATAGAAATATTTTTACTGGTGGTAGGACCTCTTGTGAGTCCGCGCGGGTAGGTACCACCCCCCTGCCTATTTCTGCCGTTAAGCAGTAGTGCGTTTCTGTTTGAAGGGTGGGGCAGCCGTTGTAACTATACTGAGACCTTAGAACTTATATCTGAAGGTGGGTGGCGGCATTTACGTTGTAGATGTCTATGGGCTCCAGTAACCACTTAACACCAGGTGGGCTGTGAGCTCGTCCACCCATCTAAGCAATAATTAAAAAAAACTTAAAAAGTCGCTAAAAAGTCATCACCCAGGGTTCATCGTTATGAATATTCCGCAGTTGCCGTCCAGTTTGATCTCGGAACCTTCGAAGACGAACTTCTTCTGGTACAGAGACAGTGCCAACAGTACGGCCAGGATTTGCTGAGCGACCACCGAGAGCACCTCAATGTTGATGCGATTGAACTCGTCAAAGCATCCCCAGCATCCACTTTGGGCTATACCTTTGTTGTGGACAAACAAATTCTTATTTGCAACAACCTCACTCAGTGTTTATGGCAATTCTAAACATGAAATTTTCTAAACATGAGTTTTTAAGTGTGGGAACACACTAATAGCCAAGTATGGCAACACAATCAACAATAGTTGTTGATCGAAGTCGTAAACCATTACCTACAATATATTTGGGTTTCATAGAACTCTAAATATCTTTTATAATTTGGAGAATTACCTAGAGCCACCTGTGCGATGACGCAACATAATAATATTTACTCTTATTGTATATTATTTCATCGAAATTCCAATTTTGCTCTATCTAGAAAACTCATTTGATACAACAAAAATAACGACATTTACCTGCAAAGCATTTCGCCATCGACTTATAGTCCAACCCATCAGAGCAATTGGTCACAACCACCCATCGAGCCAGAGCTCTGCCAAGATCCTTAGTGGTCTCAGTCTTTCCTGTACCAGCTGGACCCTGAGGACTTCCTCCTCGGAACAGATGGAGGGCTGTTGTTAACGTTATATAGCATCTGTGGGAAATCATTCGTGCCATGAGATGACAGAAATAACTTTGAAAATACGTTTTTGGTACCTGACATTGCGCCTAGCCTAACCGAGTATATTTGAAATGCTTCAAATGTTTAATTTTCAGTAAGACTCCATTATACAGAATAACTACGAGTATACAGTAACAACTCGGCGATGTCTGGCAACCGCCTGCGTTCGAGGTCACTGACCTAGCACGTCACGTGATTCTCAATTACATTACATTGCGCGCAATGCCGAAAACGTTAGAAAAGTTAAATTTTAAACTTTTTTTTCTTTTTTTCTTTTTCTATAATTCTTTCCCGTCATTTGACAGTTGGTTTTTCAAGTTTAAAACGTAAATTGGCGTATTTGAATGAATTAGAAAACAAAAACTATTTATTTTAAAACTAATGATAACGAATCCAGTAATAGATCGTTACCCCCATTGCTAACGGGTACCGACCAATCTAGAGATAAAGGCCAAAGCCACTTAGATATTTTTTAGCCTTATCTATATCTATTAAAACATCAGGGAAAACTGGTATACATCTAGGTGCCATAGCATTTTATAATGATTTATGGGATCGAACAAGGAAACTTCTAGAGAGTAAGATGCGTGAGATAAAGGAAAAATCTCATACAATTGCATTGCCCTGTATACACTTCTGGAATATTCGTTAAGTACAATAACCTGTCAGTGAGCGGTGTAATGACCAAACGTCCAGAATTCCCGATATATTCGTATGTGTAAATAGAGTTCGTATTTGTCTGCCGAATGTAGCAGTCTTCTCGTTCTCTATCCCAGTAGAACTTCAGCTGAGAAAACCATTCGAACGCAGAAACCGTCATACAACCTATGAATTAAAATCCAACAATTAACTCCTACTTAAAGCCACAGCGTACTATCAACTTCATGTTTTTAATCAAGAACAAATCCGACAATTTTATCTTATATTAATTTACTGGTAGTAGGATTTCTTGTGAGTCCGCACGGGTAGGTACCACCACCCAGCCTATTTCTACCGTGAAGCAGTAATGCGTTTCCGTTTGAAGGGTGGGGCAGCCGTTGTAACTAAACTTGAGACCTTAGAGCTTATATCTCAAGGTGGGTGGCGCATTTAGGTTGTAGATGTCTATGGGCTCTAGTAAGCTCGTCCACCCATTTAAGCAATAAAAAAATCTTAGGATGTAAGTAAATATTAGGCAGTCTTTTTAACTCAAATTTTCAAAAGATATTAATTCTCATAATATTTCAAGCTATTCTCCAAAATTCAAAAGTTGCACTGCTGATCTCAAAGACAATAGAATAACTTAACACCTTAAGAACTCACGACCTAACTTCACTAGAGTCAAAGTCTAACCTAATTTATACATCTTATCGACCATATCCCGGGAGTGTATCTCTATGACGCACAAAGCGTTAACTTTACACCTCAATATCTTCGAGATCTCCTTCCTGGACATCATTTGTAAGGTGCTCAATATTTGGTTTTGTTTCTTGCGCAATTTCTTCATCGGTTTTTTTTCGTTCATGATTTCGCATCGGCACAAAGTTCTTGTGCAATCTGACGTCCATTGGATCTGTGTATTTTTTTATAAGCGTTTTTTTGGCTGGTAGACTTGACTAAGTGTTTTTTTTCTCCTAGCTATTCGTTGGTAGCCTAAGGGCCTATTTCAGCTATTCCTGGACGGGTAGGTGAGCTCACGGGCTCAACCTGAATTTGCTAACACTAGCCCTAACTAGGCGGGTTGTATCTATGGGAGACCAAGCATTTTATTGCCTCTTTGACCACCAGTATACATATTACACGCTAATACATCATAGTTACATGATAACATATCCTTAGAAAATTTGAATCAGTGGCACATTCTGTCTCCAATTTTGTAATAGGTCGCATGTAGGTATAACAATGGCTATCTCAAAAACTGACTAGATCATAAAGGCGAGTGGGTATTGAAAACAATGATATGATTAGGAAACTTATTACATGTTTAAGTCCATCTTCGGACCTCCCCTATTCAAAAAACAAGCGAGAACCTTTAGTAGTTGCACATGTAGGTCCCATCAAAAGTATGGATGAGACCACGGTTATACTTGTTTTCAGCAAAACCAGGGCACATGCAAGCCCTATCCCTACAAAACTTTATTTCTCATTTTATGTCTCATAGTTGGTGGTGGCATTCATTTTAAGATATCTGTGGGTTGAAGGCTCCTTGACTGATGACTGACTGGCTGACGTGATTTCGATCATCACTTGAAACGTTAAATGAAAACTAAAGGAAATACTGCATGTCGCATGGTTCTAGGATTGGCAGTTTTATCCACCAAAATCTACCCAATTTACAAGCCTCAATATAAACGTAATAGACCTTGCTAGCCGTAATCCCAAGCTGTCCGGGCCAATCATTGATCCATTGTTCGCGTTGATAACGACATTTCCTCAACGCTGCTCGAGTCAGTATCAATTGCTACAATATCGAAGACTGTATTAGTCATCCTAGTGCATGCCTTACGAGCATATGAACCCGCACGATTAGATGAAGCCGGTAGATAGTAGGTAGGTATTGTTATCCTGACCACTTGAACTTTTCACTAGTGGTAGGTCCTCTTGTGAGTCCGCGCGGGTAGGTAGCACCACCCCTGCCTATTTCTGCCGTGAAGCAGTAATGCGTTTCGGTTCGAAGGGTGGGGCAGCCGTTGAACTATACTTGAGAGACCTTAGAACTTATATCTCAAGGTGGGCGGCGCATTTACGTTGTAGATGTCTATGGGCTCCAATAACCACTTAACACCAGGTGGGCTGTGAGCTCGTCCACCCAACTAAGCAAAAAAAAAACACCAGGTTCTGTAGCAATAGATAAGAACGTGATAACTACCCATGCAGGCTAACAATACGTCCTACAATATGGCTCTTAATACATACGGTTTCATACAAAATGGACTCTCATCGTTTACTGCAAATTCAAAATGAAACCTTCAAATTGTAATTTTTAGTCGCATTTTATTGACAGTCAAGAGATAATGTTCGAATCATCAGTGTGGTAGGCGTTGCAAGAGCTGCCCGCTATATCAAAACAATGGCAATTAATTACTGAATGAAACTGTTGCTCATTCATTGGAAATTGGTTACGATAAATTAACTGACTCTTAGATTAAGGATCTATGAGTATACCCCAAATAAATCACAATACCTCTCTCAGAACTACTCTCATGGTATGCTCCAAGCCAAGTAACCACACTTCAGCAGGACCATCCAATACCAAATTATATTTCCATTCAATACATTCTCCGTCTTCAGACATCATGGCTTTAGCGACTGGAAGGCCTAGGGCATTCTGTGGACATAATTATCTGTAAGTTTTAGCAGCCATCAAAAGAAGGTAGCTTTTCATTCAGACCTCTTCATTAAGTTTATCGTTACGGAAGAAAAAAGAGAACACACATTACATATTTTTTATTGATTACATTTAGCACTTCTTACCACATATGCACTAAACATTTGTTTGAAATACTTATTCAATAACAAAGTATTATGAAACACAGACACATATGGTGTTTTCCGAGCCCTATGGCATGCCCGTCTTCAAACGAAGCTTGTGGAGAGTACTTAACGGTAGGCAGTGGCTTGGATCTGTCTCTGGTACTGCTGAAGTCCATGGGCGACGGTAACCGCTCACCATCAGGTGGGCCATATGCTCATCTGCCTACAAGGGCAATAAAAAAATAAATAGAATAAATAGATTATATTATGACAAGTTTTTACAAAATAATTTATCTTAAAACATTAATTAGTGATTCATCACAGCTTTGGAAGATTTTGTAATATTAAAATTACACTTAGCAATATTAAATAAATATAACAATAATTATTAAATTAACTATGTAAATTAAGTTTTGTCTTCACTATTATGTCTATTGTAACTGTAATAATTACATTAAAATTGAGAATGTGATCTAAAATAGGTACCGACCATGTTGACAAAGACTTAGATAAGTGTAAGCAAGCTCTTGAATTATAAACTCATAGCTTGGAACAAAATTTCCAGCTCCTTCAAAATCATTAACAAACGCACAATTTCAAATACAAGGATTTCTATTGTGTATGTCGCTTACTAGGTAAACTTAAAAGTATTTTGAGAATAGCCTTCTTGTCAGCATCAGACCTACAGGAAAGGACCATATGTAGGAATTCATTCATGAGACTGTTGGCTTGAGCTGTTGGATGGTTTAGCAGTAATATTGTCATTGCCTGAAAGAGTAATCAGATTTTAGTTTCACATATTTGCACAGATGTTCAAAGGAGTACAACAAGCAACTAAAACACAAAAATTAATGAGAACAATGAGATGTCATCTGGGGATGTAATATGGTAACTAAAAACTAATCTATAATTACTCACAACTGGTCATTTTCCTTTCCATGGCAATAAACATATACAAGCTTACTGATCAAGTTGCATGAAGTGTACTACTGATAGTCCAGAAGGAAAAGAAAAATATCTTGACTTACCCGATAATACACAGCAGCATGACTGGGGCGAGAGAATTTAAACTTCCAAGGAGGTATTTTCTTCAAAACATACAAAAGCTTATCCCAGTCTTGAGCATATATAGCCTTGTTGAGAGCCAAGTGATGTAAGCTTTTTAGGCCGTGAGGAGCCAGGCTGTCATCTCTGAATTTGGGAGAACTCCGAAAACCTTGGATTGATGCCAAGTTCCTTCTGCATATGTCACTTGTCGATTTCCATGGAGTCGAAGATTCGAGCATTGCAAGGACTTTCAGCTAAAAATATAATTATTTTTTATAGTTGTCATTTGTCAATCTAAAATAAGATTGTTTATATTTTAATCGCTTGGCGAAACTTATATTTTAATCGCTTGGCGAAACTAAGTTGTTGAAATTTAATAGATATGATAAAAATAAAATAAATACTAAAATTAAGTTGCAATTCGCCTTAGAAAAATGTGGGATAAAAGAGCATGATGTTTTTAAAGGTTATAATTTAAATGCCATGCATGTTATTGCTTGAATCGGATGCGTTGTATACAAATTACATTTTTAGTATTGCAGCACTTTGTTTACTTACCATTACATCTTTTGGTATGAAATAACATTTATCTAGAAATTCTTTCTCCAGCATGGTTCTTTCACTAGGTGTGTTTCCGTCTTAAATACTAGCTTAAAATTGTGCGGTTTTCAATAATTCACTACGATAATTCATTGAAATTGTGTATTAGCTATATTGTATAGGTATGGTTGTGGCTGTTTATACATTTATTTTGTTTACATTTATTTTGTGTAAAGACAAGACAGTAGGTAGACAGTAAAGAGATTCTCTTTCCCGCCAATGAACGTGTTTTTTTAAAGGGTTTTTATGACCTGGTAACTAAGACTTTTAGGTCAAGTCTTATTTTAATTTATATTCTTATTTTTATGAAAAATNTTAGCTATACTGTATAGGTATGGTTGTGGCTGTTTATACATTTATTTTGTTTACATTTATTTTGTGTAAAGACAAGACAGTAGGTAGACAGTAAAGAGATTCTCTTTCCCGCCAATGAACGTGTTTTTTTAAAGGGTTTTTATGACCTGGTAACTAAGACTTTTAGGTCAAGTCTTATTTTAATTTATATTCTTATTTTTATGAAAAATGATACATAGAGTGGAATGAAATGAAGACGATTAATTTGAAACATTAATCAAATGCCTACAAAGGCAAAAAAATCTCAGTGGTGGTTATTTACTACTGAGCCTTTTTCAATGGGCTTTTTGGAGCTTTATGCTGTTTTTTACAAACTAGCTAAGTTCTTTTTTGATTAGTTCTGTTCTTTACCTCATGTAAGTAGGCAAGGAGAACATCAAAGCCACCTTCAAGATTTGAAATTTATTATTGTTCACTTTGGTTTAAAAGCGTAAATCACAGTGAGTAATGATTGAGTAACTTAAATAATATTTATAACTTTGTATATATAACTAAATAAACTATAAATACTATTTATAATTTTATTTTACTGTAGCAATATCGTAACATTATACTATAACAGTATACTGAGACCTTAGAACTTATATCTCGAGGTGGGTGGCGCATTTACGTTGTAGATGTCTATGGGCTTCAGTAACCACTTAACACCAGGTGAGCTGTGAGCTCGTCCACCCATCTAAGCAATAAAAAAATAAATAAATAAAACATTATTGTCTTGGAATTGGATCAGATGTTAGAATGGAATGCTTTGTGTTTGTTTGTAGACTGATGGAGATTAAGAATAATAAACGTTTTTTTCGCCTATCTACCAGTATCTATCACTGGTAGCATAAGGAGCTATTCCAGCTACGCTGTGACTGATAGGAGACCTCACGTAGTTCAACCCGAAAGAATATGTCAACACTGGCCCTAGCTAGAGCAGTGCTTCGCAGAATCTACCACTGAATCGAAATCGCTACCCACTGCTACCCGCTACACACGAGAATCTCAGTGGGTTGTTAAACGAGTAAGAAAAAATCAAAAATTGCTGAATTATGTCGGAAATACATTTACACGGACAGAATACATTTCTTTGCAGGCTTACAGACTGAACTACTGGGCCTATGACACTGGAACGACCAACTCACTGCGTACCTACTTTAATCAGAATAATCAGTATTATCCAGCTAATGTTTTCTCACATGTCTTTGAAAGAGTTTAGTACCTAACAAGAAAAATATATTATCAATGTTACTGTAACACAAACAAGTGAATATATGTATCACTTTTAGTTATATGCAATTTAATCTTACCTTGTCGATTCGAATCTTGTTAACGTTATCAAACAGCTTTTTCAAGTGTGTTTGAATAAGCTGTGGCTTTTTCGAATTTCCCAAAATCTCAAGCATATCATCATTAGACACGAAATAAAATCTCGGGAATAATTGGCGTTTTGTTTCCAAATACTTTTCCAGTGCTCTTAATATTCCATCCAAATTGTCAACCATCGAGTTTAATTTATTATACACGTACGGAGCAGGGTTATACAGACAAGCCTCCACAGCATTTGTTCCCGCGTACATGCTGGATTGAAGAAACTTAAATGATTCCTACAACTTTTCAAAGCAATATCGATGGCAATATGTATCAATTTAATTACCAAATAACTTTTACACTACCTAGACGATTAATATGTCGCCAATTAAAATGCCAGCTTTAATGCAAAAATATACACGTGAGAAAGAAATTGGCCAAGAATTCCTCAATACCATTTTTTATCGGATAATGTTTTAAAAAGCCCAAATCTGCCTTACCTATATTTTTCATTACAATGCAAACTTTATGATCACAACACAAGCTGTTGTATCAGTAGGTATGCCTAGCAAATTCTGACACTAATTTATCGGACATCAAGCTCAATTCGATTTCCTACTTGACAGATTAACTCTACCAATTGACGCCTTATCAACCGCAAATACCATTTAAAGTTTTATGTAATATTTAATTGGAAAAAAGGGTAGCTATCATAGCTCTGTATACCTTAGCCTTGTCCCAATGGCGCGTTTCGAACTAGACTAAAGGGAGGTTAGGAAGAAACCAATGCTAATGAAAGTTGTAATTTTATTTTCTAGTTTCATACTTGCTCGTTATTTCAGTCCAGTCATCCGTCAGCGCATCGAATATTTGCACTTCGCTTGGTAATTGTTTTCTTATGTCTTCACCGCAAAAAATACTTTCGAGATACAAATAACGTCGTTGCACTTGCAATGCAATCTGGTGTCAAAATCGAATATCAATTTATTAAAAAAATGCTCATAATTTAATATTCAAATTTGTATTTTCTAATAAACAAACTTATAGAACCAATGGCGAATTTACTGCGCTTTATAAGTAATTACCTACGTACGGTTTAAATTCGTCGATAAAGCAAACCTTATCGATAAGGATATAGTCACATCCTGACAGATATAAGAAAAAACGTCTCTAAGTCAACAGACACTGTCACTCTCACATGTTCCAGCTTTTGGTACGTAACAGATAAGACGGAAAGTACAAAATGTAGGGCGTAGGGGTAAAACAACATTTTGAGTTAGCAAAAAATTTGCGTAACGCTTTCTTGGGAAGGTTAAGGACCTTTGGTGGGCGGTCGCTATCATATTATGGTACTAACGGACTCCGGTGGCTGCTTAGACAGGTGGATCAACTCGTTTACCCAAGACCAAAAAAGAGTGGGTTCTTGGGTCAACCACTCCCCTAACTATGACCAACCTCTTCCTAGTTTTACCTCGTTCTGACCCCGGGTGGAGATCAGACGTCGGGCGTAAAAGTGCAGGGGAGTCGCTTAGTACGGTAGGGCCCTAAAATTCCTTGGGCCCGCGGTCTGCTACCAACATCTGAAGATCGTCAAGTCCCACATACCCCATGCACCTGTTAAGCGCGTGGTACTCGTAGGAGGTTCGGCCCCCAAGTTGCCACTCCTACCTGATCAAAATTATACTATGCGTGCCTGGTTGATTTAGTTTCATGTACTTGTTTATTTGATTAATTCCTATCTAGTAAATGAATACCTCAATACATTCGGCAACATAGCCCAAAGACTTTTCCCAGTAATCGACTTCCTTTATGAACGGCTCAACGTATTTGGTTGATTTCATCGACGACAGTTGCACTTGATGATCTTCCAAGAACTGAACAAAGAATAATCATGTGTTTTTAAATGTGCTTATTGTAGTTTTGTCTTCTTCTTCTTCTTTGTCTCCACCTTATACCTCTAGGTCGGCACAGCGATTTTTTCTGTTCCATTCTCTTCTGTCAGCTTCATCTTAACACTCACTCCTCTTTCTCTCATATCATCATTCGTACACTCCATCTCTGTCTTCTTCGGTCGACGTCTTCCCCCTCTACCTTGCACTACCATTTCCATACATCACTTAGTCACATGCATCTCTTCTGTACGCATTACATGTCCATATCACGCTAACCGTCCGCTCGTTAATTCATCAATCACTAGGGCTACTTTTACACTTTCTCTAATCCTTATCTTGTCCATTCTTGTCACTCCACACATCCATCTCAACATACGCATCTCTGCCGCATCCACTCCTCTTTCAAGCTCCATACAGCACGACAGGTCTAATGTTATTTTACAATTCCTTCTTTTTTATTATGACGCATCTAATATTTTATTTAGAAGGAACAGTCTTATAAGTAGTTAAAGTGAATTTAATTCCTACAAGCTCATTGGATTATTGAGTTTTTTATTCTACCTGCATGACGTCTTCGACATTTTTAATTCTATACATTTCTCCCTTATGCTGTTGCATCTCGTAAGTCGTGTTCTTCCACACTTCTCTAATGGCCTTCAATCCGTTTTCTATATTCAATTCCATTGTGGCAGCATTCGATATTTCTGCTATTTCATCTGAGTATGCTTGGAAGTTGAGACGCATTATGACCTCTAGTTTGAAATCTTCCGAATTCTCATCAAACTCTCTGTTAGAGCATAACGAAAATCAGTCACCAGTTATACTGAGGTTTAGATGCGATATAAATGTATTTAAACGAATGAAATCAAACGACAAATTCAGAATCAGGTACTGGCAGGTAGTACCTACCGAATGATTATCATATACGCCCAAGCATAAAACCTAATCGACGGTTTAATGGCAATTTGGTTAAAGCGACATTTCGCTTAATAACCGACATCTTTATAATTTATAATTTAAGGCGCATTTTTATAATTTAAGGCGCTTATAATATGCGCTAATAAGATGTTTTTGATTGAATTTCAATTAAGTTTACACCATTAAATCAACTGAATAACTTTTTTTAGGATATTTTTTCTAAATGGCTCTCCTGTAAAATTGCAAAAATGTCGCTTAAACCAAATAGCCTTTCACCCTTTGATATGAAACAAGAAAAGTAAATAACAATGTAAAAATATTTCTAACCAACCCACCCACCTATGTACAAAATATATTTACAGTGTTTTTCTAAAGTGACCTCAAGCACTGCGGGATTTAAATGGCGATAGCTTCTAACATTTAAATACATAATCTAAGTGCTTAAAGTAAAATGTCAAATAATGACAATTGACGCGTCGCCGTCGGAGACGCGCAATTCCCGCCGGAATTATAAATTGTATGCACGACATTTGGTGCATCACTTCTCGGGTCGCAGAGAAAATAAAATTAAAATCACCTACATTTTTTTTAAAATATATTTTAGAAAGACATACAAGAGTAATCAGGGTATTTCCCGCCGTAGATATGTGAGACTACAATCTTAAAATCATGAAGGATAGAAGTAAGGAGTACCATCTCAGTGTAACAAGTGTCCGCTAATGGGAGCCAATTAAAGTGGCGCCATAGTAGCAAGTGGAAGGATTTAAAAAACGCAGCCATATACTACGACACTTCACTTCAATCCAACATACTTCACCCAGTTACTTACTGGTGGTAGGACCTCTTGTGAGTCCGCGCGGGTAGGTACCACCACCCCGCCTAATTCTGCCGTGAAGCAGTAATGCGTTTAGGTTTGAAGGGTAGGGCAGCCGTTGTAACTATGCTTTTTTTTATTGCTTAGTTGGGTGGACGAGTTTACAGCCCACCTGGTGTTAAGTGGTTACTGGAGCCCATAGACATCTACAACGTAGACGTGCCACCCACCTTGAGATACAAATCCTAAAGTCTCAGTATAGTTACATATAGTAGTATAGTTAGTTACATGTAACTATGCTTGAGACCTTAGAACTGATATCCCAAGGTGGGTGGCGCATTTACGTCGTAGATGTCTATAGGCTCCAGTAAACACTTAACACCAGGTGGGCTTTGAGCTCGTCCACCCATCTAAGCAATAAAAAAAAAAAGTTAATAATAAAACTGCTATATTCTATTTCCACTTCCTCCACTAGTGCTATTTCGGTGAGTCTTCAACCAATAACTTGCTGTTTACAGGTAGACACTTTTTCAAATTGTCCTCTATACAAGATGGTGCTCCTTAAATTCTCAAGTAAGTCTGCTTAAGTCTACCCTCCATAATTGAAATACATAAAATGTCATTAAACGCAGTCACGTTTGAGATAGAACATTAACTAACACCGCCATCAAAGTTTTGATTCGTTCCCAATGCCTCTCTCTCATGCACGGGTTCTTCAAGTCACCAATTAGAGGCAGAGTGCGCCTAAATGCATCCACTTTCACCCGCGTCGTCTCAATGACGTCCCATCCTTTATCTTTCAGCTGCCTCGATAGCCTATTGAAGTTACTGTACGGAAAAAAGAATTGTCTAAGAATAAATTTTAAAATAAAACTATTTATGTAAAAGTTTCGGTTTGTACCAGTTTGTTAATGTTAATGTCAACGTGCGAATGATTTGGGATTCTTTTTTCAATGTAGGTAATATTTTCTTGAAATAAAAATGCCCGCTATATATGTTTAAATGTTCGATAAGAATGTTTAAGAAGACTAATAAGTCTTTCTCATAAGTCACTCTCAATCCTCATGGAAAATGCTCTGGTTTTTCCACCCGTTTTTCTTCTTACTGATTGATATCAACTAAATCGTATTCTTAGTTTTTGGAAATACAACTTGGTTTGGTAGTGTATCAATCAATTTATCGTATTTATCATATTTAAGAATGTTTTTCAATTGTATAAATAAGTCGTACATTTCCTGTTTTAACTAATAAAAAAGGAAATTACCGAAACAAAAACATAACGTTCTCTTCCATTTCATCTGTTTCCATCTCCCAGAACGTTTGAGTTTTGTATTTTTCCCACGACTCCTCCCATTGAAAAACTAATCCCCAAACCTCTTCCAGCTTTTCCAGTTCCTTTTCCATCTTTTGCAGGTCCAAATTTACTGGTGTCCTAGATGTAAATGATCTTCAATTATTATTAATACATGCAAGTCTCGTAAGATCAAAATCCAGTTCGACTCCATCTTTTTTATAAAGAGGTGTGTGGCCCACAGCGTTACTATTATTGTGATGTCGAACTTAACCCATAGACATAGCACACTGGGTTTCTAGCCGGATCTGCTCAGTGGCTCGCTATTCCGACCCGGCGACGGATTCAGCGAAGCATTGCTCTTGTTAGGACAGATCTTATCAACGTCTCTCAGGCTGAACCCCGTGAGCTCGCCCACAAACCATGGCGAAGCTGACTGACTGACTGACTGACTGAGACTAAAGACAGTTAGTTGGGTACAAAAAAACTACTGTAAGATTCAACAATTGCACTGCAGAATTAAATCCCCTACCGTCCGAATTAGTCATTAGTTATAGTAACCGGCAAACATCGTGAGCAAATGACCTTGACTGCGCAGAACCGAATTTTAGATCACTTTGGTGGTGAGGGTGAGGCGCGACGGCAGGGGAAATCGTATCGAGCGCGTTATTGGTAGATCAGTCGAACCTTGCGTCCCGCACCGCGCCTTCGTTCCGCTTGCTCCCAAAAGTACGCTTGCGTACAGTGANCCTCCTAGGCGCGTGGACCTCGTAGCAGGCTCGGCCCCCATGTTGCCACTCCTACCTTATCAAAATTATACTATGCGTGCCTGGATGATTTAGTTTCATGTACTTCTTTATTTGGTTAATTCCTATCTAGTAAATGAATACCTCAATACACTCGGCAACATAGCCCAAAGACTTTTCCCAGTAATCGACTTCCTTTATGAACGGCTCAACGTATTTGGTTGATTTCATCGACGACAGTTGCACTTGATGATCCTCCAAGAACTGAACATAAAAATAATGACGATTTTTTTTACTGCCCTTGTATGCAGACGAGCATATAGCCCACCTGATGGTGAGCGGTTACCGTCGCCCATGGACTTCAACAATACCAGGAGCAGAGTGAAGCCGCTGCCTGCTGTTAAGTAATCGCCACATGCCTCGTTTTAAGAAGGACGTGGTGCGTGGTACGTGAAAAAAAACATCTCTCGAAACGCACTGTGGATGAACGCAGTGGCTCCAGGTAGCATGGATGCACTCTACTCCGGTGGCAGGTGGTGCGATGGTAATGGATGGATGGATGGAAACGAGATAATAGTATCATCGCAAACAATTCCTCGTGTACTTCTACTTCTCATGGAATATACGGTACAAAATATAGAGAGAAGCGCAGACCTAGAAGTTTCAAACGATCCGTGAGACGTGTTTTTAAACGTTGTCATGTCTTTTTTTGGTTTTTATTATGACGAATCTAATATTTTATTTAGAAGGTACAGTCTTCCAAGTAATTAGAGTGAATTTGATTCCTATGAGTTTTAAAAGCCTTTTAGATTAATGAGTTTTTCATTCTACCTGCATAACATCTTCGACATTCTTAATTCTATACATTTCTCCCTTATGCTGTTGCATCTCGTAAGTCGTGTTCTTCCACACTTCCCTGATGGCCTTCAAACCGTTTTCTATATTCAATTCCATTGTAGCAGCATTCGATATTTCTGCTATTTCATCTGAGTATGCTTGGAAGTTGAGACGCATTATGACCTCTAGTTTGAAATCTTCCGAATTCTCATCAAACTCTCTGTTAGAGCATAACGAAAGTCAGTCACCAGTTATACTGAGGTTCAGATGCGATATAAATGTATTTAAACGAATGAAATCAAACGACAAATTTAGAATCAGGTACTGGCAGGTAGTACCGAATGATAATCATATACGCCCAAGCATAAAACCTTATCGACGGTTTAATGGCAATTTGGTTAAAGCGACATTTCCTCTCCAGGCTCCAAGGCTCTCCTGTAGAGTTGCAAAAATGTCGTTTAAACCAAATAGCCTTTCACCCTTTGATATGAATCAAGACAAGTAATTAACAATGTAACAATATTTCTATCCAACCCACCCACCTACGTACAAAATATACAGAAAGTTTTCCTAAGTGACCTGCGGGATTTAAAAGGCGATAGCTTCTAAAACTTACATACATAATTTATGTGCCTAAACTAAAATGTCAAATAATGACAGCTGACGCGTCGGTCACGTGCGATCTGCCTGAATTTATGCACGACATTTAGTGCATCACTTCTCGGGTCGCAGAGAAAATAAAATTAAAATCAACTACAATGTATTTTTTTATATACCTATATATATATATTCATAAACAAAGACATACAAGTGTAATCAGTGGTATTTCCGCCGTAGATATGTGGAACAGTAATCTTAAAATCATGGAGGATACAAGTAAGGAGTACCATTTCAGTGTATCAAAAATGTCCGCTAATGGGAGCCAATTAAAATGGCGCCACAGTAGCAAGTGGAAAGATTTAAAAAACGCAGCCCTAAACTACCACACTTCACTTCAATCCAACATACTTCACTCAGTTAAATTATAAAACTGCTATACTCATTATTCATATCATTTCCACTTCCCACACTACCGCTATTTCGGTGAGTCTTAAAACAATAAGTTGCTGTTTACAGGTGGACACTCTTTCAAATTGTCCTCTATACAAATTGGTGTTCTTAGTTCTACCCTCCATAATTGAAATACATAAAATGTCATTAAATGCTTTCACGTTTGAGATAGAACATTAACTAACACCGCCATCAAAGTTTTGATTCGTTCCCAATGCCTCTCTCTCATGCACGGATTCTTCAAGTCGCCAATTAGAGGCAGAGTGCGCCTAAATGCGTCCACCTTTACCCGCGTTGTCTCAATGACGTCCCATCCTTTATCTTTGAGCTGCCTCGATAGCCTATTGAAGTTACTGTACGGAAAAAAGAATTGCCTAAGAATAAATATTAAAATAAAACATTAACTAATAAAACTTATTATGTAAAAGTTTCGGTTTGTACCAGTTTGTTAATGTTAATGTCAATGTGCGAATGATTTGGGATTCATTTTTCAATGTAGGTAATATTTTCTTGGAATAAAAATGCCCGCTATATAAGTTTAAATGTTCGATAAGAATGTTTAAGAAGATTAAGTCTTGCTCTTAAGTCACTCTCAATCCTCATGGAAAATGCTCTGGTTTTTCCACCCGTTTTTCTTCTTACTGATTGATATCAACTAAATCGTATTCTTAGTTTTTGGAAATACAACTTGGTTTGATAGTCTAATTAATCAATTTATCAGATAATCAGGGATATTTAGATATTTATCATATTTAAGAATGTTTTTCAATTGTATAAATAAGTCGTACATTTCCGGTATTAACCAGTAAAAAAAGGAAATTACCGAAACAAAAACATAACGTTCTCTTCCATTTCATCCGTTTCCATCTCCCAGAACGTTTGAGTTTTGTATTTTTCCCACGACTCCTCCCATTGAAAAACTAATCCCCAAACCTCTTCCAACTTTTCCAGTTCTTTTTCCATCTTTTGCAGGTCCAGATTTACTGGTGTCCTAGATGTAAATGATCTTCAATTATTATTAATACATGCAAGTCTCGTAAGATCAAAATCCAGTTCGACTGCATCTTTTTTATAAAGAGGTGTGTGGCCCACAGCGTTACTATTATTGTGATGTCGAACTTAGCCCATAGACACAACACACTGGGTTTCTCGCCGGATCTGCTCGGTGACTCGCTATTCCGACCCGGCGACGGATTCAGCGAAGCACTGCTCTTGTTAGGACAGATCTTATCAACGTCTCTCAGGCTGAGCCCCGTGAGCTCGCCCACAAACCATGACGAAGCCTACTGACTGACTGACTGAGACTACAGACAGTTAGTTGGGTACAAAAAAACTACTGTAAGATTCAACAATTGCACTGCAGAATTAAATCCCCTGCCGTCAGAATTAGTCATTAGTCATCAACAGTTGCATACTCCGTACAACAAGACAAGTTCAGTTAGCTATGAAGACTTGAATACAAGTTATAAAAAATGACATTGATAACTTTATTCGCTACATGCATTGTATACCTACCTATGACACAAACCTAGTTACATTCTTTACCGAACTACCGACTTATATTCAAACGAATGATAGCCAAAATCCCAATTACTAATAGTACCTACAGCACTAAAACAGCATCATTATACAGGATGCGCTAACAATCTGCAGTAAGATAATACTACCATTAAATAATACGTAGAATGTAATGCAGCCCTACCCCTCCGAGCGTATTTTAATTAGCCCTTTAGGCTACCAACGATTAGGTAGGGAAAAAAGTAGTACAACGTTGAAACTGCGAAGAATTCTACTCTTAATTAGCCTTTAAATATAATTTAGTTTCATGCCAAGGCTCGGAGTTTCTCTGAATGATAAAATCAGGAATGAGGCAATTTGATAGAAAACTAAAATCATCGACATAGCTTAAAGAATCAGTAAGCTGAAGTGGCATTGGGCTGGTCATATATGCCGTAGAACTGACGATCGCTGGAACAGAGGGTTCTCGAGAGGAGACCGCCCAATGGAAAACTTGGGACGCCCTCTGGGTAGATAGTGCAATGGCCTCCGAACAGTGGCCGGTAGGAGGTGGATGAAGAGAACCGAAGACCGGGTTCAGTGGTGTGGATTATGAGAAGCCTACGTCCAGCAGTGGACGACTGTGGGCTGATGACGATGATGATGATAATGATTTAAATGATTCCTATAACTCATCAAATTGTATATTATGGCTTAAAATTTTTTTTACTCACTTTAGCTTTACCCACCAAATAATCAATGTATAAAAACTACATAAAACTATTGCTCGTCAATCGTATTACTCGTCGAATTGACAGCTTATAGATTCCAATCTATAAACTGTCAATTCGTACTGAAGACACAGCTAAACCACACAGTGAGAATTTACCCAAACCTTTTTGACATTAAAAAAAAGCAAACGATGTCAAATGTACATGTCGATGTCTAGTCAAACTTATACAAATCAATCGAATTATTAAGTGAAATGGGTGTCACAAGAATTACGTTAAATTAAAGACGGCGAGCCCATCTCTGATCTGCTGTTCTTGTGCGCGGAGGGCATTCAGTTGATCTCTGAACGCTTTTAATTGGGACAAGGCATCTTTTCCGGTGACCTCAGAACTACAGGGTAGAGTTTCATAAAAATCTTCACAGAAAGTCTTGGCTGCTTCTTTGAAAACCTAATTACATTGATAAAATTATTTTACTAGATACTCAATTTAAATCCACAGCTTTGACGTTCAATGGCTTCATTTAATGAAGATCTCGCATACTTTAAAATATATCATATTTCTAATAATATAAAAATGAATTGCTGTTCGTTAGTCTCGCTAAAACTCGAGAACGGCTGGACCGATTTGGCTAATTTTGGTCTTGAATTATTTGTCTAAGTCCAGAGAAGGTTTAAAAGGTAGATAAATATGAAAATGCTCAGAATTATTATAAATAAAAATAGCATTTTTGTTTTTCCTTTGATGTGTCCCCCGTCGGACGGATTCCTTTTGTTTGTTTTAAATTTATTTTATACAAAAGTTTAAGTCTTTTATTTATCGATTGAGGCACTACGAAGTCTGCCGGGTCAGCTAGTTTCTAATAAAATTAACAAAAATTTAATTAAGCTGGTATTGGAAATCTGTTAATGACGGAGAGGTAGCTCTTATTGATAGGTGTGTTAAGGGAAACACTAGACGCAGCAGTTTGCAGCCACTAGTCGATAATGCTGAGCCATCATCCATGGAAAAGATCGAAATATACCTTCTACCATTATCTAACCACAAAAACGGTGCCAACTTTAGTGAATAATAAAATTAGGAAAGAAAGAACCTGCAATAAAGGTTTAATTAATCATAATATAAATCATATTCATACTGTTATCCAGAAAAAATAAATGTAAGAAAGCATTTTCTGTAAACAAATCTACCTACCTCAGCTTGCTCCAATAAGTCCGCTTTAAACTTGTCCTTATTCAATTCTAAGGCTTTTTTCGCTTCTTCCAATAGCGCTAAATATTCCGCCCAAATGACTGGAATATTCTCGTGACGAGCGACCATATCGGAACTTAGTTCTACTTCAAATTTCGCTACAAAAGAGTTCAATCACAGCGTTATCAACACGTTCACGACCAATGTCATCAATTTCAGAAACAAAACCGTAGAGAAATTTTATTAGTTTCATTTACCCAAAGTCTGCATTTGATCAGTGATGGGCGGGAAGGTGTGCTGGACCCTGCTGATATCGGACATGAGATGCTCGTACGTGGCGATGGCTGAGGCCAATTGATTTAGGTCGGCGGGCATCTATTGAATTCAAATAATTACATGTATTGGATCGATATCGTGGACCTTTTTTTTTTATTGCTTAGATAGGTCGACGAGCTCACAGCCCACCTGGTGTTAAGTGGGTACTGGAGCCCATAGACATATACAACGTAAAAGCGCCACCCATCTTGAGATATCAATTCTAAGGTCTCAAGTATGGTTACAACGACTTCCCCACTGCTTACTGCTTCACGGCAGAAGCAGGCGGGGTGGTGGTACCTACCCGCGCGGACTCACAAGACGTCCTACCACCAGCAAGGTCTTAAGTTTACTGTTACTCACTTTCATAGCGTCTTCACTACTCTTTTCCACATATACATATACTTTGTCAATGTCACCTTCAGTAATCTTTCGTAGGAGCTCACCTAGCTTCGTTTGCCAAACCAGGCAGTGAGCGATTATAGATTTCTTCAAATGATTCGAATTGAGCGTGACGAAATGTATCTGAAAATCAGTGACCGTCGATAGCCAAACGTTCTTAAAATATTAGGGAGTTACCGACACTAGTAACACTCATAATGGCAATAAAACAAAAAGCGGTAGTTAATTCTCTCGTAAATACACTGCTAGTTAAAAAATAATCAGCGCTGTTAAGTGGTCATTGAAGAAGACGAGAGAGAGAAGAGTGAGTGTTGAGATGACGGTTGATAGAAGAGAATAGAAAAATTCGCTGTACCGACCCCACCTAGTGGGATAAGTTAGAGAAAAAAAAGAAGAAGAAGTGGTGAATCATATGTCCACACTTACTCCACCCCACCCCCTGACTCCTATTTTGAACATTAATGGTAGTATCCTAACGAAAGGAATGTAGGTATTCCAATGTTGGCTCCAAGGCAAGATGGCATATTTGTCAGTCACAAATAACGTACCTGATTGATGGTCTCCTGTATCTGAACGCTATTGGCTAAATTACTGTAATTAATAATCAATGCATCAAATTCTGCCGCCGTGTGCTTCTCTAAGCGATACTGTTCTAAAAACTGATCCTTGTTTACGTTCCAAATATGCGCGTAAGGATCCCACATGCATATATGATCATTGATGAGCGATAAATTGTATTCAATTTCTGGAAGTTTAATATAGGCCTTACAAAACTCTACCTCGACAAACTCTTTGTGCAATCAGGCAAAAGGTAGACGTTGAAGGTACTGATAACCGAAATTCTGCTTTTTGCATTGCAATTAAAAAAATCAGCCTTCTGAAAATCACTGCTAGATATAAGCTTTCCTCAAAATTCGCCAAGATGACCAATCCTGAATTGCTGCATGCTTTCTCACGAATTGAACTCATCAGTCCACGGAGACCGACGCACGTAATCAATGTTATTTAATTTCGCTAGACAGCGGCCTTACTGTGCCCCTTTTAGCCCACTGAGTTTCTCGCCGGATCTTCTCAGTGAGTCGCGTTTCCGATCCGGTGGTAGATTCTGCGAAGCACTGCTCTTGCTAGGGCCAGTGTTAGCAACACTTCCGGTTTGAGCCCCGTGAGCTCACCAACACGTTAGGGCGAAGCTGAAATAGCTCCTCAAGGCTATCAGCATAGGTAGGGAAAAAAAGAAAAAGAAAAAAAAAGTGCCCCTGGCGTGGGTGACATCCACGAGCAACGTTAGCCTCTCATCATCAGGTAATCTCCTTACAAAGGAAGAAAAAAAAACCCAAAGAAAACTCAGGTGACGCGCGGAGTCAACAATCTCGACCTACCATAAAAACTTGTCAAAATGATAACTTTAAATAGATATTATTATTATTTTCCGATTTTATTCATGCATTTCGTTTCGGCTTCAGCAATATTCCCTTTTATCAATAGCAATAATGTCTTATGCTTCAAACGGTGGCGTCGTGTAGGATGCGTTCTTCCGATCTCATTCATAACCTATAGACTGGTAATAACTAATTAATATCCTTAAGACATAGTAATTTTTAAATAGGTTTATCTATTACCAGCGTCAATAAGGGACTGTAATTTATTACAATCAGGGTCGATTTGTATAGCTTCATAAAACCTCCTAAGTCCGCCGGCGGGCAACGCAAACTTCTCGAATAATCTCGGAACTGTGCTCAATATATGAACGATCTCCTCGAGGATAGAATTGAATGTATCCTTTATTTCCTGTTCGGTTGGTACGTAAACGATATCTTTTCCGGTCAAGAAAAGTTTCATTTTTATAAGAGGTGCCGGCGCCATTGTCCCTGCAATTATTGCACTCAGTGTTTGAATATTCAAAAACGTACGAAGATTAATTACTAATATTTGATTCTGATAAATTAAAAGTTTAAGTGTAATATAAACGAATTATCATTATATCGATGGGTGGTGATTTGGTTTAGGCGACATGTCGATTAATACGCGATAATTTCTTTGTAATTTATGGTCCGTTTTATTTGGTATTAACATCAACAATTTGACGTTTTTAATTGAACGTCAATTAAGTTTAATCCATTCAAATAGCCGAAGAATTTTTTTTTTTTTTACGTAACTTATTCGAACTTTTAAACTTTAAATGGCTCTCCTGTAAAGTTCAAAAATGTCGCTTAAACCAAAAATCCTTTCAACCCTCCATATGTAATCTAAGAACCACAACATGTCATTAAAGTTATGCCACAGAACAGAAAACTCACCATCACCGTGAACACATTTATAAATGTTCTGCATAGTTCCTTTGATAGCTAGCCTTAGTGCGTCTTCTAATAAACGATCAAACCTTCTCACGTACCGAACCCAATATTCAGCCATCTAAAAACATTTAATTGGATATACAAATTAAACAAGCCTACCGTTACTCACGTAGCAGTAGGACGCCCGAGTTTTTTATGATTGAATGATTACTGGTGGTTCGGAGGACTTTCCAGTTCCAGTTTCAGGAGCAAAGGCTCAGCCAGAAGGGGTGGGATTTGCTAACAGCTGCCCGAGCGCCTCCGAAGGAAACCTAGCAACAAGAGCAGCTGCTTCGCGAATGACTGGATCTAATACCGGATCTACTGCTGGATCGGAATCGCGACCCGCTGAGAAGATCCGGCGAGAAACTCAGCGGGCTGATGCATGGGTTAGCTTGCACGTCGACCTCTTTGCCGAGTTCGACGAGTACGGTTACCGGGGTGCCTAAGCCTGCTCCTAGTATTAGAACTCAAGGTGTCTAATGCAACAGTTATATTGGATCTGATGGATCTGTAAGGACTTGTCTAGGGTGTCGACGGTGACCGGTTCCTACGTGATCAGGATTCGGGGAGGCCCGTGTATACCTCCCCCTAAGTATCTTCTTATCAGCCCACAGACGTTCACTGCTGGACATAGGCCTCCCCCAGGCCTCGCCACAAAGACCGGTCCTGCGCTGCCCGCATCCAGCGGATCCCCGCGAATCTCAATAGGTCAACGGTCCATCTTGTGGGAGGCCTACCCATGCTACGTCTTCCGGTATGCGGTCGCCACTCAAGAACTTTCTGGCCCCAACGGCCATCCGTTCTACGTGCAATGTGTCCTGCCCACTGCCACTTCAACGTCGCATCCTTTGAGCTATGTCCACCCTAAGTATAAGAAAAATAAATGTACCTGAGGTATATACGGTTCGAAGCCCTCATAAACTATGATTATATAAATCACAATTTCCTTGTACATGTCCAATATTTTAGAAGCCGCCCCTGCTTGCATAGTTCGTATTTTCCCTCGTAAGTCTTTGATCTCAAAAACATTATAGACGTCAAACTCGATCAGCGGAGTGTCGCATATTTTCTCCATGATTTTCACTAAATTAACATTGCAATTCTTGTATGTCGTTAAAAAGTCTTGAAACTGAAAAGACGTCAGTGAATCTGTTAATTTTTAATAAAGAAAAAGTGTAATAAAGACATACTATACATAAATAAATTCGCCGAACATGAAAAAATAGATCATTTGATACTTTGTGTATCATTTCATCAGAAATTTTTACGATTTCTGTCAGTCGGTTTGTTAGTTATTTGGAAGCGAATATTCGTGATCTTCAAACGAACTGCTGACCCAAGATTCCCATAACATACATTTAAAACGATGACACTAATTTTCAATGTTTTGTGTTTTCAATGTTTGCCTGGGTGTTTACTATCTATCTATCTATATATATATATATATACATATTTGTATTGAAACGTATATGTTTATCCGTTCTTGATTCTTGGAGGTTCTGGGACCGGATAATCGCACATGACTCGTTCCCGGTTATTATTATTATTATTATCTTGTGTTCTATGATAGCTACCCGCTACAAATAAAAAAGTTTAGTACTTCTCCAATTTGTGTAACGCAATCGGCAATGTAGGCGTCGGACATATTTGAAGTCCAAGTTAATTTTGAAATGCCCGGCTGTACTTTCTTGTCGCAAGCCTGAAAACAATTACGAACTATTAAAGACACTAAATTCACAGACTTTTATTAAATACTAGCGACCCACCCTCGCTTCGCTTCGGAAACTGCAATTTATTATTGATTTCTCCACTATTTAATGGATATTATTATACATACAAACCTTCCTCTTTAATCACTCTATCTATTAAAAAAAACCGCATCAAAATCCGTTGCGTAGTTTTAAAGATTTAAGCATACATAGGGATATAGGGACAGAGAAAGCGACTTTGTTTTAGGTATATTATGCAGTGATTCCAAAGCTATTTTAGTGTATAAACAATTATTTTTCTTGTTGACAGACACCGGTAGGTTCAGCGTGGTTCATCAGGTCTCCCACAAGATGTATCGACGACTATTGAAGATTTAGGGTATCCACTGGACAGCCACCGCTTAGGCAACGCAGGATCATCCAGCAGTGGATGTACCTATATTTAAGCTAATGGTAATGCGCGTCGTTTTCTCGAAGGAACACGAGAGCGGCTGCCATGGCAGATTTTGCTTTACATAGAAGACGAATATTACTTTGCGGATACTTTAGGGTATATTGACTTCTCTGCGACAAGAGCGATTAACAACTTTAAGTATGCTAGTAACACAATAGACAATATTACATTCCACTATTATCCGCGCGTAAGTACTAGTCACTTCCGTCCGGACGTAGATGGAATAGCTCCACTACCAGGGATAAAAAAAAAACTAGTCATCATCTAAGACGCCCAAGCTGCAGAACGGGGGAGATAAAATATATTAAAGTTAAGCTGACTCAGCTTTCCGTGTACCTACAAGAGCTGATAGACAAGATTTGATTGTTCCCGCTATTTAAGTTTCAAATGCTTATGATATTAAAATTAAATAGCCCAAGAAAGGTCTGCCAATAACATGACCTGCGAAAAATGTTGTTTATAACGTGCTTAATTTCTTTTAGTTCATTAAAAATAATATTTGAAATCTCAGAATACTACGTCAATTAGTCATCGGCATCTTGTAGTAGTATGTCTGATGATCACCAGTTAGTCGAGTTAAAGTTCTTGATCTTATTCGTATACATTAAACATATTTTATAGATTTGAATTTGGCGGGTATCGAGTTGTGTGAATTGTTTTAGTTTGTTAATTTAAAGTTTCTTCGGGCTCAAAAGTCTAATAATGGTGCTTGAGCCACTGCTTAACATCTGCAAAAATTCTAATCTCATTTCGTTTCATTCCATTACATTTCACTTTTCACACAACGAAAATGTTTTCAACTATTCAAATAATTTAATAGAATAGGCTATTTTCTTTGCACTTTGTCTGTGCATTTATCGAATAAAAATATTTTTGTCAGTTATTCACAGGCACAAATGTCGGTTTTAAAGAGGCTTTTTTTGGCGGGAACGCGAGGAGCGAAGTTATGTGAATTGTTTAGTGTTTCTTCAGGTTTAAATGGGTAATAACGATGGTTCATTAACTGTTTAGTAGTAGTTAAAGTGCAAGAAATGTGGGAAAATGAAACAAAACCACTAGATGTAACTTCTCGGGATCCTCCAAAAAGTCCGCTGATAAAGTCTGAGTAAATAACCACCATTTTACTAAGATTATATTTCATCCTATATCATCTCATCTCATTGTATTTAATTTCATGCCAATTGATTAATATTCCAAATTAATCAACTTCTTTTCACACCATGTCATTTTGCGTAAAAAGAATATAAAAGATTGAACTGTATAGTTATGATATCTTTGCTTTTCTAGTTCAAAAAATAGAACTGCTATTGTCAGTTCCGTCAAACTTAACAGTAAAGTTCAAAAGTTTTAACAAATTCAAAACATTGAAAAGTATCAAAAAATAAACTAGTAATGTTTATTATAAAACGCAGTTGATAATGAATTTGGGTGATCCGGAACTCGAATTAATCGACCCAACACCAAATATCCATTTATTGTTCATACAATTCGACAAAACATTCTTTTGGAGTAGATTAGCGAGTAGGGTCGTAGTGAGATGGAGCAAAAAAATGTATTCTTGCGCGGGAATCTGCTCGTGAGTTGTAAATACCTTTAATCAAACTATAATCCGATATCCTTAGTATTATCACACACTATTAACAATATTAATATCACACAAAACACAATTAGTGTTTCGTTGTTTGACAATAAACTGAGATAATTTCATCTGAAAAACTATTAATTTAAACGCATTGAGATTTAAAAGCCTCCAATTTTATTTATTTAGTGGCGAGCTTTGGGGGAGGTCTACGTCCAGCAGTGGACCGCCGCAGGCTGATGATGATAAATTATATTTTCTTTCAGCTACGAAGGTCGGGGAGGCTTATGCGATATAGCCGTCAGTGAACCCCTACTAAAACTTCGACCTCGTAAGGACTTGATCGAAACACTGCTACACGAGATGATTCATGCTTATCTGTTTGTCACTGCCAAAGATCAGGACAGAGACGGGCACGGACCTATCTTCCAAAGTCACATGCACCGGATTAACAGAAGCGCTGGACTTAATATTAGTATTTATCATGACTTTCATGATGAGGTACAGATTTTTGTCTTTGTATTTTACTATTGTGACGAAATTCACGTAAATCTAAATTATTTTAATTAATAATTTTTTATTCATTATTATCATTGAAGATGCACACATAAAATTTGTTAAAAAAATGTAATAATATTTAACCAAAAACCATTCAACTACAAAGTTGATTTATGAATAGGATAGAGTTGGTAAGTCTAATTAGGGTAGTAGAAGTCTCGACTATATTAAAATCAAACATCATCTAAAAATATAATTCACAATTTTAAATAATAATAACAATATAACTGAGGACTCATAAAACACTTCAATGTCTCTACATCGCACAAGCTTCAAAATTTTCAATTATAAAGATAGAAAACGAAAATTTCTGGTTTCTAGGTTATGCTATATCAAACGCACTGGTGGAGATGTAATGGACCATGCCAAACAAAAAGACCACATTTCGGTATAGTGCGGAGATCAGCAAACCGGGCGCCTGGGCCATCAGAATACTGGTGGCTGGACCACAAACGTAAATGTGGAGGCACTTTCATCAAAATTAAGGAACCAGTGACAAAAACCAAAACTACCAATAAGAAATCAACCAAACCTAATGCAGACATTACTCAATACATAAACAATAACAATAATAATCTATCAACAAATAAGAATTTAATTAACGTTAAGGCTATAACAACACTGAAAGATTTTCATGGCAATTCTATAAAAACTAACATCAGAACTATCAACAGTATTCCTCAAGTGACAATGGCCAAAAATGTCAATCCAAATTCACCAAAACCTTTTAGTAGCCAAGGGCACACTTTAGTTAAAGTTCGAAGTCGAAGTAACTCTGTCAATGCTCTAGAAACCGTCAGAAACATATGGGCGAACAAACAAATATCAAACACACCAAATGCTGCTGATAATTCACTAAAACAAATAAAAAATAGATCGAACCCACATTCGGATTCACCACCACCTAAAATAAAGAAAATAGATCAATATTTCAAGAAGACCGCTTCTTCACTGCTCAAAGATGTTTACGGAGAGGACTTCAAAATAACTCAATCAACTGATGGTTCCAAATTGATTGCAGTTAATACTAAGAAAGAAGACAAGGTAGAATGCCCAGTATGTAAAACTAAAGTGAATAAAATAGAAATCAATAAACATCTAGATGAATGTTTGAATAAAGATTTGATTGAAAAACTTAGTAAAGACAATATACAAGTTAAAAATAATAGTAATCGTGAGAGGCAATCCATAGGGAGTAATGTATCTAAACCTATGACGAAATTCAATAGCGTTGATCTTGATAGAAAAATCACAAGTAATATTAAATTAGAAAAAGACGATGTAAAACCACTGGACAATAAAGCAAGTACAAGTGCGGGCATCAAAATACAACCCCAAAAAAAAGTTACGTTTGCATCAAATGAAACTGAAAATGATTCAGACATATTTGGGAATAGTAGTCAAGACCAACATACATGTGCATGCTGTGGAAAAAAAATCAGTAAACCTATTGAACAACACTTAGATGAATGTTTAGTGTTTTTCGACCACAATACTACGATACCAGAAGAAAATAACTCGACCATTGTCATAGATGATGATGATGATGAATTTGATGAGTCAATGACTATGAATGCTACAGGTACAAAAACACCATGTCCCTGCTGCTTAGAAATGGTTGAACAAAAGGCAATGAATGATCATTTAGATTTGTGTTTGAATGAATAGTGTGTCACTACTAGTGAGATAATTACACTCAGGTGGCTTATGTGGAAACTTCTTCATGTAATTAAGCTGTGTTGAGTTTTTGCTCCTCTGTCTGCCAACTGGTTTAGAATAATTCGAATTTTCACCACCAGATGATTAAAAATGTGAAATTAGAATAAGTGTTGGGATTTTATTAACATGGATGATATCAAGGCCAGGCGTTGACATTTATTATAGCTATATATGCTCTTTCTATCTGAGAATATGATTTAATTAATGAGATATATTAATCAATAATAATAAACTGAAAATATTAATTTTACATCCACTAATCTGAAATGATAATTAATCTCATTCTTTAATGATCAATGAGGTTACTGAAAATGTTATTTGTTAATTTATCGTGTACTGAATTTAATGTGATATTAGAAATAAATTACTTTGTGAAAGAATATCAGTTTTTGTTTTAATTATATTTTCAACATTTCAGAAATTGCTTCAGTTAATTATTTATTAGACACACACTTCATGTAAAATTTACATTGGCGGCCTTAATTCCGGAGACATTAACTACCAGTCAACCAAGTAGTACAGAGTAAATAATGGTAGGTGTATCGAAATTTATATGAAAATACCACATCTATGTATGTTTATGTATATTATGTATTTTTGTATTTAATGTATCGCACTGTTTATTTGTTTTTTGGTGTACAATAAAGAATGCTCTCTCTCTAATGTATACATATATAATTGTATTAATACATACATACAAATACAGTGCAACCTTATTTATATACCATATAATCTATTACCCCCACACTACCACACCACACCACTACTTTTTTAATTCAAAATTTTTTTTTTTTATTGCTTAGATGGATGGACGAGCTCACAGCCCACCTGGTGCTAAGTGGTTACTGGAGCCCATAGACATCTACAACGTAAATGCGCCACCCACCTCGAGATATAAGTTCTACGATCTCAGTATAGTTACAACGGCTACCCCACCCTTCAAACCGAAACGCATGCTTCACGGCGGAAATAGGCGGGGTGGTGGTACCTACCCGTGCGGACTCCCAAGAGGTCCTACCACCAGTAAATTTTCTGTTTTTTAGTTGGAATTTCCATAAAAGTGTTTTTTTTTATTTTTTAAAAACTATTATAAATTTTTTAACCATTATTTATTTTGTAACTATAATGTTTTTTTTTTCATTTTTTAGTTCAATCAGCATTATATTGTATCAATAAATTATTCATATTTGTAAATTCACGCAAATACAACAGCTTCCAGTTTGCTAAGCGAAAACACGAAGGCGCTCTAATGAATTTGTCGTTTTGATTGCCGAAAGTAAATAACGGGTTAACTAACTGCTTAAAATATTAAATGTTCATCGATCCTTGATAAGTGTGCAAAAATTCAAGTTAATCCGAAGTTTTGAAGGGGTCAAAATCATGTTCAAAGATTCCGTTACACACTAACAGTTCGATATTCGATTTTTACACATTATTATTTGACAACGAGTTATCTTTACCGATACACACTAGGAACATAAGACGTTAAATGGAAATGACCAACGTGAATTGTACTATTACGCCATAATCTTTAAGCTGCTTTAGCCAGTTTCGATTAAGATCCTTCATAGAACTTTTCACCACCCAAACTAAAATTCAGTCTTTAAAATAAACAGCCAATGGATGAAAGTATATACTCACTGTAATCATAGGCTTGAAGAGTAATCTTTCATCGTCAGACAGCGAGTCGATTATCTTGTTGTATCCCTTAACCACGGCCAACACGCTTTCGTAAACATAGTAAATAGTTTTGCTTTTCATGTATACCTGTTTTATGAGAAGCGAATCGTCTATGCCGCGTGCTTGGTCCGAGTTTTTTAACTTCACGATCGCGTAAGAGTTAACTCACTTTGCTCCTAGCGGAAAACGAAGAGGAGCTGTTCTAGATTTGTGTTAACTCTTACGCGATCGAGAAGTTAAAAAGCTTGCACTAAGCATACTGGAATTGCCTTGATTTTATAAATAGCACGGTGTTTCTCGAGTGCTATGACATGCCCTTCTACAAAGAAGGCTGCTGGAGAGGACTTAACGGTAGGCAGCGGCTAGGCTCTACCCCCGTGGCATTGCTGTCGTCCATGAACGACGGTAACCATTCACAATCAGGTGGGCCGTATGCTCGTCTGCCTACAAGGACAAATAAACAAAAAAGAACATTTAGGCTTTCGAATTTTCAAGCAGAGATATTTTATTACCGAGCGAACTTCAATTTTATCCACATATGAACACGTTCCGACACGATACAAAGAATTGACTTCGATTTAAAAAAAAAAAAATGTATTGATTGCTTTATTATATCTGATGTCTAGTCAATGCTTGCCAATATTTTTTTTCTTTATAAGGAAAATGTATCAAATATTCAATATTTATTGATGTTCATAAAATATGACCGGTTATTATATTACCTGATAAGCGTGCAATGGGATATCTTGTCCCAAGTTTTCCCAATGTGCTGCCTCCTTACAAAGATCCAAAATGTTCCTGTCAAAAAATTCCACATAAAACTAATTCTTATAAACTATAATTCCATAAGGGCTCATTAATAAATACTTACATATCGATGTTGCACTCCAAGAGTCCTAAGTTCTCTGCGCTCTTCCGCATCAAGGTCCTGTTCAAGCCCGCGCTACATTTTTCATCTAAATTGTGCTGCAATAACACAGTTAATTGGGATAATATTGTCAATAAGATAATATTATTCTAAGTCGGGAAAAAACAGTGGGAATATCTTTCTATCTATTGGGACTGTACCAGCATTCATATCGTTTGCTGGATACCAAATTTTAAAGTAACTACGTCACTAACATGTGCTGAAAATTGATATAACAATAAATAGAGCGCCGTGCCGTAATTATAGATGGCATTGATAGTCAGCGTTGGAAGTTCACTCGTTCCTGTTTGATTGGTAGATACACAATACTATTGAGAATTTTATGACTTTACTACAACCGTATTTCATATCTCAATTTTTCAATCTTTCTCAATCTTTGGTCTGTGGTAGACCCGTAACGCTTTAGGAACCGTAAAACAATTGAGAATCGGGACCTAAGTAACACCTTGTATCTACTTTTAATTTTTCAGTATGGCAATCACCTTCTTGTGACGCCATTTTCTCCAGCGTCGTTTTTATAAAATCTTCAGTAGTAATATGCTATCCACATTATGCTATATTAAATATGAGTGGAATGAAATAAAATTGACCTATCTAAAACTGTAATTAATTGGGAAGATTGAAGTCAATAATACACTGTTAGTTTTAAGCTAGTACAATAATCAAAAGTCGACAAACAGCACCTTAGTCATCTGTGACCACGAAAACTGTAAAATAGTCGTATTGCAAAATCTAAAAGAAATTTTGACAGTTTACTTCTGGTGGTGGGACGTCTTGTGACTCCGCCCGGGTAGGTACCACCACCCTGCTTATTTCAGCCGTGAAGCAGTAATGCATTTCGGTTTGAAGGATGGTGCAGCCTTTATAACTATACTAAGAACTCATATCTCAAGGTGGGTGGCGCATTTACGTTGTAGATGTCTATGGGCTCCAGCAACCACTTAACACCAGGTGGGATTTGAGCTCGTTCACCCATCAAAGCAATAAAAAAAACCACTTTCATCTTCGTATACTCGGGGTTTGGAAAGTCTTCGATACTCAGACATTATAGACAACGTTAAAATAATAAGTACCGTCCAGGAAATCCACAGTTCGCGTATGGCAACATCGATGGCGCCCATCAGTCTGTTTACGTGCATGATAACGTCTTCCGAGTTACTGCACGCCATCATCCATACTGAGGCATCAGTCATCACCTGGTACAATCGATGATGATTACCTAACTCAGAATAAAATGTAATTAGGTTTTAGTTAGCCTGTAAAGGGTAGACATCGCGCAATAGAAACAAAACCCCAAAATTTATCAGTTTGCCATATAACTGGACGTAGGTATTGTGATGTGAACCCACACAGGTAGGTTCAACTTATCTGGCTATTTCTGTTGCGAAGCTTTTTTTTCCTACCAAACCGGGAGTGTTGCTAACACTGGCCCTAGCAAGAGCAGTGCTTCGCAGAATCTACCATCGGATCGAAAACGCGACCCACCACCCATGAGAAAATCCGGCGAGAAACTCTGTGGGCTGTATCTATGGGTTAATTCACTCGTCAAGCCCTTCGTCGCAAGCGACAGGTTCGACTAGGACGGTGACCGGTGCTTGTGGTACCTAAAAGCACCGTTAATGGATCGGTTGCTAAGCAAGCAGCCATTACACAATACAATTGAGATTTCGACCTCATATCTCAAGGCGGATGGTGGTATGAACGTTGTAACGCCTTTAAAATATTTGCCTCCAGAGAAATAAAAAAGCCTATAGACAGGAAGTCAACGGAAATTGGTATAGTACCGTTCTTTAAGGTGTTGGTAAGGTGCCTAAGTCAATACCTCTGGTGCTAGCTCGGTGGCGCTGATATGGTCTCCTAGACCATCAGCTTAGGTAGGGAAAAAACAAACCTCTGGTGCTCGGGACACAGCTGATATAAAACAAATTATGTCGTCCGTGCCATTATATAAAATATTTTCATCTTCACCTACTTTGGTTAGAGGATCTTTATATTAGATACTGGTTAGAAGAATCACCTTTTTCAAGTACACAAGTCTGTTTTTCCTCGTCTTGAGTACAATAGCTCGCCCTGCAAAGGACGGCAGATCAGCTGGAAACTGACCTCGATTCGAGACCATATCCTTTTTAGCTTCCTGTACCTCGTCGCTAAACATCGCCCAAACCTTGAGAAATTGTTCTTAATTTTAACAATAATATTTGTATTACTAATAGCACTAATTAATCGCGGGCATCCGTAGCCAATTAAAAGACTACTCTGGATACTGAGCTAGGCCCTAAAGATTTTATTAAGTTTACATTGCCTTGATAGTGATAGGGAATTTCACTGGTACTAGGGTTTTATTTTTTATATTTTTTATTGCATAGGCGGGCGGACGAGCTCACGACCCACCTGATGTTAAGTGGTTACCGGAGCCCATAGACATCTTCAACGCAAATGCCCCCACCTACCTTGAGATATGAGTTCTATGGTCTCAGTATAGTATAACAGCTGGTTCACCCTTCAAACCGAAACGCATTACTGCTTCACGACAGAAATAGGCAGGGCGGTACGGACCCGTGTACAAGACGTCCTACCACCAGTAAAATACCACAAACTTTATTTCACTGCTCACGTTTTTCTGTTGGGAAGTTTGATAGATAGGAAGATAGTTATTTTAATACCATGGTGACCTCGCATGTTTCATGTTGAGTTGAATGGCATGTCTATGGACCCTATTGACAATTCATCGAGCTTATCTGTACCAAGTTTAAGGTATGCGACAAACCTCTGCAGTTTTCTTCTTGAAAATCCGTTTCAAACTCTTCCGCTTGGAGTAATTGTTGAGCGAAAACAGAGCGACCACAGCCTCTTCCACGTGATTCACACCTTCAAAGACTGACTCCACCAAGTTCTCTATGATAATCTGAGACAAGTAACTTTACTATTAATCTAGATGTTCACCTATTGAGATCCTAGAGTACTAATATAAGGTTTTTTTTATTGCTTAGATGGGTGGACGACCTCACGGCCCACCTAGTATTAAGTTTTTACTGGAGCCCATAGACATCTACAACGTAAATGCGGCACCCACCTTGAGATATAAGATTTAAGGTCTCAGTATAGTTACAACGGCTGTCCCACCATTCAGACCGAAACGCATTACGGCAGAAATAGGCGGAGTGGTGGTACCTACCCGTGCGGACTCACAAGAGGTCCTACCACCAGTAAATAATGAAATTTTTAAGAGGAATTAAATAGTCACCTCAATATCCTTGATGACAGTCCTGAACTGCAGGATATCGTCGTACCAGGCCGGCGCCTGGACGTCTAGTATGGCGCGCGACACTCTGCGGACGTTGAGTAGCGCATCTTGAAACATGTGCTCAATTTGATCGCATTTAGCCTCGAACTGGTCACCGCGAGCGCCACTGAACATCGGCTTATTGATGTGTTCTAGTTCGTCGATCCTTTAAATTTAATAGGAGATTTGTTGATTTAAAACAAAAAAACAGCATTCATCGGATTCCTCCCCAAGCCAAGCGTGCGTAAAGTAGTGTTACTTCAAAAACAACAAACTTGATTGATGAGAACATCCATAGCTATTTATTGGCTTATATGACGATCAAACTAGACATGTGTAAGTAATGCGAGTGATATTACTCGGGTAATATTACTCTACGATGTAATGCAACATCACACATTACGCGAAGGAAACAAACATCACACTATCACCCAACATGTTTCTTTCTTTGTCGTGTAATGTTGCTTAATACACGAACGGAACCGAGCGAGCGAGACAGACCGATCGACGCAAAATAAATGAGCAAGCGACACGGAATTATTCCTATTGATTTTGAACCGTATGTCCTGGCCGCTAGGTACATTTTTATACCTATGGTACGTCTGAATTTTAATATAGGTATTTGTGTTTATATTTTTCATGCGGCCAGCCGGTAGTTCCCCGCAAGTACTTACTTAATTTTTTATTCGCAACTTTTGTAAAATCGCTAGTCGCTCGTAATTGTTTAGTAATATTTCATATAAATTTTTGTGTTTGAATTACTTAATCACTTGTTTGAAGATAGTTTCATTATTTGTTTTAATGCGTGTTTAATAAGTGAAAGAAATAACGCCGTCTAAATGAAAGTACAGTCCTCCTTGGATGCACTTTGAGGATATCGCGTCGAAACAATGCATCTACTGCTGTCGTATATTAACATTATTGTCGAGCTCAATTTGCAGTCTAAGTCGCCATATGAAATCCGTTCATCCCACAATAAATTATATTAAGTAAAAAATAAAATTATTATATTATAAAGTAAGTCAATCTCTGTCAAGTAATATAACATTATACATAATCATTACCTAAGTGATGTGTATCAACACATCACTTAGGTAATGATTCGGGTGTATAGATACAATGTATTCGTCGTCACAGTATCTATTGAACGCACCGAGTAATGTTAAGAGTGATGTGTAATGTTTTCGAGTAATATCACCTGTCTGTAAAAGTGATGTCATATCACATTACATTGGCAAGTGATGTTTTGCGCAAGTCTAGATCAAACTACAATATAGCGTCCCATTAACAAAATCTTTACAAATACGTGACACCCCTATGCTTACTTCTTTGTGTACAACATTATTGATATTCGAAGTGAAATTATTCAAAGTTATATTCATTAAATTAAACACCATTAATCTATTAAACGTAGTCGTTCAGTTAACCTATTATAAATAATGGTATATTCACCCGTGTAAACTGCATATGTACAACAGTCCCCTCAGATAAAAAATATAGTTAATGTAAATCTCGCGACATATTTGATATAGGGGTTTGTGACGCACTATCGATACAGTGGTTGAGAGCCGCTGTACCAATCCTTTTTTTATTGTTTAGATGGGTGGACGAGCTCACAGCCCACCTGGTGTTAAGTGGTTACCGGAGCCCATAGACATCTACAACGTAATTGCCGCCATCCATCTTGAGACACGAGCTCTAAGGATTCACTTTTACAGTACAACGGCTGTCCCACCCTTCAATAAGAAACGCATTACTGCTTCACGGCAGAAATAGACAGGGTGGTGGTACCTACCCGCGCGGACTCACAAAACGTCCCCTCCCACTAGTAATTACGCAATTTATAATTTTACGGGTTTGATTTTTATTACACGATCTTATTCCTTTATCGTGGAATTCAATAGTGAACATTAAGATGAAGATTTGGCAAGTGGAAAGTTTTTGACAGCTTCAGGTTTTCTCAAATTTAACGTAGATCGAATATTGCGAAAATTTGATTTAATAGAACTAACCTTCCAAAAATAATCATGCAGTTACAAACTTCTAACATATCAAAGCACCTCTGAACGAAGGAATCGATGTAATTGAAAATGCTACCAGTGTCCAAATTCCAAGAGTCTGGCTTCGAATCGCAGTGAGCCTCGGCCATCGTGTCGTAAATTTCGCGGTATTTCTTGCAACACTCAATGCACTTTGTGAATTCACCGAGCGCTTTCTTAGTTTCCCCCTCAAACAGCTCGTCTAGATTTACGTAATTCCTGCACAGTATTATGATTTGATTGCTCAGGGCCTTGAATAAATTTGTTATTCTGGCCTCGGAGTTGTAATATGGGGACTCCATCCAGATAAATCTGAACAGATTGATTATTTGGGGAACGTGTTTGGCTATTTCATCGGGATCTATGACGCATTCCAAAATCGCACAAGGCTGTTTGATCACTTGTAAGTATTCAATGTTGGAAGTGGCTTCGTTGATCTTCTGAATGACTTCTTGGCAAAGAGTTTGGAATTGGTGAATGAAAGTCGAGTGTGTGGTCACCAGTGTTTTCGTGATGTGTCTTACCGCTGGATTCTTCAATTGGTATAGCAGGGCATTTAAGTTTTCGTCTGAAACGGTCGGTGCTAGTGTTACAAGTCAATTTAGACTTTCTAACAAACAAAATACGTATGCGTTCTCAATGACTCATGTTAGTAGAACTATATCTATTCAAATAAAGTTATTAACTCAACTTGAAGTACGGTCATTACCATTTCCGCCTTCCGATTTAAGGAGGACGGCAACTATGCAATACGATTCAGATTTCGGTCTCCGCAATGTAACCTTTTTGATAATCACTAGGTTATGTCAATGGATTTCGATATTAACTTAACATTAGATGGGTTGTGAATTCCTGTAGGTACCTAATTAGACCAATAAATGAATGAACGTCACAACAATAACTTCACAATAGCTTGCCTGGCGGGATATATCTAAGTCTATAACTACGTTATCTAATAGCACTAAACAAGACTAAGTTTCAATAAACAAAAACTTTGGAAGGCTTCGTGAGCACCAATACTAACGCCGATATATCCAAAAGTCGTATTCATCACTCGGGCACAAGAGCTCTTTCTGTGACGCCACAAACGCATGGTCCTCCAAGCACGATTTGATCTGATGCGTCCAGTATACCACAACCCCTTCCAGCCTTTTCACCAGCTCCCGGTCTGCGCTGGCCTGTTCGAACGTCAGCTGCTGTCCCTCTCTAGGTATATACAATACGGTGAGACCGAGCATTTTGTAATACATGTCCGTTAGCTTCGCCAAAAACGTGTGGATTTGAGAGCAGAATTCGCTTTTTACGCCTGAAATTGAAATGGGCTATGATGCTATCGGTCAATAGTGCCGTCTTTACATTCAAGAGTAATCGCTTCCTATAAACGTGATGTTACACAGTCGAACAACGAACGTGAAACTCCGTACTTGATAATAAAAAATTGCAAATGCAAAATTGCAGATGCGAACTTGCTCCGTAGACTTAAAGGTTCCAAACGATCCTTGAGTATGGGATTGTCGAGAATACATACGGCCCTCGTACAAATTTCGATCGATTCTCATGAAAATCAGAAAGATGTCTAAAACATCAATCAATATTTACGGTTTTACGGGTCTCATTTCAGAAAGACAACCAGCCCAACGATTGGAATTCGACCATAATCACTGTTACCTCAAGACATCAATTCGTTCGATTTCCATAAATATTAACCATTTTGTTTTCGTTTACATTTAAAAAAAAACAGACTGTTTTCATAATTTTAAGTGACAACATTAAAGCTTGTCAATAAGTAACAGCAAAATAGATTGATAAACAAAACCGAAAATCTTAACACTTTTGTTTTTTCGTAGCTATCAACAGCCTATCACTAAAAGTAAAACTAACAGACTCACTATCGGGCCAGGCGTTGACGGCAAAGAAATACGGGGCGTAAACGTTTTCCAGGATCTGTATAACGTTCGACTCGACCGAATCAACGAAAGTACCAAAGATTATGTCATCGTGAAATGTATCAGACTTGAAAACGAAGTCGGGCGCGCGAATGAAATACGTAAGATCGTACACCGGCGACAGTGGGATGTCGCTGATCGACTTCAACTTGTCGCCTCTAAAATAAATGCATAGGATCAAAGATCTCGGTTCTAAAAGCCACTCCTCGATGCCATGCTTCACGTCTTCGGTCCAATCTTCCTCGCGTAAATCGTAGAGTGTCGTGATCCTCATGATGTAGCCGATCAGCTTGTGCAACTCTTCAGGGTCATAGGAAGGCTTGATTGGCGTTTCGGCTAGTTCTTTCTCGAGTTGAGCGAGGCGCTCGCGCTCTGAAATAAACATTTATTATAAACAAAACCTTATTTGATGAACCTGTCCAGATTTAAAATGTGACTTCTAAAGGTAAAAAAAAAATACCAATTCAAAGTGTATTAAAAAGTGTATGTTACTGGTGGTGGTAGGACCCCTTGTGAGACCGCACGGGTAGGTACCACCACCCCGCCTATTTCTGCCGTGAACCAGTAATGCGTTTCGGTTTGAAGGGCGGCGCAGCCGTTGTAACTGTACTGAGACCTTAGAACTTATATCTCAAGGTGGGTGGCGCATTTACGTCGTGCATGTCTATGGGCTCCAGTAACCATATAACACCAGATGGGCTGTGAGCTCGTCCACACAAATAAGCAATAAAAAAAAACCCACTCTATGCGTAAGATTGTCGTTCAAAAATCTACAAAAAAAGTTTTGCACACACATATTAAAAAAACTACAACTAAATCCGATTAAGGGCTATTACAAAAAGTAGAACTACCATTACTTTAATGGTAGGGATAGCCGCCGCACTAATAGTCTATCTGATCTTGGATCGTTCTGGCCTCGTACAATGCGATATTAAAAAAATAAGCACACAGATCTACAAGGTTCAGCCTGAGAGAGAATAATAATATTAATATGTGTTAGAAAACTTCTATTGCTTCGACTTCTTGCACCAGAACAAGACACCCAAACCTCGAACTCCTAATCTTTACACACTACAAGAGACGATGACTATAGAATCTTTGCTCTAATATCCTGAACAGTATCAAGAGGATAAAAAAAAATGTAATTAATCGTCAGTTCGGTTTCCTATTTAGGACTGTTTTATAGTTTTTAATAGTTTATATATCTTATTATTATAATTTTATTACTTAACTAGCTGCGTCCCGCGATGTTACTCGCGGTTATTGTCGTAGCGCGGGTGACACCGCGGGGCGAAGCTAGTCTAAAAAAAGTAACCTAAGTTATTCCTTATATTATCAGCTACCTATCAAATAAAGTCCCGTCAAAATCGGTCCTACCGTTCCAGAGATTAGCCGGAACAAAAAGACAGACAGACAAAAATTGTAAAAAATGGTGTATATATTATATTCAAGCATGTAGTAAAAAGCGGTTATTTCAATATTACAAACAGACACTCCAGTTTTATTTTTATGTATAGATAAATTTATAATCGTCATATATTATAGTCATCTTATATGATAATATTGGATATTATGTTTGCACCAACACACTACGCATCAAACCAGATCGGTGGCGTTAGTTAAAAGTTTTCGACATATTTGGAGGAAGCTAGAAAAGTAGTGAAGTAAAACAATGAAAGGTTAACAAAGAGAATATATTTAAACGTGTAAGAAGATGTATAAAATATAGTTAGATAACGGTGATAGTGAAGTAACGGTGATATTAAATATCATTTACAACAGAATTTTATTTCAGACGCTTTAGATAAAAAGCTTATATTTTCAACCCGGGTTTGGCTGTTTAGCAGCGTCTTACCAGCAACATACGATTCAGTTTATGTCTAACTCACCTCTCTCTTCCTCGGAATCATGACTCAAATCGTCACTCCAAGCAACCTTTGGCCTCTTAAATTCGTCTTCCATATTATCGTAATTAATGAAATAATTAACATTCACTTTTATTGTTCGTGACAGAATTGTCACTGTTTAATTTTTACTGTTTTGTTTTTATATTTTCTCGTGTGCCAGCTATTTTTAATATTAAACAATAATAAAATCATAGATAATACACTCAATACAATGAAATACAGCGTTGCTAGGCAACGAAACACAAGTATGCTTAGTGCGAGTTTTTAATGTACTCGATCTTTTTATTATTATTATTGCTTAGATGTGTGGACGAGCTCACAGCCCACCTGGTGTTAAGTGGTTACTGGAGCCCATAAACATCTACAACGTAAATGCGCCACCCACTTTGAGATATAAGTTCTAAAGTCTCAGTATTGTTACAACGGCTGCCCCGCCTTCAAACCGAAACGCATTACTGCTTAACGCAGAAATAGGCGGGGCGGTGGTACCTATCCGTGCGGACTCACAACAGTACCACCAGTAATTACGCAAATTAAAATTTGCAGGTTTGATTTTTATTACACGAGGTTATTCCTTCACCATGGAAGTCAATCGTGAATATTCCTTGAGTACGATTTCATTAGAAAAATTGGTACCCGCCTGGGATTCGAACACCGGTGCATCGCTCGACACGAATGCACCGGACATCTTATCCTTTAGGCCACGACGACTTTAGTCATCACTTGTGTTGTGTTCACCACGGATTTCTTGGTTAGAATACATTAATTATTTAACAACCGGAATCCCTTTGGCATGAACATGTTCTTCTTCCAAAGAGATTAGGGGAGTACTCAGGGGTACGCAGCGGCTTGACTGTGCCCCTGGCTTCGAAACCTTGAGGTGGGACTCATGCTGGAATTTTTACAAAGGCAATTCCAGTCGAAGTCGAATAACATCTGGGTCTTTCGTGTTATTTAAAGTTAACACTCAGGTCATGTTAACAAACTTTTTGTTTAAAAATGGATCACGTGCAAGCGAAGAAAGTCAAACGAATCTATGGTCAAATCAGATCATTGACGTTCATTAATCAATTTAGTTATTGTGAAGTCAATGGGCGATAGCATTTCTAGCATTTGAAATTTAAAACATTAAACTTTAGAAAATATAACTGTTATCAAAGTGCTCGGTTGAGTTGTCGTCTTTACAAATCCTCTCATCAAGAATTAAGAAGATCTAGGCTGTACGTGCAATTAAAATTTAACAGGTATTTATAGTTCATGCCAAAATTGTCCATCTGTTACTGTTTCAAAAGATTTTAATCAAACGAGTACCCAGGTATCTTTGTTGAAGATCCCAGTTTAGTGTTTGGAATATGAGTGTACTGCTTATTGTCTCATATGTGGGCTTTTGAGGCGAGTAGCACATGATGAAACTCTCCCAGTTGACTGTAGAACGATTCAGTATAATGAATATCTCTGTCAATTATTTCATCGTGAGAATGTGGTTTCTGAATATATAAATAGTTTTATTTAACTGGTTCTTACAAGGACCAGAATTAATGTAGGTAGTAAAAGGCTAGACAGATATGCCTGCTCTTATTATCCTACTTACATGGTTCTTGCAAATATCGAGAGTTTATTAAAACAATAAATTGCTGTAAGAAGTGGCGTAATTTATGGTGGCAGGGCTGGCGAAATGCCACGGGTCATCGGTCCGACAGGGAACCCGGAAATTTAGTAAAAAATATATTTTGCAAGTCCATAAAATCAATCAAAGCTAGTAAGTACATCTAACTCAAGAAGGTCATAGTATACATATTGTTTAGTTTTTTTTTCCTATGATTTTAATTTATATGTGTCATATATATTATGATTTAAAACTAAACTGTACATCATATTAGTAATTTGTAAATAAAGGGTATTTGGTCGCCAAGTGTGTACAGGGCGACCACGTCTTCTCCTGCCAAGCGGTTGCCACTCAAACGCGATTGATGCTGCGTTGACTCCGCTGCGTCGTAGTGTATCCTATGGGCAATGTCTTGCGCGATGCGGTTTTGGTCACATTTAGTCCAAAGGTCTTTATTAGGGATAGTTACTGGCCAGAATATGGGTAGTATCGACCTCAAGCACTTATTTACAAATACCTACAGTTGGTTCGTGAATGTCTAAGTCACTCTCCAGGTCTCACATCCGAAGAGGAGAAAACTGTACAGTGGAGTCGAACAAGTGATTAATTTGATGTGGATAATAACTATGACGTGGTCGAAAATGTCGGGATAGTGAAACCAATAATTTTTGATTGTCAATCATTTTCAGAAGAATGTCCACTCAAGATGCGCGTGGATGGCCCAGTTCAGGCTCAGTAAGGAGGGTCGGGAGCGGGTGGCTGCTGTTCTTCGCGCTTTGCTGATCGCGCAGTTGGTTGTCTCGCTCTGTATGGTGATCTTTTGCTACAACACCACACAGAAAGTCATGATGCTGCTCAAAAATGTTCACAAGGTATATGACAACACGGTTCTTATAAGGAGGCAGTCCTCCTGGGATAGTCACTGACGACTCTTTGACTTTCTTTCTTTCTTAATCTTAATTCTTTAAGCGGTAGGCAGCGGTTTGGCTCTGCCCCTGGCATTGCTGAAGTCCATGGGCGACGGTAACCACTCACCATCAGGTGGGCCGTATGCTCGTCTGCCTACAAGGGCAATAAAAATAAATAAATAATAATAATTACTTATACTTTGTCTAAAAATCTCTTTGGCCTCAACCCATATGTTTTTTCGTGCTTAGGGCCGTATCTCCTACGAGGTCCCCGTGCCTAGGTGGCACGCGGAGTATGTGGGACTTGATGACCTGCAAAGTTTTGGGAGCAGACCGCGAGCGGGAATTTGAGGGCCTCACCGCACTAAACAACTCCCCTGCACTCTTACACCCGACGTCCGATCTCTGTCCGGGGTCAGAACCTGGTCAGAGCAGATCTTAACTACATCTCATGTTACTCTCACGTACAAAATGTAATAACCAAAACATATACATACACTAAGCTTGTATACGCAATAAATATTATGAATACATCATTAGTTCGTTGTGGAAGTCGTACATTTTATTAGTACTCACTCTAACCGGCGCCATCTAGGCGGGCTTGGAATAGCCTGGTGGTCATGGCGCCGACGACTGCCGATCCGGCGTCCCGAGGGGGAAGGTGATGGGAGAGATGTGCTCTGCACTAAGCACTTCACTTTCCCCCCTTTGCCTTTTCATGAGTTCTGTCTCATGCGAGGTTTGGACGTTGGTTGTTGAGCGACGGGAGGTTTTAGTCGGTTCCACTACGACATGCTCCACTGGGGATGGCGGGCGGAAGTCCGGCGATTTCCTCCTGACCAAAAAAAACCCTTTTATTAGTAATTAGTATTTTTTAATTGAATAAGTCGTAACCTATCCAAGGCTGAAGAATATTCAAGAGATATAATATATTTATACCTATCTGAACATTAAAGCTTCGTTTTTCAACTTCAATCCATTCGTTTTCAGCTGACTGTCTACCTCCTATGCGGGCTGGTTCTCCTGCAAACGTACTGCATGAAACTACACTACACAGCCGGTCTGCGTCTCGTAACCTTACTGCTGAGGTGTCCCTTCTGGTCTCGCGGGTCAAGAGTGGGCAAAATTTGGCTTATCAATGGGCTGATGCTCGTTGCGAATGGGGGGCTGGTGTATGCCGCTTGCAGGGCCACTCTGAAGGTAATTAATATGTTTCATTATCATAGCATTACCTACAGTTTTAGTTTCTCGTTTTGTTTAAAATAATTAACACTCGTTTTCATTTCCGAAAGATACTTAATAATATGGTAGTGGAAATCGTGAATTCAGATTGCAATCCAGATTAGTTTTTTTTTATTGCTTAAATGGGTGGACGAACTCACAGCCCACCTGGTGTTAAACGATTACTGGAGCCCATAGACATCTACAACGTAAATGCGCCACCTACCTTGAGATATGAGTTCTAAGATCTCAAGCATAGTTACAATGATTGCTCCACCCTTCAAACCGAAACGCATTACTGCTTCACGGCAGAAATAGGCAGGGTGGTGGTACCTACCCGCGCGGACTCACAAGAGGTCCTACCACCAGTTTAGATTTAGGTAATACTTGTACGATTTAGCTAATATGTACTGTAATTATTGTAATTTGTTTTATGGATCAATAAATAAATAAAATAAAAAAGCCACCGTGGCCTAAAGAATAAGACGCCCGGTGCATTCGTATCGAGCGATGCGTCTGTACCGGTGTTCGAATCCTGCAGGCAGGTACATATAGTTCTGAACCCAAGCGGAGATCCGACGTCGGGTGAGAAGAGAGCTAGTCGTTTGGTGGGTAGGGCCCTAAAACATCCTTGAGCCCACGGCCTGCTCCCAACATTTGTGGACCGTCAAGTCCTACATACCCGTCGCGCTCTCTAGGCGCGGAAACCTCGTTTGAGGTTCGCCCACAATTTTCACAATCAAGAAATTAGGTCGTCCTATTAAAATCAAATTATCAAAATTGAAATTTTTGTAACTATTTATTGGTGAAGAGTGTATAGTGGGTGAGCAAACAGGTGTTTGGGCTCTGTCGACGGACTATGGGCGTGAGTCATATGTTCTATTTAAGTCTCAGTTCCTAGTCAAAGCTCAGCTCAAGATTAACTACGAGTATTATTTATAATGTTTATGTTGTCGATATTTGATTCCAGTAGTGTTTCGTTTATATATCCTTGACGGATTAACTATATCGTTTTATGACAGGCTCTGGTGAAGGAGCTCAGCTCCTCGTTGCGAGTCGGCATGTCTCAGTATTTAATTGAACCATCCTGGAAGAAGCTCCTGGACACGATGCAAGTGAGTAGATTGTGGTAATTTTGTTGTCAATAAAATTAATTCGCAGTTAAAATATATGCCTTAGTTGTGACAGAATTGGTATCATAATTGAATGCGTGTACAAAATTTTGTGTTTCCACTGCCAGCCACTGAGGAGCTATCTAGTAAGGACTCAGCCCTGAGCAGTACTCGTGACTAGGTAAAATGTTAAGCTGGCTATTGTTAAAAAAACGCGTTCACAGGAATTCATGTCTGTACTGTTAAGCATTGAAGAGTTCTGTTATGTGGAGCTGATTTGATGCTCACCTCACGGCCCAGCTGGTGTCAAGTAGACGCAGCCTGTGGACACCACCTTATCAGTGTTACCACCTTGAGACGTGAGGTGTAAAAGTGAAATGAACACATTACTGCTTCGTGGCAGAAATAGGCAGGGCTGTAACACCTACCCCTCCGAACTTCACCATCAATAACAAGCTTTGTTTAATCTCACGTTTATTAATTTCACTCCATTATTTCTTTTGTCTGTGGTGATCACTATCTCTCTTTCTCTCTCTCTCTCTCTCTTTCTCTCTCTCTCTATTTCTCTTCCTAGCTATGGTGGTGGGGTCAGCTTTCTCTTATTCTATTGAATTGATTTTATTTATTTTAAATTATAAACCATAATTAAATTGGTGACGACGAAAAGTAAAATATTACAGACGTCACAAATACTCCATATTATAATACTCGTAATAATCTTTAATAAATGCGGGATTAAATAGTAAATTTAGTTTAAAATAATAATATGTTTACGACCCGAAGTAAATACGAATAGTTTTTGTCTTCTCAAAAAGGTAGATTTGTGTTGTTGTGGTGCCGATAGACCTGGGGACTGGCACGAGATACCGTGGCTCAGCGTGGACTTCCTCAACGAGAACTCAAGTGTCGTCATGAAGTGAGTTTGTCTTTCAGTAATTATGAATTAGGGACATCGAACACTTTGTATTGTAATCTCAAAAAAATATAATGCAATATGAGTTGGAAATTTTCACGCCAATAGCTGTCGCTGAAGCTGTCGTCTAATTTTTTTTTATGGAGCTCACAGCCCACCTGGTGTTAAGTGGTTACGGAAACCCATAAACACCTACGATGTAGATGCCGCCACCCACCTTGAGATACGAGTTGTAAGGTCTCAGTATGTTAGAACGGCGGCCGCACCCTTCAAACCGAAACGCGTTACTGCTTCACGGCAGAAATAGGCAGGAGTGGTGGTACCTACCCGTGCGAACTCACAAGAGGTCCTACCACCAAACATCAGATGCTTTGTATTGTAATCTAAAAGAAAATAAAAAATACGAAATATGAGTTGGAAAATTTTACGCCAATAATGTTGAAGCTGTCGACTCAATAATGTACTTTAGTATTTTTTCAATAGTTGCCCTACAGTTGCTTGCTGTAAAGGATACGAAAATATTTATTATCAAAGACTATGAACACTGTACTATGGCGCAACGAATTAACACATTCATACCTATCTCGTAGATATTCAAGAAAATCTGCTTCATCAATAATTCTAGTGTTAATGCCAATTATGTTTTTACTTAAAGAACTATTGTCCACAGATTAGCAGGAACGGATGGTAAAATATTACCGCCTGTATCTCCGTACTCATGCTGCACACCGCGGGTCCTAGCGCCGTGCTACCACGATCCTTTGCAGCAGGTAGGAATCAATAAGCTTTAAGATCTTCAGCCACGTATCGCGTGCGTCACCTAGCTACGGAAACCGCGTAGGGGATTCGGCCCGGAAAAAGTTATCAGTACAGTACCTGACGATAAATGTTGCACATCGAACGGTGAAAATAGACAATCGACAAATTTCGGCTTTTTAAACCGTTATGTTTTTTGTATGAGAGACGAATAGTCCATAACCTACTGCACTTGAAGAACGCATAGACAATACACTGAAATATTTAAGATAGACAAAAAGGTCTTGTATATTTTTTAACTTGAGTGTTATTTTTGAACTCGCTGCCGTCAAACATTAGTGTCCCTAATCCCCTACTAAGGGGCTCTTTATAGAATTGCATTTTTTTTTATAAGAACGCTCTTTCAGAAAATACCTTATCGCTTAGAATCGCTAATATGTAGTGTGCGAATTATATTGGTGAGTCGTTGATAAATTTCATCTTACATAAAGGCGATACTTTTTTTCCTACCTGGTAACCTCGAGGGGTTATGCCAGCTTAACCGAGCGAGTAGGTGAGCTCACGGGGCTCTAACCTGACGATGTTGCTAACATTAGCCCTAGCGAGAGCAGTACTTCAGTGAATCTACCACCGGATAGGAATCGTGACCCACTAAGAAGATCCGTCGAGAAATTCAGTGAGCTATGTCTGAGGGATACCTTTCACTCACATCGTAAATTCTCTAAAACTATATGTCTGAAGTATGTCTTGAGTTCGACTTTAAGACTCCTATTTATTTGCAGAGGCTCAATAAATGTGCTGCTCTGCTGCTGTCCATGGGCATGTTTAATTTGAAGGTTCTTGGAATATTGTCTCCAGTGGTCCGACACTACAGCATGGAGAGCATCTCCGCTAGTGGCAGCGTCGCTGCACACGAGGGGCTGCGTGGAGGCGGTGCGTGCTCCACTCGTCAGAGCGCTGTTGGCGTTGCAGTTTTTCAACATCCTCATCCTTATATTTCAAGTGAGATCCTATGAAACGAAAGCTCATGCGTTTGTTTCGATAGTTCCTTTCAAATCCTTCTCAGTGGGTTAACAATGAGCTGCTATGTTATGGAGTTCATTTTCGAGCCGAATGGTAAGTTCAAAAAATTTCGTTCAAAAAATGCACTATATATGAGTGCCATGGTTCCAAATAAGAGGGATGGATTCTGCTATAGTGGCCAGCGGCGGTGTTCATAAAGAGATGATGGTAACATCTCAAATCTATATTCTAATTCCTCAGAATAATTTGAGGAACAAAACATACAGTGACCAAGAGGTTCCAAATCACTCTATATAAGCTCTATCGCTATCAAAACTGTTCTCCACCTTGTCAACGGGTTGTACGTGGCGGATTCAAAACTTTTTTTTTCCTACCTAAGCTGATGGTTTTAAGAGACCATATCAGCGTTACTGGGCGAGTAGTAGGTGAGCTCATGGGGCTCAAGCCTGACGCTGTTGCTAACACTAGCTCTAGCAAGAGCAGTGCTTCGCAGAACCTACCACCGGATCGGAAACCCGACCCACTGAGAAGATTCGGCGAGAAACTCAGTGGGCTGTGTCTGTGGATTAATTTACTCGTCGAGCTCTTTGTGGCAAATGACGGGTTCGACGAGGACGATGACCGGCTTCAAATCTAAAATTACAGGTCTTAATAATATTACTGATACAATTGTTGAGTACGAGCGCGCGAGCGGCGGCTTTGCGGGGGGAGTGCGGGGGCGCGGGGCGGGGCTCGCTGTTCGGTACGCCTGCACCCGCGCCGAGCGTTGACCCTGAAGTAAGTTCTCAGTCAACATATTGTATTTTCGATGATACTTATTCTGAAGATGAGAGATTTGACTCGTGTGGAAATGTAACATGAATACTAGTGATAGAGCAATCCGCCCTATCATTGCCACCATATTAATATAGCTAAAGTTAGGTAGTGTAATAAAAGTCAAGCCCGTAAATATTATAATTTTCGTAATTACTGGTGGTAGGACCTCTTGTGAGTCCGCGCGGGTACGTACCACCACTTCGTCTATTTCTGCTGTAAAACAAATGCGTTTCGGTTTGAAGGGCGGGGCAGCCGCTGTAACTAACTATACTGAGATCTTAGAAGTCATATCTCAAGGTGGGTGGCAGCGTTTACGTTGTAGATGTCTATGGGCTCCAGTAACCATTTAACACCAGGTGGGCTGTGAGCTCGTCCATCCATCAAAGCAATAAAAAAAAACGTTTCTCACACTTAAAGACTTTCATTATTACTGTATCAAAACACGTTAGGCGATTTGAATACATTGAGGGAAATCTATAGTGTCTTCTTTCCTACCACCATTTTAAAGTTGTCTTTTCACAATTTAGCCGTGGCAATAGAAATAATTAACATATAACCGCATTGCGGGTTCGTTCCCGGTCGGAGTCGGTATCTATAGATCAGTGTGATTAATGCGAGTTTCTTAACGTTGTCGATAGCGTAAAAGTATTGGTGGTAGGACCTCTTGTGAGTCCGTACGGGTAGGTACCACCACCCCGCCTATTTCTGCCGTGAAGCAGAGTAATGCGTTTCGGTTTGAAGGGTGGGGCAGCCGTTGTAACTATACTGAGACCTTAGAACTTATATCTCAAGGTGGGTGGCGCATTTATATTGTAGATGTCTATGGGCTCCAGTAACCACTTAACACCAGGTGGGCTGTGAGCTCGTCCAGCTATCTAAGCAATAAAAATAAAATAAAAAAAGTTAACTCAAATTTGTATGAAGCTGGAACGTTTGCCGCTAGGAGCGCTGTTCCAACTGCATACAAAGAGTTAACTTTTACGCTATCGAGAACGTTCAAAACTCGCACTAAGCACACAGGCGTATGTGTGGTGAGTATGTGAGGTTTGTTCTAGCGCCGCGTGGTGGCGGGCTGCACGTGGAATGTGGGGGGCGGGCGCCGAGCCGCCGTCCGAGCGAGGAGCAGCTATCCATATTTATCATGACCACAAGATGCAAACAGCGAATTTAATTATCCCGGAAATTTTTCGGTATGACGTCAAGATCTAGAAATTTTTTATAACAACCTCAATGTATAATGAACTAATGTAAGTGTTTCTAGAGCTGTATGATAATTATCCCAAGCCCTAGTAAATTTTGACATTAATCTAAAAAGTAATTGAACGATCAATGTGTTTTTATTATTGTTTCATATGTAGCTAAACATCTATCATAAGACTATGTAGCATAGTCTATGCTCAGCTTGTGGTCTGTGCTCTAATTTTGACCTCAAGTGACGTCATAAAAGTGAGGAATCCATTCCGCGGAATTTTGTTGAGCTTGTGAACCAATTTAGAAATTTAAGACCCCTGTTACCTTAATTCCTGTAACCTTTATGGTGTGGCGAAACATCTGGTTCCGTCACGCGCAAAAAATCGAGGAGGCCATGATCCCCGCCATCACAAGAAAAAACATTGTACATTTTTACATAAAATAAACATTTCATTATTTAGAGCTGCTTTTATTTAAGCGTTCTAAAATAGTAACCCCGACGTGGGCATCTTCACTGCACATGACTCCTAAAAAGAATAATACTTGGCGACCATGTGGTGACTATCGTGCTTTAAACGCCAGGATTGTTCCCGATCCATATCCAGTTAGGAATATCAACGATTTTGCCAATGATCCTGCCGGAGCCACTATATAATTTAGTACACTTGATCTGGTAAAAGCTTATCATCAAATCCCTGTTTTTAAGGAAGATATACCAAAGACGGCCATTGTTACTCCCTTTGACCTCTTTGAATTTCCTTTTATGCCTTTCGGATTACGCAATGCAGGACAAACGTCCCAGCGTTTTATTGACGAAGTTACACGAGGTCTCGAATTTTGTTTTCCTTACGTCGATGATATATTAGTTTTTTTATCAGATTAAGCTCGTCATGAAGAACACCTTCGGATTCTGTTTAGGCGTCTTCAAGACTATGGAGTTGTAATTAATCTATTAATTTTTTTTCTTGGTGTAAGTGAGGTTACTTTTTTAGGATATCTTATCACTGGTGAGGATCGAGTTCAAAGCTTACTAGGTTATTCACCTCCTGAGACAGCTCAACGCATGAGACTTTTTCTTGGCGTGTTTAATTATTATCATCGATTTGTGCCACATGCCGCAAAATTTAGCGACCTAAGAGGGTTGAGTCTGTGCCGCATGCTACCGTCACTCTAGCGCGCTGGCACCAGGAGGACGGGTCGACGCGTCGGCAGCTGCGGCCTGCGATGCGGTCCGCATTGTCGTCGTCGCTGTCGTCGCACAATATACTGTGGAAGAGCAACCCGGTCAGCGGTGTATCGCGTTCCGACCCGGCAGGCTGGTTCTGGCCCAGCGAGGTATCCCGGAACACCAGCGGCATCGCCCGGGCGGCCTTTTTTACTTAAATTTGACGACATTTTTACATAAATAAACATTTCATTATTTTATTTAGAACCCCTTTTATTTATGCGTCCTAAAATACTATATTATGATAAAATAAGTTGGAGCTATGTGAAATGTTAATATAATATAATGTGTCTATAATATGTACATTAGGAATGTAAATAAAACAAAAATGAATATATAATCAATGCGTAGGCTTTATTATTGACTTTTACAAACAGTCCTTAGAATCTATTAAGTAACAATGCGTGTTTACCTAAAGCCGTTTCATTTTATATTTTGTGCTTCGCTTACACACGGGCTCGTTACATAAATATAAATAAATATTTAATATAATAATAATAATAATAATGTTATATATCTCGTTAACTCATGTCGGTTCGGTTGGCGCGGCTCGTCGGCGCCCGTCGTCGCCAAAACTCCCATCAATATATTCCGTGTCAAATATTCAATCGTAACAAATATACAAAATCGTTATGTACAAGGCGACACGGGCGCTCAGCTCGGGCTCGCGCCGTCGACTAATGGAATGTCACAGAGCGGCGACCGCCGGCGTGCGGGCCGGTCGCCTGCATGGCGGCTTCGTGACGTCACCCTAGAGGGAAGGTGACGTCATTACGACGTTCAAAAACAACACGACCTCGATCCAGTGGGAAATGAGAGGGCGGATCGTGGTTGGGTCGTTCTGAATAAAATTTTCATAAAAGCTTCACCGTAGTAGTAGTGTGAAGTAGGTTTAATTCAAGAATGTGCTTTCAGCGGGATTGTACGACACAAGGTATGCGTCGTACAACGCGCAGTGTACACAAAACAGGGTGTTGCGTTTTGTGCGTGTTGTGTTGTCAGTGTGGAGTAGATCAGAGCGGCGGTGGCCCGTGCGGGTATCGCAGCACGGGCAGTACGGGGTCGAGTCCGCCCCGGCACTCGGTGCGCGCGTGCGGGGCCAGCGCGGCGGCGCCCAGCACGAGCAGCAAGAGCGCTTGGAAGGGCAAGGAGGCACGCGCCACGCGGCACACGAAGCGCAGCCCGCGCTGCATGCCACTCAGCGTCTCCTCCTCGCTCGCCGGCTCATCGGCTTCCGCCCTGCAGGGGGACAGAGGTTGACGGTCAAATACGGGCACATTCAAAAAACATCGCGGCATTAAATGCACAATGTCGGATATCCGCGGCATCAAATTTCAAATTTAGCAAGTAGGTCGCAATTCGATTAATACGCGACTTTTATCATTGTAATTAAGGGTTCGTTTTATTTGGTATTTATTAGCATTAACAGTTCGATGTTTTTAATTTAACTTCAATTAAGTTTACTCCATTCAAATAGTTGAAGTTTTTTTGTTATGATATTTTTTTCAAATTTAAAACTTTAAATCCCTCGATATACATATTTTTGCTAGTATTGTTTGGATTACCTATGTACTCTCAATAATTAATATTAAGATTATGAACTTTAGCACCTCAAGAACACGACACGAAACTATACAGGAATCCTAGTTTACCAAAAGCAGACCCGACATTGTACTCCAAATGCCAAGAAATATAGAAAACAAGATATAGATAGATATAGAAGAAGAACAAAACAAGACAAATAGAGTTTTAGTTTAGAGAGTGACTAGTTCGTATAAGGGAATAAAATTAAGACTCACAAAGAAAGAACGATAACTATTAGATTCGATGAAGGTGTTTCAACAGAAAAGAAAACAAGAGAAGTTAATTAAAACAGAATTTTTCGTCATGAAATAAATTAATTAGTATAAGATAAAGAAATAATATTAATTTAAACTAGATCGTATTCAATGCGTTTATTACGCATTTAAATCATTTTACATTATGATATTTGTTTATCGCCCAGGTTTATCTAGTACAAAAAATTAAAAACATCAACTCTATATTATGAGCTCTGGCTCGCTAGTTTTTATAGTGATTCGTTGAAGCAAAATTCGCGTTATATTCACTCATAACTAATACTTACTCATTCTCGTCGAACGGAGGCAGGGTCATGGTGGATAGTTCCTCGTCTTCCTCTTCCATTAGCTACGGGACGAGGATAAAAATACATCAAAATACGGTGCGAAGCGACTACGGTACATGTGTTACTATTGTACTGATCTGCAAGGGTTCTTTCATGTTTCGCATGAAGGCAATTAAGCCAGTTTCTAAGGCAATCAAGAGAATACACGATCATACGCGGGTTGACAGTTGACGGGTTGCCAAGTATTGTCATGCCTGATAAAGTACATCGTACTGACTTAGATAAACCGATTTCAATTTTTAATATAAATAAAAATATTAAAAAACAAATTATATTTTTATTGGCTCCATTGTAAAATCGTAGTATTGCCAACATTAGAGCTCTTGAACAGGCATTAAACAAACCAGAAAAAGGAAAATTAGTTGTCAAACACAAGAGAAATTGGTACTTAGCCGTTTTACCTTTGCCTATTTAAATAATATAGAAACTTGCAAATCAATACTTTCAACGTATATAATATCACTACACAATCTAATGTTAATCAACATCGTATTTTTGTTAAAAATTCTTCAAATCTAAGTTTTTTTTACTTTCAAAATGTATTTTGTTTCTGTCAATCATACTTTTCAATATGGCGTCTTTTTTGTTTAGTAAAAAAAAACGATATAAAATTTCAAAAGATTAGATTTGTTGCCATCTTGAAAATGAATGCTTGCCAGTGACCAAAAAGCTTGCTTTTTGTGTTAAGTCTTTGCCGATCAACAGTGCTTTGTGGCAAAGCGGTGGAGGAATACTAGTTCTATCAAAACTTGTATGTCTCTGTACTTTTGAAGTTTTGTTTCTAGACGAAAAACTCAAGATAAAGGTGTACTGTTTTTTAAATCGTTACTGATACTCGGTATTTCAAATTTTAGAAATTATATTTTTAGTAAATAATTCGATATATTACACCGATTCTTTTGTATGTTATCCGCCTAAATTTAATTATATAAAATTAAGGTAGTTACGATTTTATCAAGCGAGTAAGTGAGCTCACGGGGCTCAAACCGGGAGTGTTGCTAACACTGGCCCTAGCAAGAGCAGTGCTTCCCAGAATCTACCACCGGATCGGAAACGCAACCCACTGAGAAGATCCGGCGAGGAACTCAGTGGTTTATTTACGCTCTATTTGTTATTAAAACATGGTACTGTTATGGTATATGGGTTGAACTGTACGTTAAAAGGGAAGCCCATTTTAGTGGTGCGTAGTGTAGTTACCTGTGGCGCGGCGGCGAGGGCGGCGGCGGCGAGCGCGGCGGAGGCGGGGGCGGGGGCGGGGCGCGCGGGCCGCCGGGCCAGTGCCGCGCCGAGCTTCAGCGCGTACACACCGGACAACTTGCGCAGGGACTGCAGGCGCAGCCGGAGTTCCGCTAGCCTGTCGTGGAGAGAGAATCTTGTTATTAGTGATTCTGGGTGTAGTATTTAGGAGTAGACATCGTATGGGACATTTATTACGACTTAACTAAGTATAATAACTATTACGATTTAACTAAGCGTATAATAACAGCAATAACTGTGATATTAGTCATGTCGCGTTCGTAAAGAATCTTTCTGGGTTATTTGAGAGACAATATTCTATTATTTTCTTCAATTTTTCGCGAGTCTGCGATGTAATTCAAACAATTTTCATTTTGTAATAAAGCATTTTAAACCAGGTAAAAGTAGTTTTAAACATGACAATTTTCTCCTTGGAGTTTCGGGACGAAATATACGTTTTTGAGAAATAAAAAGAAACAACTAAAGGTGGTCTCTCACTGTATCTATCTAAGTACATTCAATTTACGCCTTATGAGGAAATAAGTGATAGTGAAAAAAGAATTATACACAAAGTATGGTACCTAATATGCAAATTTTCTTGATAGAAGTTGAGTAATGTGCCGACCCCACCTAGTGGGATGAGCTAGAGAAAAAGAAGTTTAGTAATGTGTTTAGTTTACGAACCTGCGGCAGATGTCGTCCGAGTGCGGGGGAGCGTCCTCGGTCCGCAGCAGCTGTGCGGCGTCGTGCAGCGCGTGCACCCGCGGCTCGGCGCGCTGCAGCTCGTCGCGCAGCTCACTGAAGCGTCTGAAGTCGCGCTGCAGCTCGTCCGCCGGACGCGACAAGCGCAGCGGCTCTCTGCCGCGCACGCCGCGTTCTGTCGCTGCCAGCTGCGCCACTAACTCGACCACTGAACGGGCAAATCGATTGTTAAGGCGTGGTTTCAGCGTGAGAACTTGTGTTAGGATGTCACACGGTTTTGTCGAGCCAATAGAGACAGTAGAATACTTGCGTTTATTCCTATTGGAATCCTACCTCTCAAGCCAGAACACATGACTTCGTGGCATAAATGAGCCGAGCGGCTAAACGATTCTTTGCGAGTTCAGAATATTTTGTGGACCTAACATAATTTTGTATTGATCATATAATATAAGGCTATTGCGTGGACAATTCAGTTACAAGCAAATAAGCAGAGTACCTCCCGCGACCCGAGCGGAGAACACTTATCGATACATAAGACGTGAAAATTAACAACGGATCTATTTTGTCGTTAGACGATACGATATGAACAATTCGCATTTTTTACGATTTTAATTCATGCTAGGTTAATATGCAAAAGCAATCGGGAAAGTTTTTCTAAATATTTGGTGTCAAAAAAGAAAATATAGCGTAAATATTCGAAGGTGTAGTAGTAAGGAGCGGTGACAGCTCGCCGTGTATATACGCACCGATATCGTGGAACTGTCTGTTGTGCACGAGCGCGTGCTGCAGCAGCTTCTGTCGGTCGGCGGCGAGTGCGCATGCGCGGTCCCAGCGCGCGTTGGCGGCGGCCAGGCGGGCCCGCACGCGCGCCGCGTCCCGAGCGTCGTGCGCATGCGCCGCCACGTGCCCGCCGACCACGTTCAACGACACCACGATCGACTTGTGCGAGTCCAGGTCCAGCAGGAACTCGCGGTGGTCCTGCAGTAACGATACCCACGTTTAACTAACCGCTGCTTCCGACATACACATCTTTTTAAAATTAATGTTAATGGGCAAATAGCGCGAGGATCGGACGGCCGATGGGGCAGAAAGATCCTCTAGTGGAGACCACGTACTGGCAAACACAGTGTGGGACTAGTGACTAGACTCGACTAGACTAGTCCGGCCGCACTGGAGATCAATTGGAGAGGCCTATGTTCAGCAGTGGACAGTGGACAAGCTGAGATGAAGTTGGGCAAATACGTGGTCCATCCACATTGCAACAGGAACCTTAACGGGCATGAGGCTGTAGTCTCAATAGTTTTGTATAACAACTGTGCCACCCTTTGGGCTGGCTGCTTCGCGGTGGATATAAGCAAGATGGTGGCATATGCAATAACATACTATGTACTAGGATAAGGTTATTCTCTATTCTTGGCGAATGAATTCATTAGCAGATCTTCCACGGTGCTAACAGAAAAAATTGAGTGGTACCATTTTAGGTCACCGTCTGGACAAAATCATATCAAATCTCTCTGTAAACAGACAGATTTGATTTAAAAAGCAGCATTTTATATGATTAATATGAGCCTAATAAACTCAAGCAAAGTCGCTCGCTACAAGATATAATTTTTAATACAATTGTATTTCACGGCTGCGTTGATGCAAAAGAGATCAATGCTTTTAACCACCACGACCTGACTCACGTCTTAATACACAAACATAATGTGTTTGTCGAGTCTTTCTAATGTTAAGAACGGATTTTTTCTTCAAATAAAATACCATTTTATTAGTTACTAGCTGTACTCATCCGCTTCGCTAGGCATTTAAAATTAACATTATTATTTCTCATCCCCACAAAGATTCTCATCATTAACGCCCCCACAACTGGTGTAGGGAGTCCAACCCTCATATAAATATTAGCATATCCATTAAGTACATGTATTTTCTACATGGATACCAAGTTTCAAGTCAATCGGATGCATGGTTCAGTAGTTACAACGGAACATCCGTAAAAACTACTGTAGATTTATATATTAGTATACATTGAATCAGAAACACATTTATTTTAGTTCCTCTCAAATCACTTCAGTAAGGTCATGAATTACCAGTTCGGTGCCTATTATTTTATGCATAAAATATGGCAGAATGGCATTCGGTTCAACAGACCTGTATAGCGTCTTCGAGTAAGTCGTATTGTTCGGGCGGCTCGGTTCTGGAAGCTTCCGTGGCCTCGGCGAACTGCAGCCACTGCTCCAGCCGCCAAAGGTCATTGTCCAGCTGTTTCCAGTTCCTCTCCGAGCACAGTGGGCAGGTCAGCCTACCAGACTCGCTGCAGATGTCGGGAATAAAAAATGAAAACTATTTCGAATTCTAAATTTGTTAGTTTTTGTAAATATATCTATTATTTAATTCATATAAAGCACTATCTGATCGAGAGTATTCCATAATTGGGGATATAATAGCATTTTTATTTGATGTCCATAAGTTTTCCGGTTTAAATGTGCTTATGTAGATAGTATTGCGTTCCTATGTAATCAAAGTTTTATGAATGATCTCATTATTAAAATATAAAAGAAATACCATTGTTGTTAATATTAGAATCATAGATTATATCACAAGATCATCTATTTAAGCTCTACTAACTCTACTCTGTTAAATCTGAATAATCTTCATTATATATATATTTTTCCATTATAATTATCAAAACCATCACTAGAATCGACATAGTAATCCACCAAACACGAGCTCTACTTTATAAGAAGCATTTAAAGAGTGCCACTACGGTGCTCTGCTCATAATATATCTACTACATAAATCAATACATAGGTGCGTATTTAATACAAAACAAAGGTGCAATAAATATAACAGAAAATATAAACATGCAAAAATTTTCCGTTACACAAAAACAAAAGAGTTCGCGCTCCAAAATAGCAGATGACGCTGTTACAACAGTTTTAAAAATACTCGAAAGATGGCGTTGATTTCAATTATTCTGTTTTGATTTTGTGCAATGGAACAATTTTAGTTGTAATTAGATAAGCAAGTACTCACTGTTCGCACGTGAGCGCGTATGACGCGGAGTGGGGCAACCTATGGGAACCAGAAAAACGCTGTGTTTAGAGCATGCCGTGTTAGGAAGCTGTTACACACTCAGAACCTGTTTCACTAACAAATGGCCGTAATGCCGGCTTATTTAATTTCTCAGACGATATTAGCGGCTGGTGAAAAAGGCCCTTAAACTGACAGAAGTCGCCGCGTGTACTGTGCCGTGATAAATAATCTCAATTTGAATAATGCATTGTGAATTTTTCATGTAAAAGTTAGATCCAACAAATCCAGATGTATTTACAACTCTCTAAGGAGACAATCACATAAATGCTACTAAACCATATTAGAGACTTCAAACGTTATGTTATCACTTTTATTTGGTACATTTTTGCATACGAGCCGAATACCGGGTATAATCAGACTTGATTAATAAATACATTGACTCCGACCGGGGGAATCAAACCTAGACTCGTGGTACTGTATTCATGAATCAATTAACCAACGAGGTGTTAATTTTCTTTATTAAAGACATGAAATAGAAGTCACTACGTAAGTATAAGATGTTCATTGCGACATTAGAACGAAAATGACAATTTTTTATGAATTTTACCGAGAATAAAAGGTTTTGGCCCAAGATAATTTTAATTTTTATCTGTCTACCTTGTGCAACGAAAAGTACCAAAGTTTAGAAGTTTTTTTTATCCGGATATAATCTATACAAGCCCCGTCACCATAATGCCAATCAGTGCTAAGTGCTACAGTATAACAAAAAAAAAGTAATAAAAGAACAACATCGAAAGACTTTATAAATTCGTTCAATGTGACTTACAAACCCAAAACTTGCAACACACGAATCATCAAGTGTAATGAACATTCTGTTAGGCTAGTTCCATTTTGCATTTGTGAGTCACGCGTCGACACTGTTCCCGGGACACTCACCTCAGGTTGTTGATTTGGAGCTCCCTCTTCTTGGCTTGCGTCAACAGGTCTTCGTACCGCAACGAGAGAGACTCAACTTCCTTCATCATGGCTTCGTCCTCAGTCGCGTCGCACTCGGTCAGCAGCAGCTCCGAGAGGTGCTTGGCCAGCTCTAAGGTCTGTCCGGGCTTGGCTCCGGCTTTGGCGATTTCTTTTGCGGCCGCGGCCAGTTCGTCGCTTCCAGCGTTGTCTTTGAGCTGCTGCTGCAACGCGAGTTCCAGCACTTCGAGCGCCTCCGAGGTGTCCCTCACGGCCGACGCCAGTTCAGCTCGGTACGTCTCCTTCGAGGTGAGGGTGTCTACTTGTAGGGCTGCGTCCGTCTCCCATTTTAAAGTGTCAACCTGGGGAATTGTTGTTTTTATAGGCCTTTTACTGATTGGATTACTCCTTTCCTATCATCTGGCCTATTACTTTCAGTTTGAAGGCAGAAGAGACTCCATGACACTCCGATTGACGTTCCACCTCACGTTTAGGCCAGACAGCGCCATTTACATAGGTCTTTTTACGGCAATAAAAAAACTAGAGTAGTAAGAACGTAGCTGGGCACAATTTTCTGTTACTAATGGAGATGATAACTTTGAAAGTAAATAGCACAATTGAATTTCTCTCTGCACTTGTAGTTTGTACTCACTTGAACGGCGGTGTCCACGTCGCCGACGACCTCTGCTCTGGCCAGGTCCAGTCGCAACCTGACATCCGCATATAAGGCGCGGTACTCTGCGACCATTTCAGAAACGCCTTGCGCTGTCGAGACTTTAGCAGCCAAGCGATCGGCGTCATCCACTAATGCTTGACATTCAGCCAGTTCTTTTTCAACCAACTGAAAAAATAACAAAGAAATCTTAGAGGTCAGTTATTAAGACATATACAAAAAAGAGCATTAACGGTGGGTATATTTACCTCTAGCTCTTTTAAGGTGGCCTCTTTGTCCAAGGGAGTGGGAGCAAGATGCAGAGCTCTGGTCAGTCTGACGTCGACTTCGGCCAACGCGACGACTGCTTTTCCGTGTGCCGCCACGAACTGTCTGTGGACGTCTGCGCCAGCGGCGTCTACCCTGCCCCTGAGCTGTTGCCAGCGACGGATCGCCGACCGCATCTTGGCAGCTTCGTCTGCCCCTTGGCCACGAAGCTCTACGCCTCTTGCAGACGCTACGCGGCTGTATGCGTCCTCTATCCGCTTGAGGTTGGGTTCTAATGCTTCCAAGTCTTTAATTACGGCCTTCGAAACCGTTTCATCTTCATGTTCACCACGTTGTTTTCGGGTTTCAATTTTCTCAACTCTCTTCTCGATTGAATCGAGTTTCTTGACGAATTTAGGTAGAACAGACGAAGATAGTTCGGCAGATTTACGAATTTCTTTCAGCGTATTCTTGCGATGTTCAGAAGTGTCGCAAATATTTTTCCATTTCTTTTCGACGATGTCCACTCCGGTTCTTAAGTTTCTGAGATCGAAGTTACCTTTGAGAACATCGGGGTCGTTGAACACAAGATCGCAGAGATTCAAAGTTTCACACACCTCTCCACTTTCGGCTTCAATTTCTTTATGTGTATCGTCTCGTTCTTTGAATTTCTCATCCACGCTCTTTGTCGTTAGGTATTCTAAGATAACAGTCGTTGTCAATTTCGACTCTATGACGTGTAGTTTTATTCTGATTTCTGTAAGCCTCTCTTCGAGCTGTGTTATAGTTTCTAGTAATTCAGTAATTTTCACAATTCTAGATCTACCAGTTTCCTGGAGTTTTCGCCATCTTTCTTCCATGTCCTTCAACTGTTTTGACGTGTTTTTGCTATATGACTTTTCCTCTTTCTTTGCTACCTCTATAAGAGAGCTACCGGTTTCAGAGAGCCATTCAAATTCACGTTCCTTCATAGCAGTTTCTGCTTGAACATCAGCGTTTAGCCTTCTGATCAAATCGTGGGGATCTAAAGCGGTGATGTCGCTACTGCTACTGCCCGAAGTCTCTAAACGCGTTTCGACAGTTGTAATCCATTCCGTGAATCGTTTGAATCGCGTATCAAATATGGCGTAAATTTCCAGTCGTTCTTGAAGTCTGTGAATGATGATAGATAGTTGATGTTCAAGGTCAGCGCGTTGTTGCCTCAGTTGCCATATTCTTTGGTTCACTATTCTCATATCCTGCGGACTCAGGCATTCTTTCAACTGTTCCTGGATGACGCTCAAAGCCTCAATCTGCGTTTCGCTCTTTTCGATCTTTGTCCGTAAATCTGTATATTTATCAATAATTTTTTTGAGTTGCGGTCGAGATAATTTCTCCTCGTCAGTATATGAACTAATGTCGTCTTGTGTCTTTGAGTACATTTTGTGTAAATCACTTGTCAAGCGTTCGTATTCACCGATCAGGCCTAGAATTCGAGTTAAGAAGTCTCTCCATGTGTCGAGGCTAGCTTGCAGATTCTCGACTCTCTTCACACTCCCGGCGTATTCCATTTTGACGGAGGCTCCATAAGCTTCCTCAGTAAACTGTAAGACTTTCTTGAGATTGACTAGAAGTTTATCAGACTGTTTGCGGCCTTCGGGCACTTTGTCAGCGAGATTCTGTATTTTGGATAAGATCTTGTGTATCCTCTTCATGTGAACGTATCTGAGTTGCAGCTTTTCTTTTTCGCGTTCCATTTCTTTAAGCCATCTCAATAGTTCTGTGTAATTCTCTCTATAGTCGTCCCAGGCTCCGATGCGGGCGCACACTTCATCGTGTCTTTCGACAATTCTCGCTAGGGTTTCATTGTGGAGATTAGTAAGGGTGTCGAATTTGTCGGCCAAGTCCTTATTCTTAGTATCCCTGTTTTCGTTTATTAGGACTGAGCGTTGCGAAGTGAGTAGATTTCTGTGAACCCTGCACAGACGTTTGTGCTCTGTTAGGTTTTCGTAATCTGTTGGAACTCCGCTTGACAAGAACGACTGTAAGTCGATCAAGTACTCGTGCCATAGTCTGAGCGCAGTGGCCGCATCACCAGACCTAACCAGGGCGGTCGATAGCCTGTGGTAATGCAAGAATGTGTCTCTGAACATAGCCTGCCATAGTTCCAAGATCCTAACGATCGAATGTTCTTCGGAAACGTCTCTATCGATGTCGGGCAGTTCCGCCGTGGCTGGAGCGATGTCCGCTTCACTCTTACCCAGCGCGATAAGGTTTTCTCGTAACGCTATCAGTTTGTCTTCAACGATTTCTCCGTCTTCGTGCAGCGGAGCCAAGTCCTGCAGAAGTTTCGGGTCATTAGTCATTATTTTTTTTTATGATTGAAAGATTACTGGTGGCCCGTAGGCCTTTCCAGTTTCACCAGGTCAGGAGGTGGGCGAGCAAAGGCTCAGTCAGAAGGGGGGGCATTAAACCTTTGACGTATATGGAGGGCAATCGGTAGCCGCGTTACCGTTACGCTGGTCGATAAATTATTCATAACAGGAAACACTAGCCCACAATTACTATCCGCTTGGTATCGAGGGCGATACGTGCGAAATGTGACGGTTGGTTAAAGGTCAACTAAATGTTATCTCATTTGAAATATGGCCGGTTGTGTGGAATTGAAATTTTGTATCAAACAGTATTTACCGATTTGTCATCAATGGTCACCGATGACAGGATATGGTTTTTTAATTTCTTTATACTATAGTAATAAATATACAACTTTCTAATGAAAATGAAAATGTGCAATTATTGTAAATTAATATTACTTAACTTCTACATCAAAGTCGAAGTTGGGACATTTTAACCGTATGTACAAGTTAAAAATACTAAACTATACAATATGTATTAAGAATACAACATAATATATTTTTTGCTTTATATCTTATTGTGGATGTAATGTAAGGGGTGCAAAATAAAGTTAAGTGTTTCCACGGGTAATACTTACTGACAATTGACAGAGATGGAGTTAGTTCAAACCTTATCACTTACTCATGTTGTTTAGAATATAACTAGCTTTTGACCGCGACTCCGTCTGCGTGCATTAGTTACTTTAGCATAACGCTAAATTTTACCCCCCACTTCATTTTCGTAGAAAGTGAAAATATTTTTGAATTATAGAATGTTAAGGAGCTATTTAAACCCCTATTTTAAAAACATTCTTTATTGGTGCTCCTCTTGTATTCGTCTTACCGTGATGTTATATTATAGCCTATAGCCTTCCTCAATAAATGGGCTATCTAACACTGAAATATTTTTTTCAAATCGGACCAGTAGTTCCTGAGATTATCGCGTTCAAACAAACAAACTCTTCAGATTTATAATATTAGTATAGATAGGTAGAATAATATATAAAAAATACCAGTCATACCTGTCTCATGTCACATAGTTTCTCTTTGGCGTGCTGCGCTTTAGCTCGTGCGCTCTGCCGGGCTTCGCCCAGATCCGCCAGGACCTGGACAGCGCCGGCGACCAGCTGCAGCCTTCGGGCCAGTGCGTCAGCGTCGGCCTGGAGAGCCCTAGATCCAGTTTCTGCAGCGACTCTCGCCGCCAATGATCGGAGTTCAGCTACCCTGGCTTCTTGTTCCAAGCATGCCTATCAAAGAAAACATGATGTTTTATAATAACTAGTGGTCCCGCAGTAGTCGAAATTCGACTATAATTAATTGAAATTATAAGTTTGAACATTATTATGGTTCTATTGTCAAAGACTATAATCACAGATTTCGCTAGGGCTTACACTATAGACAAATAATATTAAAAACAAACAATATAAATCTATTCTCAATTTGATCACAGCCTTTAAAAATTAACAAAAGAGTACCTATATATGCATGTGTGTGTGTGTGTCAAATACATGGCGGTTTAAGTAATGTTTTTTTTACTAATTTGAAATATTTTTTATGCATAATTAGAAAAAAAATTTGCGTTCTGCACCCCTTCTCTATATTCTCTATAAGTACCTATGGGAAATTTCATACTCCTCCGTCCGCGCAATTTTCGTAAAAAGGGGTACAAAGTTTTTTGCTTCACGCATTAATATATAGTTGTATTTAAACAATATAAACTGGTCTACCACGAAACGATATTCGAATCAACGTGCGCTTTTACTCCGTTAGTTACGTGTTTCGAATGTTTTGTATCATTTGCTTAGATACCTATCAAATTGAAGGTCTATCTTGTAGCAGTTACTGGGAGGTCTTAGAAATCCGCAACGTGGGTAAAGACAATTAAAACATTGAAAACAGACAGAAGATTATCGCCGCAAGGGGGAGGATAGCGACTTTTTTTTATAGCTTGGATGGTTGGACGAGCACACGACCTACCTGATCTTAAGTGGTTACCGGAGCCCACAGACATCTACAATATAAATGCCGCCACCCACCTTGAGACATGAGTTGTAAGTCACTTTTAACAGTACAACGGTTGCCCCGCCCTTCAAACCGAAACGCATTACTGCTTCACCGCAGAAATAGGCAGGGCGGTGGTACCTACCCGTGCACTCACAAGACTTCCTACCACCAGTAAAGGTAACATTCTCTGAAACATCTCTAAAATCTCTCATTCTGCTCTAAAGAATCACGCAAACAATAGAGGGGAAAGACGGCGGAAATAATGTTTCAATTGATGTCATCATGAAATCAATGTTACGATGTTTCCAAATAAGCGACCAATCAAAATTGCTTCGTCACGCGAGCGCCATCAAAACTATACAACGAAATTGTATCATCGTAAGCGATTTTCCGCTTTGCGAACCGATGCAGAACTGAAATATGGTATGTGGTTACTGGCGGTAGGACCTCTTGTGAGTCCGCGCGGGTGGGTACCACCGCCCTGCCTATTTCTGCCGTGAAGCAGTAATGCGTTTCGGTTTGAAGGGTGGGGCAGCCGTTGTAACTATACTGAGACCTTAGAACTTATATCTCAAGGTGGGTGGCGCGTTTACGTTGTGGATGTCTATGGGCTCCAGTAACCACTTAACACCAGGTGGGCTGTGAGCTTGTCCACCCAGTTAAGCAATAAATAAAAAAAAAAGGGATCTTTGAGTCTAACCGTATGAAACTGGCTCACTTAGGTCTTTTGGAAATTTTAAATTTAAGGATACTACACACTACATTAATACGGTGTATGAGCTGCGATCTGAGATAAGGAGTTTATGGTCATCTCCTTTCGATTTATGTATTGAGTTTGATTTTTCAAGTGCCACTAGTGTACGGAAAGAATTCTTCTCTGTTTCTACAATACTACGACTTGTTCTTTTTTTAAAGAGGCTTAGAAGAGAATATTTGGATATATGGTTCAAGTCCATGAGTGATGGGAGCCAAATTTGATTAGGCGCATTCAAATTTGAATTTGTCGACAACCAAACTTTTTCAAATTTATAGTCTATGTGAAAAAGTCAACGTGAAAGCTGTAGCTACTTTTTGCCTTTGCCGCTTTGAGACATTGTTTAAAGCTGTTCTCGAAGCTCGGCGTTTCCTTACTTGATTTCGTTATGAGAGCCAACGTTCTTAGTAATAAGTATTTATAGTTTTGTTTTTAAGATACTTAGTAGTCATACGGTTGTCCATAAATGCTACTAATTGGAAGCTTTTAAACTACACTCAATACAATGAAAATATGTATCGCTCGACAAATAATCTGTATGGTGACAAATTAACGAAGCATACCCGATTTTATTTAAAATTCAACTTCAATCGATACATTCAAATGAACAAACCTATATGCTATATGTCTGTGCACCTAATGTGCGCATAATGTACTAGCTAATTAATTATGTAAACAAAATATCACAAATGATACGCCTCAAATGGAGCGTAAAGGAAACGCGGGGACATTTGAAAGACGAAGAAAAAACGGAATGTTTTCTTCAAACACAATTACGTTAGGAGAACTATTTGATAGTTCTTGTTGAAAGACTTTTCAACACGTCTTTGCAAATTCAATTGTAAAAGACTTTTAAAGATATCTACGCATGTATTTTTGCGATCTAAAAGCAACCTTCTTCCAAATGGCTATAAGAATAATAATCGTATACCTAATTATATAATGAAATGTAATTCAGAATCAAATGACAAGGGGTGTGATATTTTTGCTGTCAAAAACTGGGAGTAGGGCGTATTTCTGCTGTAGTATAGAACTTGGAACTAATTTCTCAAGATGATGTGGCGGCATTTACGTTGCTGATGTCTCCGAGCTCCGGTACCCAATTAACACCGGTTGAACCGTGAACTTTTTCACCCGTCTACACAATAAACAAAACTGGTTGGCACTTATGTTATGATCTAAATTATAAAGGATTTAAAATGTGGTGCAATAATGAGCAGGCATTAGAAATGTGGCGGATTATGATATCACCGTCAGTAAAAGGCTGACTTGCAAGCGATAGTAAGAAGCCTTCCAGCCTCATCTTCCATAAAATATAAATATTTATATGCCATTTCAACACGAATTAGGAGATGGAATAGACTATTCTATGTGGCGTACTGTAATAATTAACAAAATCTAAATTGAAACGTCCGCAATAATCGCTCAAAATCAACAATAACAAAAAAAAAGTGTGAAAAGTTTTAGCAAAAATAAGATCAGCCGTGTCTACATACGTCAACCTACCGCAAAACTCAAATTGATGGGACCCGAACAAAATGGCGGACCTCAAGAATTCCCTAACACTGAATTGTCAAATTAGAACGGAAAAATATTCTCTGTGCCAATGAATTTAATACGATAGTCGTGTGCGAATTGAAACGTGACAAAACAATGAAGCAGAAACACATGTATTAACAATGTGTTGATTAAATGCCATTACAGTCATTACTTACATAACTTGCTTAACGATTGAAAGGAAATAGACAAAGAGAAGATTTTGTTTTTTGATCGTACCAGAGAAATTATTGTACGAAATTTGAAACTGATTGGTAAGTGATCATCGTCGCTCATTTGCATCAGCAATGACAGGGGCACAGCCAAAGCAGTTGCAGACCAGTCAAGACAGAATTTTGTTTGCTAAAATGTATACAGCTTTTATTTCAGATGATCTACATCAAACACAGTTACAGGTATTAGGATATATAGCCGTTGTGATATCAAGTCAAAGTTACGAGAAACAAAAGATCCACATTCAACGAATACCAACTATGATTTCTTCATTAGGGCAACAAGTAAACATCTTTAATTATTGATTAATAACGTATAAGTTAATAACACGTTAACTATAAGGTCCAAAGAAGTAAATTGCTTCTGCTCATGATTCAATTATCAATTATTTAATTAGTTTAATAATTTATTATTTGCTGGGCACATCATCGCAGAGAGTAGCTAAGCTATGCATGCACAGACCACGTGTCAACATCATATTTTATGAGTTCCAGTGAATATAAAGAAACGAACCTATACACTGAGGGGAAAGCCGATTTTTGCATGTTTAAAGAGAGGTGCTTTCGACTTTGCGGTCCTAATCTCGCGAAAGGTACATGTACCTATAGAAGAAGACAGGAGTGGCGTGAACGGTCAACACTATTGATCCAAAACGCCGCAGTGGGAGCGGCAATGTTACAAAAAGTTTTCATTCACGAAGCCATTGCGTGTTTTGAGCAAAAATGATTGGGAAATGAATACGACAGAAACTTTTTTTTTAAGTAGCTTATATCGGCAGACGAGTCCTGCGATCTATCTTAAAGTCAACAGGCATCAGTGAACAATACTACAATTTTTTTTTTATATATAGTAAGTAGTATGTTTGGTTGACTCACGGCCCACGTGGTGTCAAGTGGTTCCCGGAGCCAATGGACATCAACAACGTAAATACCGTCACCCTACTTGAGACGAGTTCGAAAGTCTCACTTTTAATAGTACAACGGCTGCCCCACCCTTCGAACCGAATCGTATTATTGCTTCACAGCTTAACAGCGGTTGAGCCTTAAGTATGTGCACGCTTGCCCATTGAGTTTCTCGCCGGATCTTCTCAGTGGGTGGCGATTCCGTACCGGTAGATTCTGCTAAGCACCGCTCAAATTCTTTCAGGTTGAACCCGTGAGCTCATCTACCCATCAGGGCGTAGTTGAAATAGCCTCTTAGACTACTAGCGAATAGGAAGAAAAGAAAATATGTATGCGTAAACCGCAAACTTAGATGTTGGGAACAGTAGTCACGATTGGCTGTGCATTAAGAATAAAGTGTCGCTTTTACGAGAACTCACCATTTAGCTTTGGTCAGCGTATCGTAAAAAAAAAACTTATGACGCAATCCGAAGCCCTCTGGATTGCATCCGGATGCAAATTCTCAAGGTGCATTCTATATTTGAACTCGCACGTATTCTGGAAAATTCTAAGTGTGTTTACGTTTTGCGCACGTGTAACATTCGTTGGTTTATTTTCGTTCAAATAAGAGATAAACATCATTTTTAAAAACTTTTTTAATGCCACTAGGTTTATTAGTAAAAGCGAATTCGAATATTTCTATAGCTATAATGTTTCGCAGACGGAAATAATTTTGCTTTTGAGTGTTAGCACGCAAACCAATTGCTGTTAAGTGAGAGCCCATGGACAAAATAACGAGAATATTCCACAACTCTAGTAAATGGTTGAGATTAACTAT